TCTAAGTCACCAATCTTTCTTTCTAGATTTTGGACAAGTAGTTCTAGACTTACAAATTTTGCCTGTGTAATATTTAATTTCTCAGCCAACTGATTAAAACGGGAAGTCGACGCCTCAATCGCCCCCATACTAATACCTAAGGAGGTTAAAATTATTAGGAAAAGACACTCCTCCACAAGAGGATTGCTTGCAGAAGCTGCTGGGCCGACGTCATGTTCTCTCCTCCCACTATAGACCTTTCCAGCGGCAGTCTTGAACGAAGCGAGCGGGGAAAAAATGCTGAGTCACTGAGCTGTGGACGCATGCGCAGCGTCCAATATACCACACAGCAGATCAACTGCGCATGCTTGGAAGGCGTTCCACAGCCCAGCAGACAAAGATGGCAGCGCGCAGAAGGCGATTTCTGCAAAGGTCTATACGTTCAGCCCCCTTGAGTGCAAGCCAGTGCAAGCGGCGCCAAATTCAGAAATCGGAGGAACTTTTGAATTTGGCGCCATTGCCGAAAATAACTATTATGTGGCCACTTGACTTTATCTAATATTCGCCATCATTTCCGAAAATAACTGAGACACCCCTGATTACCTTTGCGGCAAGGCATACTAGCTTAAGAGGTAATGAAAGATTGTGCTGCAAAGTACTGAAGCTTTACTTTAAAGTATACATTGTATTTATACTACTTTACTTCAAGTACATTTCGGCCGTATGCTACTTCTTTACTTGAATTACATAACCTCTAATTTACTGTAATTTACTTGAAGTCCTTTTTAGATGTATACTCTACCAAACACAGGACCCTAGTGGTTAGAACAAAGAGGGAAAAAAGGTTAAAAAAAAACAATGGTTTTGGTGGAAGTCGCCAACACGCAGCAGCGTGGTACCAGACTATAGATATGTAGATTCTATACAAACAAAAAAACAGATGGGATACAACGAACACGACGCGAAGCGAGTGGCGTGCGGATCGTAAATAGGCTTATTTCCTTTGTTTTAGCGAGGGCAAGACCCTTTACTTCGTTCCGTTCTCTTCTCGCCGCCGCCAGACAGTCTCAGTGGCGTCAGGCGAGACGGTAATGCCGCCGTCTGATAGTACTACCCTTAGGCGGCATTCTGCGCCTACATACCAAACGTCTACTGAGGTTCGTCTGCAATGGTACTTTCTCTTTTTGGTGCCATTTCGGTGGATCATCACTGCTGTTCACTTTCTGCCATCTGTGTTACTCTACCAATACTCGTGTATTTTTTTTTTTTCGGGTACATGACGTTGAACGTAAATTATGCCAATTAAAGGAGTGGCATGTAGAACAGGAAAATGACACGAGGTGAGTGTGTGTGTGTGTGTGTGTGTGTGTGTGCGTGTGCGTGTGCGTGTGCGTGTGTGTGTGTGTGGCTAAAGTTTAAGATTGAGAGAAAAATTTAATTAGATTCTACATGCCTGCTATATCTACACGATTCTACATCCGTGCTATATCCACTAACTAAAAAAAGAAATATTTTTACACACGCGTATTCGCGAAAGAAATCGTGTTTGTGGGCAAGAACAGTTCTAAATTTTACTCTCTGGGTAAATATTTTAATGTACCTACGGTTATTTTTGTAAAATATATTTGCAACGAATAGGCAAAGTTTCAGTTTGCTTCTACTCGCTTGGTGCCAATTTCGAAACTATGTACTCCTCAAAAACAGGACTGTCCCGGCCAAAACGGGACGTCTGGTCACCCTACATAGCAGGCCCATTGTGCCCTTTGTATCCGAGGGCAGCTCCTCGCACTCCGAAACGCGATGCCTAATCGACGGGCGGCAACAGCGACGTGGACTTCTCCATAAATCTATCTTACTTTTCCATGAGAAGTAAGATATATTTATGGAAAGGTGGAATACGTTTGCCTAAAAACCACACGGTATTTGGATTGCTATGTAATAAGCATCATGAATATTGGCTTGAAGCAATTAAAAACAATAAGGAATATGTAAAAATGTTAGCATTTTTGATAGTCTTGCTACAAACTATCTCGTTGCTGCAGGTGACTGTAAAAATTCTTATTGACAACCCTGTAGGTATACTGCACAAAAAAAAAAGAAAGGAAAAGTTTCAGGATGTACAAATATATATTATGCAGAAAAACAACTAAATTTGTGCAAAATTGCGTTTTGCCGTTTCAAGAGCCGTCAATTCTGCCTTGAGGTGGCCCAAAGAAAAATACGAAACATGGTGACTTTTACAGAAGAGTTTATTGCCTTTTGTTCTTGAAAGTTTAAATAAAATAATTTTCTTCTAAAGAGGAAAGAAAAAAAAAAAAACGTTTTGAAGTTAAGCTCTTGCGCCGCAACCTGGCGACATTTCTTGCGCCTCTTCTCTGCACAGCACGCCACCGTCGTGCCTGGCAATGCGTGCGACGGTGTTACGGTTTGCGCGAGTTGTCGGGTGTATCTTGGTGGGAATAAGCTTCTTTCCACTCTTGTTGCTTTATGGTTTTTACTATTTCGATTGTTTTGCTCGACGGGGTCCTCCTGTGGTCGTCCAGTGTCTTGACAGCGCTGACGGGTCAGAGCATCCACTAGTAAGCTTTCTGTTTCTTACGTACACATCGCAATAACTCTCTATTGTCAACGTCAGGACACAATTTAAACAGCAACACAAAAGCTTAGTGAACGGGCAATCTCAAACGACGAGGCGATGTGGTGTTAACGAATGCGTTCCGTTGGAGGCTCACGCCTCGTTTGTGTTTAGATCGGCTTTGAAACGGCAAGTTCTTGCGTCGCTGAATTGCTTCGCTTTTAAACGCATTATGCGTGCAGCGTGACTGCTAGATTTCGCGGCGATATTGTCGCCTTCCCCTTTTAGGAGAAGTCCATGTCAGCTGATGCCGCCCGTCGATTAGGCATCGCGTTTCGGAGTGTGAGGAGCCGCCCCCGGATACGAAAGGTACAACGGGCCTGCTATGGCTACGCACTGGCGGCACCTCCGATTATCTACACGATGCCCGCCGTTTCTTCCCTTGCAGCTGAAAAGACGGACAAGGGGAAGCGGCAGTAAACTCCGTTCTTTTTTTTGGAACTAATCGTGTCAGCTATCGTCGCCGGTGGCGTGCTGTGCGGCGAAGAGACGTTAAAGGGATGCTGAACCGATATCTGGATTCCCCAAAACACGCGGCGAAAGCGTGCAACGGGATACTACAAACACCAAAACATCACTCATAGAGCGCTATCTCGAACGGATGACCGTATTTTTCAAAAAAAAGAGGCGCATTTGGCAGGAATGTTGACGTCATGTTTTTCCGAGAAGGAGAGGGGACGGACTCGCGTCTTTTCCGCCTCGCGGCCTTGAGGGAGCGAAGCGAAGAGAGGAGGAATCTAGGTATCTTGGCAGTCACGCGCCTCGTCGGCCTGGTTCAATCTCGATCTCTTTTTCCAAAAATACGGCCGTCCATTTGAGATATCGCCTTACTAGTAGTGTTGTAGGGATTGTAGCGTCCCGCCTACATCTCCAGTATTGTTTTTTTTTTTATCCAAATTTCGGTTTACCATCCCTTTAAAGGGATGCTGAACCGAAATCTGAATTCCACAAAACACGTGGTAAAAGCGTGCAACGGGATGCTACAAACACTAAAACACCACTCATACAGCAATATCTCGAACGAATGACCGTATTTTTAAAGAAAAGGAGGCGCATTTGGCAGGAATGTTGACGTCATGTTTCTCCGAGAAGGAGAGGGAACGGCCTCGCGTCTTTTCCGCCTCGCGGCCTTGAGGGAGCGAAGCGAAGAGAGGAGGAAACAAGGTATCTTCACGTCACGCGCTTCGTCGGCCTGGTTCAATCTCGATCTCTTTTACCGAAAATACGGCCGTCCATTCGAGATATCGCCTTACGAGTAGTGTTGTAGGGATTGTAGCGTTCCGCCTACATCTCCTTCCTGGATTGTTTTTATGAAATCTAAATTTCGGTTCACCATTCCTTGAAGAAGCGACGCCGGGTTGTGATGCGAGAGTTCAACTTCAAAAATTTTTTTCTTGCTTGAAACAAAAATTACTCTGATTAAACTTTCAGAATCAAAAGACAATCGATTGTTCTTCCAAACCCACTATATTTTGTATTTTTACTTGGACCACCTCAGGGTGAAACAAACGACTGTTTATGCGTCAACGCTCTTTTTGGCAACTGCGGGATTTTTTTTTTTTTACTGCGAAATATTTAAATGAACGGTTTAATTTTTTTTGTAAAATATATACCTGCAGGGCAACCAAAAAAAGTTCTATTAAGTTCCCGGAGCAATTAGATATTTTTAATAAAATAACAAAAAATGTTAAAATAAAAAAAAGTGTTTTTACACAACTGCACAAGCCTAACCACATTGCAAGTCGAAAGCCCTGCAGATTTCAGAAAAATACATTGTTGGGTGTTTTATAAAAAAAAAGTTGATTTTTCATAAATAATAGAATGTACCTAGTTTCACGCTATTTTTAAAGTTAAACCGTGTCCACGCCATCAAGAAATTTTTTTTGTCAAAAATATTTTAGGGCGTAGCTACTAACAATGCGGCAAAGGCCATGAATCTTTCTTTTTCTTTTTTTTTTTTAGAAATCGAAGGTGGTCGAGAGCAACACCTGGGACTTTTGACATGGAATGACCCATAAAGAAACAATTGCTTCAATAAAAACTTGTTGGTGGTCAATCTACGCCGTATCGTTTCGTTTCAGCGCTGTTCTGGCTGTAGTACCATTGATGGCCCATCCCCAATGACGTCACAGCAGCAGCTCGAAAACGTTTGTACTAAACAATGTAGAGATGGCGCGAGCCACCACCCAATTAAGGGGTTTAACTATACGCATTCTCTTTGTATTATATATAGTAACCGCTTTTGATATTATTTAAATCGAACCAAAATTAACAAAGGCTAAATATCGCTTACAAAAATAATGATATAACTTTTAATGTTCCGCTCACAAACGTAGAATATGTTCAGCCTCCGCCTTATGTACGGCCAGTACGGCCGCCAGGCACCGCCACAACCGCATCAAAATGGTGGCTTCCTGAGACGCGGTCGACGCGGTTCGTTGCTGGGTGCGTTGGGGAAGATGTTTGGTCGCTGAGTGCTTTTCATTTCGGCGTCTTTTTTTTCTTTCCACCCTTCCAGCGCAGCTTTATATTACCTCATTCGCGGCCAGCCCACCCCCAAGCACGGCTTCCTTCCCGAGTTCCGAAACGCGTTGCAGCCTCAAATGCTCGGGTTTTCAAACCCTCGGCGCTGCGAACCTCCTCCTCCATTGCGTACCTCGAGGAACGTCGTCTTCGAGTTGGATAGGTAGGAGAGACCGCCGCTCGGTGCGGTACCAAAGACTACCTCCGACATGGAGCAGACCGAGAAAAACGTGGATACCCTGTTCGGCATGGGCTTTCTGGACGTTGAAGAGATCCGAAGCGCACTTCGTATGAGCAGCAACGACCTCAACGAAGCCGTGGCCATTCTGACGAACGAGAGGTACTCTGGCTACCCGACAGCAGTCGACGACGTCGAGATGAAAGACGTGACTTCGACGGCGCTGGTGCCCACGGCGGCGGCGGCCCCGCCGCCGCCTTATGCGTCCCTTCCTGATGCCAAGGTACGTTTTGTGAATGGACGTTTTGTTTTATTCTTTTTTTGCCTGTTGCGAGCTAGGCGTAGGCATGGCGTGTGCACCAGCTGACACGCCTTCTAAGGTCCAAGTTGAGGTCGTGGTGCTGTACACGCGCGTTTTTAAGGGCGTATACTCTTTGAAGCTGTTGTGGGAGCTGCAGCTCAAGAGTCTGGAACTTTTTTTTCAAACTGTCCCCTTGTTTCTACTTTCACTTTAAGATAAGGATTTTGCATGTAGATGTTGGCGAAGTTCGAGAGTCCTGAGGTTTAAATTTTTAGCATCAACGCATTGAATATCGGAAGTTTCGTATTAGCTATGTGTATACAATAACTATTTTACCACTGACACTGCAAAAAAAGAAAAAAGTTAGACAATGCTGGTTCATGAAACACTACTGCAAGGTGCTGTGACCCGTTGCCTTGCTGGCTGTGATCCAGCTGACAGTTTAAAAGTTGTTGCTGTACAAACCTGCTGGCATGCCTTACACTGCCAGCACTACAAGCTGTAATGGCTGCTATGATTGATGACGGCATAGACTCTGTTGTTTTTACGACGAAGTCACGAGGTACAAAAAACTAAATTTTTCTTTAGTAGTTTGATTTTTTCACAGCATACCTTCTCGATGTTCATTATGCACAGCGAGGGCAACGGTGAGAATCCCAAAGGGTCCTTTCTAATTGGCAACGACTGTAGCAGATGAAATTGGTCTTTTGTTGCAGTAGGCTCGTTACTCCTCTTCTGCTTAGTCATCCTCCTCCGCATTCCACCGAAATCATAGCCTCGTGTCAGCAGTGCACTTTCTGCACCGATGCACTTTTTGTGCTTGAACAAAGATACAACTTTGGTGGTAGTTTGAGCGTCGACTGGACGCATACACTGCGCAATCTGGTTAGCGTCTAGCGCACCTACGACTTTGTAAATTTTTCACATTTTACGTCAAAAGGGTGCTGGCGCTCATCAAAATTTACCACCTAGATTAGTACCCTTGCTGAGCACTTTCCACTGCCCAAGTAGTTTCGATGACCATCCTTCAATGCCGAGAGAAAAATGAAGAGGTCCGGTGATGGCTTGTTTGCATTAACAGTGCTGCGGTGTGCACAGTTGTAGCTGCTGTCAAAACTATGGACTATCACGCCTGCCCAGAGCCCATCAGTCTCCGCATAAATCGCAGCGTTCGTTGGCAATCGATATGCTCATTAACAAGTAACAACGGTTGTCATCACGGAAGAGCCGTTAAAGATGCCAGTTCTGTTGACAGCAGTCTCTTTTTTTACCGTTGCTGGCAAAGCATGGTGAAATCCTCGTAATCGCACTTCGTTTCATTTTAACTCCGACCGCAATGGACGCTACAATTCGACGGAGCCAATCAAACGGCACCAAAATCGCATCCTCACGTCATTTGTTGACTTTGTTGGTTTGCCATTACCATCTTTGCGGCACATGCACCGCAAGTGATTGGTTTTGTCGACGATGACAGATGCACAAAAATGACAAGCGTCGTGATGTTTACTCTTGGTGCTGCCTGTTTGTGCTCATTGCGTCGTAGCGTGAGCTACAATCAAACTGGAAGCGAAACAAGGTATGGGAGAGATTCTGACGAAAAATAAGTTAACGGAATGCACCAACATTGCACCTGTCTCCCGGTTGACCCTTCTGTGGACACTTTCCGGATTCAAATGCTGCGAGCGTACGCGGGCCGCTTAAGGTCGTGGTTGCACTGCTAGTACGTCGTACAAAAGACAGTTTACCGACACCGTCTGATGTGCGCTTCTTCCTTTTAGGACGGTCCTGTCTCATTAATCATACAAAAACTGTCAGCAGAGATGTTCGAAGCATGCACATGTACGAAGCATGCTGCAGCATTTTCTGCAGCGAACACCTTTTTTGTACGACATGCAGTGCGACTGCAGCTTAATGTTCTCCGCACTCCCGTTTCCCAGCCCTGTTCTCCGAAGCCGGAGGAACTGGGCGGCCTGCACTTCCCGACGACCAACCTGTACGAGCTGGAGCAGAGGGTCTTTCTGGACCAGTGGTCCATCCCGTACAAGAAGGACGAGTCCTTGGCCAAGTGCCTTGTCGCAGCGACCAACCTCGCGCGCGAAGGTGAGGGGTTCCGAGATGTCCCACCACCGGCTGGATGGGGGCTCAAAACAAAATTGCACCAAAAAATTCACACCATTAGAAAGAGTGGCTGCTGTGACGCGGTCGCCTCCCAGAATTTTTTGCGGTGCGCCGCAGAGTAGGGAAGTGCCACTTCGGTCCAGCTGTCCTTGGTGGCTCGTGCAGAGTCCACCCGTGCTCAAGGACGAGCCTTCTCGGAAGCCTCAAACTGAAAGAGAGACTGCCCTTTGTCGAAAGATTTGCCATACTTGCGCAACTCCGGCCTGCACCCCTTTTTGAAATCATATACCTGAAAACTGTCTGCGCACTAAAGTCAGATACGAAACTGACGTTGGGGACAAGTTAGAATCACTATTCTTGGGTGTCAAAACTCTGTGCGCTTTAGAATCGAGGCTGCATTAGAATTGTGTAAATATGGTAGCTTCTTGTTTATAGGGAGGGTGTCTGGAACCATTCTTTTTTTGTTTGGCTCATGGGTACAGATTTTATTTTTTCGGAGGGTGTTTTAAGGAGTTCATCTTTTGCCGAGAATTCAGGGTGTATTATTCTTTGATACTCAATTCTCTCAAATTCAAAAACTTAATTTTGCAGTGTTTCTTTTTATATATAAAAAAAAAGGGTGTAATGTGTGCTAGCTTCGAAAGAACGAGCTTGTATCAATGATTATTTCTTCAACTGGATTTGACATTAGCGCCATTGCCATTTGCAATGCTAGTTTGTCCCACGGCAAAAGTTGCAAAGAAGTGTTTCTTTGATAAACGTCGAAACCTTAAAATCAATGAACTCCTGGAGGTGGTCTCTGGGAAGCTTCTATTCATCCCATCCTACCCATCAACCTGCTCTGTGGCCATGCTAGGTAGTGGAGTAAAGGGTGTAATATGGAGGTTTCAACTGCCCGCCCTCTCTTCCCCTTCTTCGAAATCTCTATGGTTCACATCTTTCACTGTTACAAACTTACAACCCCTCCTTCCATCCTCTAAGAAGCACCATGGCCCAAACTGGAAACCGGAACGGACGTTTTTGTCGTGACCAGAACCACCTGTTGTCTTCACGAACCTTGACGAGAAAAGCAGTAACATTCCTTTTGTCAGTGGTTTAAGATTTGACAGAAAAATGGGGTGACATTTTCTCTAGACCATTGACCTTGTGCGTTGTCCTAACTTCACTGTAAAATACCGTTTCTTCTTTTTTTTTTTGCATTGGTACATTGAAATTTGGAGTTTATCAAATAAATCAGAACTGACGAAAATTTTACCGGCGGGTGTTTTTAAAAGTTTTTCGGGTTTAGCCGAAAACACAGACCCTAGGTGTTGTTACTAAAGACACTTTTTGCCCGGGGTGTCTAATTTAATTGTCAGCAGAGAGGAGTCATGTGGTTCAACACACGTCACATGACAGTCATGTGACGTATTTTGTGCTCTTTAAGAAAAAGGGTAGCGGTGAATTAGCAGTTTGTGACCTTGGTTTCCACAGCTCTAAGCTACCGAATGATTTACCATGAATGACGGCGAAATAATGATGAGAGAGACCTTTCTTCGAACGCAGGTCAGTGTGAATCAAATGCCGACTGCAAGAACTTCATGGAGTCCTGCATGCCCGAGTCCTTCAAGAAGGCAAGTTTCTCTCTGTTTGTGAGGCCACGTAAACGATCCTGGCAACGTTTTACGTCGGACATTTTCCTGGCATGCTGCGTTTTAGCTTTCGCAATTGCGTGAGGTGTGACGCGATTTCCGCACAGAGATTTTGAGATTTGCACCGACATGTGCGTGACAAAAAGCCGGTGCAAGCAGTGCGGTCCGACACCGGTTGAAATTTGGGTTCGTGTCGGATCATCACTTTCTCCACAGCTCCTGACGACGCTGGCGGTTCGCAACTGGACTCCAGATGTGCAAGAGGGCGTCTACAACATGCTTATGCTCCTCATCGAGCTTGTGGTGGAGAGGCTGAGTCATCCTCCCCTCCCCGAAAAGCTCCTCTCCAACGTTCTGTCTATGGTCAGTCCTCAGAACCACTCCTTGTTTCTCGGATGGACATTGGGCCTGTGGTTTTCTGTGACCATCGGCACTGTAGAAGAAATGGGCACGGTGGTAGCCGTACAGTTTGGATGCACCTGCAGTGTTCTCCTTCGCCTCGTGATAGCTGTTAGCTCAAGGTAGTTCAGCCTGTGACTAGAACCTTGAACTGTGTGTGCTACAGGAATAATGGGCGGTGCTAGCGGGCACAGGTCGTCGCACCACTCTGAGCGTACTGTGTGTTTGAGTATTCACTGGAAGTGAAAAGTGTGCTGTTAGATAATTTTAGGGTATCTTAAAACACTGCAGACTTCTCTGCTGGTTACCCAAAAGCAGGCATGGGTCTTCACCTATAATTATAATGCAATTAAATGCAAAGGTGCAAGCGAGCTGGACAAGAATGACGAAAGTAATCCCTGGAGAAGGGGAACACGAGGGACAAAGGACAAACATAAATCTCCAAACACAGCTAGGTGACTGGTGAGCGACCGAAAAAATCCGCCTGGTCCGGGTATCGAACCCGGGACCTCTCCATTACAAGTGGAGCGCTCTACCAACTGAGCTAACCAGGGGTTAGACGTCAGTAGAGCAAACGGGTTTTATCAGCCGCCACCAGTCGAACACCAACAAGGGTGAAGCTTGCAATTTAAGGTTATAATTATAATGCAATTAAATGCAAAGGTGCAAGCGAGCTGGACAAGAATGATGAAAGTAATTCCTGGAGAAGGGGAACAAGAGGGACAAAGGACAAACATAAATCTCCAAACACAGCTAGGTGACTGGTGAGCGACCAAAAAAATCCGCCTGGTCCAGGTATCGAACCTGGACCAGGCGTGTTTGCCTAGCTGTTTTTTGGAGGTTTATGTTTGTCCTTTGTCCCTCTTGTTCCCCTTCTCCAAAGATTACTTTCGTCGGTCTTCACCTGTGGGGGGGGTTGATGCCAGTCGTCGGCAATGACATTTGGATCTCTTTTTTAACATGCTAACTATGCTAAGTCAATGATGCAACCCCATGTGGATCAGCCGGGTAGGTAGGTTAGATATTTGATGTCCCGTGGAAATTTTTATTTGTCCACAGTTCTGTTTTTTCTTCTTTTCTCGACGGGGTGTGCCAACAGGCTTTTGACCCGGACTGCGAATTCCACATCAAGAACAAGAATCGTTCGAGCTCCCTTGAACAAGGGCTGACTGTCTATGCAAAGTCTAAGGGCTCTCTGGTGAGACATGCTCCTGATTTAACTGAATCTTCAAAAATTTTCTGTTTTTCTTTTGGTCTTGATGTGTCTAACACTTCCTGACATTGCCACCTTTCTGATTAGTGTTGCAGAATTCTCATAGTGAACCTCTCTCGTTACCAATGAACTTGGTATCATAGTTCAATTGCAGACGCCTAGGGAAAGTGACACATCTGGAGCCCTAATCTAGGCACTTTGGAAAAAAGACAGCGAGAAATCTGGCGGCTGTGATGGCCGGTGCCAAGGTCAAATGCAGTGTTGGCCGTTCAGAGCCTCCTGATTTCTCGCCAACTGTCCGAATTAGGTTCCCTGGACAGAATTTTACCCTCACTGCTTTTTTTTTGTTAACATGTACTCCAAAAGACGGACAGGGATTGTAGCATAGAAGGGGGAACATCAGGGCCTTGAAATGGTTGAACACTGAAGACTTTAACATTAGTATTGTGTGTACTGAGAGTTTGCAGTCTTCTTTGTTGCTAAATTTGAGTCATAAGTGTGTACAGCTGTAGTAGCAAACTTCCAGATGACCGTTGCAGGTTCATGATGGTTTTAACAATCCTTCTTTTAGGATCCTCATGGCTGGCTGTTGGACATCATCAATAAGGTAGGATGGCAGTTCTCATGGTGCAACCTTCATGGTTGCACCATGTTGCACCAACGTTTGTGCAGCTGTTCACATTGCGTGCCATTGTTTTTTTCCCAGTTTGGTGGGCGTGGTGGCTTTGACAAAATACGGGACAAGTTTGCGGAAAGTCTGACGGCAAATGTGAGTGCCCATTTCTGATAATTTAATTGTTTCCTGCTCAATTTTTTTGTTTTTAGTCATGATGTGTGTTGTTGATTAACCTCGGATGCGAGGTAAAAAAACAAATATGCTCACTATACGCCAGAAAATGTGGCCTTCTATACTGGGGCAGAGAGAACTATGACTGATTCTACTCCTGCATTGTCAGTAAATTTTTAATTAAACAATGACGTCTTCGTGCAAAAGATCTGGAAGTTCTAAGTTCAAACCCATACAGATGACTATTTCCCCCATAGAAGTTCAGTACTAGATGGTCAAGTAAAATGATTTATGTGTACCAGAGTAGGAAAGGAGGAAAATATGAACCTGATGTTTTTGTTACTGCACTGAAGGGGACGATTATGTAAAATTTTCTTTCCCTCGACTTTTTCAGCAAACATTTTTGCTTCGGTCATTTCCACTAGTTTTTGTGCGACGCACTTTGTGAAGAATTATTTGCCAGATGTGTTTGGGATAAAAAATGACCTTTTAGCATGAAGTGATCCCCCAATCCCAAAAGCAGTGATGTGATTGCTGCGCCAATTGCGCCAAACTGCGCCTAGGGGCTAACCCTGCTACATCCTGCTACATTTTGCCGAAATATGGGTAATCTGCGCCAAGCCTGCGCCAAAAGACTGATTTTGGTCGTCTTTCAAAACCGAAACTAAACTGAGTACTGTAACTGAGCATGCATGAGCTAGGCGGCGCAAACGGCCGCCCAACAAAAAGTACCCTGTATCAATCGTCCATCTGGTTTTACATAGTTTTTCCCGCCACCTCTCGTTTCACGCTTGCGTCGTTCATGTGTCTCGTCTCGCGTCTTAAAAAAAAAAAAAAAATTCAACGTTAGACGGGGGCATGTGTTGACTGACGCTTCAGTGCTTCAGTCGTTGTACAAAGCGCTCCAAGCGCTTTTTGACTCTGACTCGCGATGTCTTGACCTGACTCGCTCAGGTTCTTTTTTCTGTGTGTTTAGCTTGTACCTCGCTTGCCGGCCAGGAAAGCACGTGCCGCTGGACTGTTTTTTGTCGTATTTTGCATACAATTTTGGAAACCAGTTGGCGATGGAGCGGAGTGGCATGGTGTCTGTTTCGATCGAACAGCCATCTCCGCTCGCGCGACGAAGCACATGCAAATGAAAGCCTGCCAAAGTTGCCCTCATGTGCGCGCGGACATGACTGCACGACAGAGGCACCAGCCGGGACGCTTGCAAGCCATTGTTTTAAGTTTGCTTACTTTTGACGAAAATCTGGCGCGTCGGGAACCAGTAAAACGGTGACAAGCGGTTTTTCGGAATTGCTCGGCAACGCCCACAGCGGGTCTATACCACATGAGCGAATGACGTTTTAGTGAACAGCGACATTTAAGCGAATCAACGTTTTAGCGAATAACGGGGGCGCGCGTTAACCCATCCGCCGCGCTGCGCTTTACGCCGCTTCGCGGCGACAGTCTGCGGCGGCTCATAAGAAAAAATGTGAACCCATTTGGCCCACCCGAAAACGCCGCTTCGCGGCGTCTGACTATTCGCTAAAGTGTCATTCGGTGAAACGTGGGCGTTCGCTAAAACGTCATTCGATCAAGTGAGTGCCTCCCGCCCACAGCACTGTTCATTTGTGGGACGTCTCAATGTCTCTTTGGAGACATTGAAAGTGGGAATTCATTACTAGCCAAAGGCAAAGCAAGTCTTGCAGGAGCCTTGTAGAAAGTTTCGAAAAGCAAAAAGAAAAGCACCCGGTAGTCTTAATGCACCTTTGTCTTGTATACAATTTCGCATTGCACTGCAGTAGTTACCTGTTTCATCAGTCGGAGACAGCTTCCATTTATTATTTTATATAACTGAGTCGGTCAACCTAATGCTGTGATATTTACTAGTAAGCTGGTCATTTTCAAATAAATTTTAATATGTGCAGTTTGGTTATTATTTATCTATAACCGTACATATATATGTATAACTTAATTTTAGCATTGCAAAATGTGTCATGTCATTGTCTTTTCAGTAACATGTTAAAAGACTCCCAGGTGGTCGAACTTGACCATAATCTGTTTATTGCGGCGAGCGAAGTGGCCTTCGTTCAGCACTTAAAACGAATATGTTTATTTTTCTAAGAATATCTGCTCCAAAAGCCACTTTTACTGCTCCGAAACATTGTTTTGGCTGCTCCAAAAGCAACTTTTGCTGTTCCAAAACACTGTTTTGCCTGCTCCAAAAACCACTTTTTCTGCTCCAAAGCACCGTTTTGGCTGCTCCAAAAGGTGCTCCAAAACGGCTTAGGCCAATCACATCACTGCAAAAGCGATAAACACCCTTTTTAGAAAAAATGAAGAAATTTCCTGTGCCTCGTTTTTTACGGCGTTCCCGACTACTACGGGCGTGTGCCAGCTGCGACACCACGAGTTAATTCGTACAGCAGAAAAGGCACATTCTGAACAGCTCCAGAGTTCACATATGTGTATGTGACGTTCGAATTTCACACTCGTTCCGGAATCCTCGCAGGAAATGGCTGCGCTCTTACAGCCCCTGGCAACGTGCGCCCAGTTCCTCAATCCCGAGACGACGTGTTCTTTGCTTTCCCCGTGCATGAGCAAGGCTATGGGCTACATCAAGGGACTCACCGACGAAGACCTCAAGAACAAGGTACACTGATCTTCACCACAAGAGACAAGGCTGTCTCTTGCATCACTGTAGACTGTTAAACGGTGATTTTATTATCTTCGCGCAGTTGGCATTTTATAAAATTGAGTACTTGCTCTTAAAGTGTCTGCAGGTACTTTACGAGCAAGTACTAAATCTTATCAAACCGTCATCATGCACCATGCTCTGTAGCGGATAGCTTTGTCTACATGCAAGCAGTAATCTCATAATTGGTCGTTCGCAAGCTGCTTACTTTTTGGGAGGTTTTTACCTCCTAAAAAGCTCCACTCTATCCTCGTGCGACTGGTGTGCCTTCGTGAATGGTGAGCAGAAGTGGGGGGCAGCAACAAGGGCCTTGCTTTTCTTTTTTGACTAGATCCGGCTTTCTTTTACAGTGGTAGTTGTTGTAGGCCCTTTTCACCACTGGAAACGACGTCCCTCTTAGATGTTGTTGTTGTCATCGTTGATGTTGTAGTAGTTGTCGTCATCGGTGTTGTAGTTGGCAACAAAGGGTGTCCGTCGTCGATGTTGACAAATCTTTGGAAAAGATCGCCCACCGACCGTGGGATTCAAACCCGGGTTTGCTGCATGCAAAGCATAGGTTTTTTTGTAGTACCCGATTCCCACTGCACACATTCTCTGGAAAAGAAAAATAGCCAATAACAAAATTCCGTCGTAGCACCGTCAATGCCAAGAGCTCGTGCCGAGAGACGCGCTTTCACGCGCTCCCAAACAAAAAAAAGAAATAAAAGCGTTCAGAGCAAACGGGTTGCGCGTCCATCTTGTCTTCCGAACGCTTTTGTTCACGCACTCCCCGGTGCGTGAAGGCGACACCGATGCCCAACTGCTCCGCCGTGACGTGTCGCAGCTATCGCCATGAACGTATTGTGAATTGATGCGGGACTGCTCGGTGTTTTTACCTGTCATCACCTGATACAATCCAACCAGAACATTGGCTCTGTGACGGAGCTACTGAAAGCTGTGAAGATGCTGTGTGTCTACCTGTGGCCGCAAGAGATTGCCACCACCAGCTCCCTCTGCCTGGACGTCATACTCAGGATGCTGCGGTGCTCCCACTTCAACGCCAGAATGAACGGACTCAAAGAGGTACTAACACGACGAGGACGAGCATACCGTACATTGGGGCGTGCTCTTTTAAGGGACGCTCCTTGGAATGAATATATCTGCGAACGTGACTTGGTGTGGTCGTTTTGAACTTGGCCCAATTTCAAATCGAAGCTTGCTTGGGTCGAGCTCAGCTTGGCTTGGTTAAAGGGAAGGCCCTAACGATAACGAAACAGCACACTAAAACAGACTCTAATCATAAAAGGCAAGAATTAAGAGAAAATATTTTCAAGTATATTTCTTTTTTGCTTGATCTAAAGGTCTGAAATTTTTGTGCGTAATAATTAGTAAATTATTACACGAAGAGATGGGCACATTTAGTGTTTGGTTGTATCACATATCCAGACTATCTGCAATGCACATTTTAAGATTTTTTTTTCTTTAAATTAGTTTTGTTCGAGATTTAGAATTTGCATCTAAATAATTCTTGGCAGGTTTGATTCCTCATGAATGAAAAAGTGTAATCAGCAGACTTGGACGTAGTTCAACTACTCTACTCAAACTACTATAGTTTAACTACTTTTCCGAGTAACTTGGTAACTTTAAATTACAACTTTATTTGGGTAATTAGTAGTTTAATTTAACTACATTTTTCAGGTAACTTCTACTCAAATTACTAACTACTTTCAAAATATAGTGCTAATTTTGCTCATTACGAAAGTTTGAGCGCAAAAATAAATAAGTTGGCGGCAGATAAAGCGGCATACCGAAACAAGGGGCCTCCTCAGATTCCGTTCCCACGCAATTATACTCGGCAGCCGTAGAAACTGCATCACAGGCGTCCTGGGGCCAAGGTGGCGACGAGCAGCCAAAACATAACACCGGCGCGCACGAACGCAGGCAGAGATGCTTCACAAATCTTGGTCGGGTATTGGCCTAATCCGGTAATGCACGCAGGCGCCGCGCCTCGAGCTGCAACCGTGAAAGATGGGGACACTCCCAGGGTCGTTGTTTTTATGTTGTCTGCCTTTAGTGAGTTCTGCCTCAAGCGGTTTAAGGGTTCCATGTGAGGCACCACTGGAATGACCTTGCAGTTGGGCGCCTGTTCCCATGGCCGTTTCGTCGTTCAGCGCATACTCCCTTGCAAAGCCGGACTCGCCCGTGCACAAACGCAGACACGGATAATCCGTTCATGGGAGCACGTTCCCGCTTCCAGCTGCAACTGTACGAACGACGGTGCTTGTTCACGTAATTCTTTGCGTCTTTCCGAACTTCCACGCAAGGGGAACCTCCTCTTTGTTAAAAACGATTTACTTTTCAGGCATGGCAGGCGCGTCAGGATACCGTAGTCGCCGGCAAAAATTGCGAGTCACCCTTGGGGGATCCTTTTGTTGGACCCGGCGTCAGCGGCGAAGTATATTTCGTTTCATATTCTGCTAAACCAAAACATTTTTTTTTCAGTAGCGTAGCGCTACCACTGTAACGAGACGCGGAGTCGTCAGGATGATCTCATCGTCGTGGCGCGAGATGACAATCAGGTGCACTCGCTCAGCGTACTCTCCGAACGTCGGGGGAATAAAGAGGGGAGTCATAACAATCTCAACTTTCCGAAAAAAAGAAAAAGAAAGAGAGTTTGTTAAAAAGACCCTTTAGCCGAGGGCAACCTCACATGTTTCGTAATGGACACTTAAGATGCCGACACTCGCTTACCCGACCCTGCACAGTCTGTACCTCAAATTCAACGCTGCCGTTCCATCCAGCGCGTCGGTGGAACGCCTTTTTAGCTTGTCTGGAAACGACTTTAGGAGGAAAAGGGGAAAACTCTACTATCAAGAACCTTGAGAGTCAATTGCTTCTACGAGTGAATAATCGATTTTGGTGAAAACGCAAGCCATAAAATGACTGCGTTTATTTTAGTCTGGGCGTTTTTTTCACGGATCAAACTGCTCTTCATTTTGCTAGCACAAAAATATACAAAGTAACTTGGAAAGTAACTTCAAAGTAACTCGCTACTTTTTTACAGTAGTTAGTAGTTTACTCAATTACTATTACAAATGAGTAATTTCTACTCTACTCCAATTACTTTTGGCGTCGATACTCAGTAACTTAACTTAACTACCTTTTCTGAGTAATTTGTACATGTCTGAATGAGAGCAAGACTTTCAAATATTGCATATTTGTAATTTGCCATCACTATAATGAGTGACCAAGAGCATCGAAGTGCTCTGGCCAAGTGCACGTGCAATGCACATTCAAACTGTTGTGATTAAATCTTCAAAACAGATTGACAAGTTTTACCTTCAAAACTAACTACTGGTTTCTCGAAAGCTTCCCAACACAGCCACCCCTTGTGCGATGACTGGAACGGGTAGTGGAAACAATTTACCGAAGCTGAACTAACCCTATGTTTTGCCAGCTTTACGATACAACTGTAACTTAAAGGCCATTTCCAATTTATTCTTCCAGCTGGTGAAGCTCATCGAGGGCTGCTCATCATCAAACTCCTCGAAAGCTACCATTCAGTCGGAGCAGCTTCTAGACTGGCTTGCTGAGAACAATGTCCTGTCCATCACGCTAGAGAGTAAGTGTGACAATCTAGATCCACCTGGACCGGACGTTTTAGACTAGACCATTTGACGTACAATGGCAACTGTTTCCTTTGATGTTCGTGTTGGTGCCGAATTTCCTAAATAAACTATAGTATGTCGACTGACGTAGGTAATTTATAGAGAATTGTTTTCACCCATGTCGTATCTGTTTGGATCTTCAAGGCAACATTGACCAGGCACAGTACATGGAGAAGATCAAGGGAATCATCGAATTTATCGGGCCACGCCTATCGCTCGAAGAATTGACCAAGATTTGGGCGATGCAGGTACTAATTTCTTATTCTGTTCATCTTGGGATTAAGATCTGGTTAGATTTCAAGGGTAGGTTTGTTTGGTTGGCTGGTTGGTTGGTTCTGATGAAAGGGGATCTACGTTGCTGTGATGGGTTATAAGTGGGACAGTAGACAATGTTGCTGTTTGGTTGCAGGATCGTCAGAACTGTCAGGTTGTGGACAACATTCATGGCATTATGGCCGCAGCATCCACCAAGTTCACCCAGCAGCAGTTTGAGCACCTAATTGCTCTCATCAGCAAGGTGGGCCTGTCGCAGTCTTTATAGCAGCAATACTTTTTCTTGTGACTTCTGGCAAGAACTGCTCGACATAAGTATGCTGATTTGACTTGATTAACAAATGCGGCAGCTTAAAAAATACATTTTGTTCTCGTGTGACCATGCTTTACAATGGGGAGAATGAAACTGGTACATTTCTTGCTTGAGAGTAGGGGTCTGGGAACACGAGGCCCGCATGCGACCTGCGACTCGCTGGGACGTGGCCCGCAGGCAACCCGCTACGAGTCCCGGCTCCCCTGTCTCAAGTGCTAGAAATGGCATGCACCATAGTGATCCCATCTCGTCGATTCATTTTCGCTCAAAAGTAGCTCTGCTCTTTTAACATAGTTTATACTTATCTGCGTTCCTTTGCCCTTTGTTCCGCTTTATTTTTTGCTTCCCAGCTTTTTGTAATGTACAATAACTGTGCTACTAGGCTGCAAGTGCAAGATACTCGTTGGAGGATACATCTCAACTGCGCGAACTCTCGATCAGCAGGAGCAACCGCCAAAGATAAAGCTACGAGCTCTGGATTCTCGCCTTCAGAAAATATCACTATAAAACGACGAGTATTTGTTCAGAGCGTTGTGATCGTCAGGAAAGCAAGAACTGTCATATTAACTGATTGTTTTTTTTTAGATACATGTTGAGCTTGGTTAATTCCCGAGTGAATTGAGCAACGGGAACGACTGTGCACTTGCTCTCTTGTTCCATTAACGATGCCAGCACGTTGACGGGGCAGTGTCGTTTCAATTCTTGTTATCGCATCAGGTCAGGGCCCAAAGTAGTCATATAAACAAATAAAATCTATTGATGTCACTGGCACAACTGTGAGTTTACAAAAAGCATAAAAAATGAGGACTCTTCTCTTTAAAGTCCTTTGACCCCCCCTCCCCGTCTTGCGTTGGCCCTCGACCTTTCTGCCGTGGGCTATCTGGTCCCCATGCTCAAATGAGTGAGACCACTGAGCTATAGAAAGAAATTCTATTCTGCTTTATTGTGAGTCTGCAAGTTCACATTTACTTCATCACAAATGATTAACGCTGTATTTACACCATTTTAAATGTTAATTTATTCTCTACCCTTCGCTTTAGAAAAATATTTTCTTCCTTGTTTTCAGCACAAAGCCACTCTTTTCAGAGCGTACCGTAAGCACCCCTGGACTATATTAAAAAGGGCAATGCGTAGTCAGTCTTTCACTCAGTTATTGTACAAGCATGGCATATAATACTTGAGTAATGAAGTGGTTGATCGAAATGGCACAGCCATTGGGGTCCTGTGACGTTGAATGAGCGTGCAGTCTTTAGTAGGCGCTGTGGGAGATTCACAGCTATCGGCAAACGGAGTTTACTGCGAGACCTCTCGATCGGACAAGGGTCGACGGCGCTGGGCCTCGGCTGTAAATGCGCCTGCGACTCTTCAGTTGTGGCGTACAAAGAAGCGACAGTTTCTTGCCCGATCAATGTAGCAATGCAGGTTCAAACCCAATTTTTTCGAACGCTAATTTTCACTTCGGGCTGTGGAAGACGAATTAACCTGAGAATGTTATAGTAACGCTTTCTTTCATTTGAGAATTCCGCTGCTGCACTCGACGACATATTTCCTTAGATCGCTATTTATGTGTTTAGTTTCTTCTCATTCTTTTAACGACGTATTTCACTCCTGCTCTGGCTTTCATCGGAAGGCTGCAGCATAGTTGAATAAATAACTAAGTGATCACGTGACTGTTTTTGACAGGCCTGGCGCAACGGCAGCGACATTACGTGGAAACGGCTGCTCGCATTCATCGGGAAGCTGGGCAAAGAGAGCAACCAAGGCAAGGTCTCCACCAAAGTGAGCATCATCTTTTCACTCACTTCACTCACTTTGTCGCCTTCCAAAGCGTGACGCCTTGTCAGCGTCTTTTGTTTGACGTCGCTGCACCTCCGTGTACAGCTACTCGACCTGCTCTGGGAACTCTCTCACTCGTCGACGTTGCCCAAGACTCACGTCGAGCAAGCCGTCGAGGAATTCTTCAATATCCTGTCGGAGATGAGCAACCGGGACCAGGTCCGGAAGCAGTACATCTCACGCTGCATTGACGACGTCAAGAAGGTGGGACCCGGTCTTCTGCCGCCGCGAATCGCGTTGCACGTTCGAGGATCGTTGATCTTGTAGTTTGTGTTCAAAGGCTGGTTCACTCGTCTGCATTTCAAGTGCGATGAACCGCGTTGCAACCGCTTTCCCGTCGTCATCCCAGAACAACTGGGTGATCCCGGCGCTGAAGCTGCTTCGGAACGTGAGCGGCAGCAACCAGAAAGTCAGCTACTACAAGCAGGACAAGGTGAGGTCGGAATCTGCTCGTGCTTTTGGGAAGGAAAAAGTCCCGCGAGACATTCTCATCAAATCGGTCATACTATATATGTTCCCCTGCCCTAAGCCAACTAGAACAATCCCATTCACAAAATGTCTCGTTTATATCTCTACAATTGAAAAACGAGGTTACGATCGTCCAGATAGTGCCGTGTCTGTTAGCGATTCCGGTGTTCGCTTTATGCAAAACACCCCACAGTAGTCTGAACCATATATATCGCTAGATAGTTAGACAGGTGCAATCCATAGAGCCTTGAGACCAGACTGTAATGGATGACACATGACACGCATGACATTATTTTCTGGTTGCAAGATTCAAAATCGAGAAGCGGCATGCGGGGAGTGGGAGTGAGCTTTGATTGTGCTACGGTTTTGGATAATTTTTCCAGTCCATTTTCAACGAACTGAGCCGCAGCCAGGACATTGTGAAGCTGATTTCGTCGAGCCTGTCCCAGTGTCACAAGGAAGCGGTCAAGCTGGCCCGCGGAAAATCTCTCCTGCCCCATGTCTTGGTTGACGGCGTCTACACCCACCAGGAGGTATGGTCGAGAAATAAATCGCGGCTTCTTATTAACAATAGCTTGACGTTGCATGATCAGTGATTCCAGTCTATATACCCATTCTCGAGATATCTCGATTATAGACACCGTTTGTCCGATTAAAAGGATTGTCAAAAAAATGTTGCGCTCCTATTAGCTCTATTTCAACATTGCAGACTCCACTACAGTCGAACCCGGATATATCGAATTCAAAGGGGATCGTAAAATAGTTTGATATATCGACAATTTGATATACAAAAGCATGTTAACTTAAGCTCCAGTTGAAATTTCCGCGCATCTCTGCTAATACCACAGGCCGCAACAAACAAGACCTCACCAAATAGAGCCCCTATTCGGAAGCTGCTTAATTCCAACAGCTTTTTCGTGTAGTAATTCACAACTTCTGTTCCCTCGGCCCCATTGAGTGCGCTGCTTTTCAAGCACTGGTGCACTGTAGAGAAACAACACCCGTGGAGCTCGGGAGCTCGGTAGGTGTTGCTTTTCACCAAGCACCGGTGCACCGGTGCTTGGTGAGATGCGCACTCAACGAGGCTCTAACATGGCACGCATGAGCTATAAAAACGGGTGCCAGGTAGAAATTTCCAGAGCGACTTGCATGGACACTGTGATGTGGCAACATGGCATAGGTCCACGTCACAGCGTCCGTGCAAATTGCTATGAAAAGTGCTGCGTGGTGCCCGTTTTCATCGCTCAATTGTCCCCTGCTTCATAGTTGGACAACTTCTTAATGTTATCAATAAATTTTGAGTTGTCGTTTGCTGTCTTAAGAGTCCACGATAAACAACATTTTGAGGGATAAATAAACTTGTCATACATTTCACAAATGTTTCATGTGTGGCGTGTACCTGCTTATGATCAGTGGGCCTATGTAAGGAAATAATCATATATCTGCTTTTCATGTGTAGCCATTCGTATGGCAAATCATAATTTTTTCTTGCATCATATTTAGATAAATTTCTGATAATTCAAACACAATTCATGGCTTCCTAGAGTTTGAATTAATGAGAGGTTACTGTATATGCTTGTAATTCTGGTACAAGTGTTTAAGATACTATACCCGTAATATCCCGAGTCATCGCTCATCCCCGAGCCATCGCCCACCCCATTTTTTGGGCCAATATCGATTTCCGAAAAAACACCGAGTCATCGCCCACCCCTTCAAATACCTCAGCGCGGACTCGGTGATCAGCGAACACTCATCCTACCCGAATGACGTGGCCGCGGACCTTACAGTTGGAGGACGTCCGTGACAAAGTAAAACGAAGGAGGGAAAGACACTTCTTTTTGTTTACGCATTTCCTCCGTGAGCGACCCCAAAGTGGTCGTGTATCGTGCGAAAAGAAAACGATGGAGATAACAAAATAAGAGTTTGTTAATGTAACCGCGGAGTGTTAGGTCAAAGTCTGTCTCCGCCGAAGTAAGGTCACCGCGAACCCGCTCCTTCTTCCCGCCCGTCGCGACCGCGGTTGTGCAATATTTTAGGCAAAGCCAACGCGTAAATAAAGCTTTGCTGGAACGCCCTACACAGACGTTTGCAGAGCGTCCCAACCGTGCATTGATAGCCCGCCGTGCACGGACGCACGTATGTACACACCAAACAAGAAAGTTGCGCAAGAGCTTGCAATTGACAAGGCGCCCGACTTGGCCCGACGCCAAAGTATTTGCCAACGCGACCGCCGGCTTTCCCACTTTCCCAGCATTGCTCTTGGTCGCTTCTTTGGTCCGCTCGCTCGCTCGCTCGCTCGTTGCGCCTGGTCGGTTTTTCTATTTTCTTGTAGACTTTTCTTTCTTTTTTTTTTTTTTTTTACTAACTAGGAGAACATAGTGGTGACATTCTTTCACGGAACAAACGTTCGCGCTATATGCAGATCGCTATATGCAGATCGGCGGTGTTTCTAGCGCATATGCAAGCAACGGACTTCGCTATAGTAAAATATTCTTTCGTGAGCATTTTTTTCTATAAAATAACGAAGCTAAATCGAGTTTTGAGTTTGATGTATCTCTTGTGCATCAGCGCTAGATACGCAGAGAAAAATAGGCGGTTTTTTCCGCTTTTTTTCAAGTGTTTGTGCTCACCCACCGAGACATGGCCCACCCCACTTTTTTAACGAATTTCAGGCGGTAGGGGGGTGGGCGATGACTCGGGATATTACGGTAGTCTTTTTTGTGAAAGTACTTTTGTATGGAAAGGTCTTGCCATATTTTCAGATGTTCTGTGGCAACAATCAAGGAAGAATGCGGGTTTATTTGATTACTTGTCATCTTACAAAACTATTCCGACTTTCTGGACCTCATGTTTTTTTTCCCCGTTCTTTCCATTTCAGCACGTCATGACGTACCTGGACTTCCTGCAGTTCCTGCTCAAGGACGGCTCCCAGTATCTCCAGTGGAACAGGGCCAAGGAGATCTGGGACACCCTGGTAGCCAACCCAGACGCCTGCAACCCGGACCGAGAGGCAAGCGTCCCTCAGATTTGCGTTCCCGAAGCTGACATGCGTTCTCGACTGGAAGTTGATGCAGCATTTTGTCCGCCTACTCGCAGATGTGCTTTGAGTGGTTCGAAAAGTGCCTTCAGGATCTCGAAGCAGAAACTCAGTCTCTGCTGTTTCAACAAAAGTTGCTGAAGATGGATCCTTCCCAGATCACCTCGCAAGGTCCCTCTTTTTTTTTTTTTCTGTTTTTTCTGTTCTATTTAAATAGACACCCAGAAAGTGTTTCCGTAAAACAATCTCTCTGGGGAAGCAACTAAAAGCTGAGAGAGTCTTCTTTTTCGGGACTTTTGCAGCATTTTCCTGCTTCAAGACTTACTTCGAGCACGTCAACACGCACGAGGGCAAGCTGAAGAAGCGGGGAGGCATCACCGTGAGTTCCGCGCTATTCTTTCGCAGCTCGCGTTCAAGCTCTTCTGTTTTGTTGCTGTGGCTTTCCTCGAGTTTTGTTTTGTTACTTTTATACTCCGTCTCGCTTCAAGTCTGACTGCTGCCGACGCTGCTATCCCATGGGGCCAGTCGACACGCACCTGAAGTGCAGCGTCGTGGTGCGCGTCGCCTTTGTGCGTTTGTCGGCACCGATGAAACAAAATGGCACAGTGAATGCGCCACCACCCCACACTTTTTTACGTACCCAATCGTTTTAGCCGGTGATATAGCAAACCCACAAAGACAACGGGCACCAGGACAATGCATTTTTGGCACTCCTTAATTGGCTTTAAGCTCCTTCCACAAAGTCTTCCACTCTTTCCAGTTTAGCAGAGCGAACACCGGAGAGGAGGAAAGCTTCAATTGCAGCGAGCAGAGGGCTTTAATGGGACGAGCTTGCCCCGCTATATTTAACCTGCAACAACTGTAGTAGAGGTACCTGAGCCCTTTTTCGAATCCACGGCTCGACGTTCGTTTTCGTCGCGGTTTCAGATTGTGGAGAGGCTGGAGCTGACCGGGCTAGATTTCCTCTGGCAGATTTCGTTGGCCGCCCCAGAGGAGGAGATTGCGGAACTCGCCATCGACTTCATCCTCGACCTTTCGTACAAGTTTCTCTCTCCGAAGCTCAAAAAGGTTAAGCCAAATCTTTGCTCGTGACTTGAGTTTTGTGTCTTCTTTTCTCGAGAGACGCCGAACGATTTCTTGACGTGTTTAGTTTACTCCCGAACATATCGTTCTCGCAGGACGTCGTTTCTCTTCATCATCGCTTCATCAACGAATGCTACAATCGATTGAAGGTTAGTATGCAATTTTTCACATTTCGCTTTAATTGTACTTGAGTTGCTCTCTTCAAAGTTTGTTAAAACCAATTGCATTGCGAATGTGTCTTTATTGCATGTTAAGGAGTTGATTAAATACAAATGACCCATGAACACCTCTGCTGATTTTTGGTTTTAGGCTTTTGCTTGTGATTTTCTTGCTATCGTGTGTTCCTAGCATATTGATTTTGATTGATTGTCGTGATTTTTCTTTTTTCAGGCTGTCGCCGAGACAATCGGAGACACCGCAATGACGACGGCGGTGTCGAACGCGACAAAGACGCTCACGGCAATGGCAGTGTCGGAGGCCATCTCTCTTTCCCTTCCAAAACGGTACGCAAACTGCACATAGTAACTGGAATAAGAAAAACATGCCTACGAAGTTTCTCTCGTACTTGCCTGCACCAAGAGCAACTGCCCCTTCACATCTGTACGTCTCACAAAAAAAGATCCTCGAAGGAAATTTTAAAAGCAGCATATTTTTCCGCCAAATTGGGGGAGCAAAGCTCACCTCATTTGGTCCTTTCATGAGCACACTATTGTAGCGACGTTCTCCAAATGATACTGACTCGCTGTTTTTTTTTTTTTTTCTTTTCTTCAAATGGGTTGCCAGGACCAACCGGTCCCAGAACATCTGTCGTCTGCTCCACCTTGCGGAGCGCTACATCTCATCCATCGAGGACCAGCACTCTGTGCCTCGAGTCATCCTTCCCCACGGCGCATCGTTTTACGGCTTCCCAGTCAGCCTATGCATCGTCAGTGACAGTCTCAAAGATGAAGTAAAGATCAGGGTAAGCCTCCAGGCTTTTTTTTTTTTTTTTTCTCTTGTTTCACTTTGATATTGATATTTATTTTAGCGTTTGCGTCTAGAAAAGCTGCTTAAACACCGGCGTAAATTTTCTTACGGTACGAACAAAAGAACCAATTGCAACAGCTCCAGCACACACTTTGAGTGCCTCTCTAAGGAGCTGTGAAAGAGTTACCTTCAATAAATACTGCTCAGAACTAGTTCATGATGTTCACCGCCTACGAAACCCGTGGTAGTTTCTTCTTCTGTGCACTAGCGGCATTTGTCCTCAAACAAACAAATTCCATTCAGTCGTTTCACACGTCCTTTGCAGCTCCTCTTAGGAACGTTGCGAGCGAAATAAGCTAGCGAATAAGTGACATTACGTCTTCGTTTTCGGCATCGTCACGTTTTGTGACAGTCTGGTTACAAATCGGAGAGACGTAACGAATGCCAGACCTTTCAGAATTTTGCAGGTCACCGTCTGCATCCACACTTTGCGACATAGCAATCTCTGAAGAGCATCTTCCCGATTCCAGCAGTTTCCTCCAATTGTTCACCGTGACTGCGTGTCTTCTCTTTGTTTTTGTCTCCCTCCCCTAGTGCCACAGTAACTCTAGCATTGGCTCGATGAAGGAGAAGGTAGCCCGCTTGTTCAAGCAGCTGCCGGGGAACCTGCAAATCTCGATGGACGACACTCCGGTGCGCTTCACAGCCCACTTCATTTTCTTGTTTACGTCTGCCCCTACTATGCTTCAACCTCTCGTTTCTTTGTCTACAACTCCACTCCTTTCTCTCCATGCGCTGCTGTCACAATGCTCCCCGCACCATCTTGATCTTCCAGCTTGCCCTGCTTTGCATTTGATGCCTGAGCGTCATGTATGCATGTGCGCTGGTTCGCTTGTCAAAGTTGGTACTGACTTAGGAAAGACTTGCTTGTGTAACATATGTAACACATAGCTTGGCGATTGCACGCTGCTTCAGTGTCGCAGAACGCTGTTGTCGGAGGCATGCGGCACACTGTGAAGGGGGTATGGTACTATAAAGCATTTTCGTTGAAAGGTTTTGAGCTTGTGAAAGAGGACTGGTTTTGGCATTGCTTATAAACCTGTGTGGGGTTTGTAGTCGGGTAGGTTAGTGACCTCTATTGATCAACTTTGAAGGCTGGAGTGTTCTTTTTTTTTTTTTGTCTATTATTTGGCTGGTGCATGCTTGTCCTTTCCCTTCTTTCTTTTCCCCTGCTCAATTTGTCTCTTGCAAGTTTCATATTTTCCAAGTGAGGTAAAACCACCTACCGTATTTGCACGAATATAACGCGAGTTTTTTTTCGAAATTACGTGCTCCAAAACGCACCTCGCGTTATATTCGGAATCGAGTTCAGCCACGAGGCGCGCGAGTCTGGAGAAAGCCAGAGGAGAAAGTCATCCCTCCAGCTCAATGCAAAAGATCCAATGGAAAAAGAAGTGGGGGTGTGGAGGGGCATTTTCTAGCCATGGGGCCACGTGAAGGGGCGAATAGAAAACATAAAAAAGCATTTTTATCGCTATTGTGTTTTTACAACGCGCGCACGCCGCACGCGCGCGCGCCATGCGGGAATGCGGGCACCGGCCAATTCGAGCCAAGCCAAGCCGGGCCAAGTTAAGTCAACACAAGCCAAGACCACCGACCGCGTTTACGCAATCGTGCAACACGAGGCATTTGTTTACGAACAGGGATCAGAACAAGAAGTGTGATCGTGTATCGGGTTCAGCAGTCTTTTTTCTGCCTGCGCATTGTTTAGTTTCTGCTCCAGAGTGGTCTGGTGTTTGTGTGTTGGTGCTTCTGCTTCCGCGCCTTGTTTGGATTGTGGGCTGCCGAGGAGCTCCCACGGAAGAAAAAAGAACTACCAGACAAGCAGGTGCCGTGCTGCTGCATACCTGCGTAGTCGCCAAGTGGATTGTAAACGGAAGGACCTGAACAGTGAGGATGAGTGCAGTCAAAACATAAACTATATTTCTTCTATTTCCATTGACTTTTCACTTCTGCTATGCCCCCGAGTGCGAGAAATTGACGCGGCATCGGTTCGCGTTATAATAGTAATAATATTTTTTTTTCTTTTTGGGCGCATCAAAAACTGCCCCCGCGTTATATTCGTAGTCGCGTTATATTCGTGCAAATACGGTAGTTCATTTGACTTGCCTGGGAGATGTAAACTTGTCTAGATGAAGGTTGGGAAGCATGCCTGGGCTGTAGAAGGAGGACTGCATTATCGCTGGCAAATTGCGAGCTGTGAAACCCCCAAAGCTCCGCATTTTAGCACAGTCATTGTTGTCAGACTTGCCATTGCGTAAACTGGTGCGGTGAGAACACAGCTGTCGTTCAAATCAAGTGCTGTTAGGCGATACCTTTGTCAAATGGACTCAGCTGCTCCAGGCAAATCGAATGGACCCTCCTTCTTTCCCTTTTCCGTTAGGCCTAAATGAATTTTCGTTCCACAGCTTCCGTGTACTGAAGACCAAAAGCGTCTGTCACAGTTCAAGTTGAAAGAGAACCAAGTCGTCCACGTCAAGGTGGTGGGAAGTGGTCTGGTGCTGCCTTCACAAATCGTTAGTAACTCCTTATTTTTTTTGTTCTTTTTGTTACTTGGTTTCAACGAGCCAGTGAATGGTGGCTACCACTTGCATTATCAACCCTGCTCACTGATACGGCCGCAGAGACACTACCCTAGTCTATTTGGTTATTTCAGTCCTAATGATGATAACTGGGGACCGCAGAAATATTGAGCAGATGGTCGCTGATCCAAATTTTTATCGACGTTGTCCTCTTTTTCCTTTCAGTCAAAGCCGTTCATTATTTATGTTTATTCAGATGTTTCTCACTGTGGTATGGAGCCCGTGTTTTGTTCTTTCTTTTCATTTCACGACAAAAGGAAGAGGATGCGGTGGTACCGCCGCCCTCCGCCCAGGCGTCTGCAATGGCGGCCGCAACGGCATCCCCGTCGGCTGGGCAGCAGCCTTCATTCTACCTTGAGCAGGTTTGTTATGTTCTCCAGCCGCATATACCATAATCCCCAAGCTCGTGTAAGCTTAGCGTTGAGATCAACTCACCAGGCAGTCACATATCTCTTAGCACGTCACATGTTCTAGAGCTACATTTTCTTACGTTAATACTCTGACATTCAGCTCAGTATGGGCTTATAGAGGAATCATTCGAGTCCGACGTGGTTGAACTAAAAGCTCTTGGCAAATGTCAAGAGATTTTCATCCAGGGTGAGGCAACAGGATTGTTGGATGACCGCATTTTGTGATCGTTACGGAGGCGCAGGTCACCAACATCTTCCGTGAACATAATTGGACCAAAAGTGGATTTGGTGTTAGAGCTGTTTAGTTGCCTAACAAGTTTAGGAATCATCATGGCAGTAGAGGATGTAATCAAGAACAATCCTATGTACACCGCGCGACACCGCTAGTTGAACAAAGACATCGGGGCTTTTTTTCATTTTACTCCGAGTATTTGCGGGCGTCAAACTCTAACGCTTTGGTTACTTCCCTGAAGGGGAACTTTCCGCCACACTACCAGTTTTTGTGACAGCTCTCCAGGTTTAAGAGAAAACGAAAAATCTGGCGATTGCCCGTTCCTGCTAACATTGCCACACTCTGTACCTAAAATTGATCTGTGAAGCCAATCTATTGGTAGACTCTACCTTGTCGATACTATCTTGAAAACTCCAGGAGAAGCAACTTCCCGGCGTGGTTATCTCCAGCGGCGGCAACGTCTTCGAGATGCTGTACCAGCTGGCCAGCATGGATGATCCCAGGTTGGCGGATTTAGCAGTCTGAACCATTTTAATCTCGTGAGATTAACACTCATTAAGGAGATAAGAGTTCAAATGTGCCTTTTGTGGTAGCGTAGCGACTCTAGTTTCTTCGGTATAGTTGCGTCGGCGTGCAAAGTGCTAACCCTCCTGCGGGGGGATCAAAGCATCGACCTTTCTGAGAAATGCCGATATGTGTGCGTCTTCTGTTTTCAGGATTGCAGAGCAAGTTCAGACGCTGCTGCATCTCATCCCCCCCGACCCTGCCGTTATCGACTCGCTCGACCAAATGTGCACCAAGGTTCGTCATGTTTCCCTCTTTTAATGCGTGTCAGACGGGCCGTCTTTATTTTTGTGGCAGTTACACTCGTCCTTGCGTCTTTCTTTGCGCCTTTTTCTCTCATTACCAATGTGCACCGACTAGCCCACCTTCAAACTTTTTCTGTTCCTCCCTCGAGCGCAAGAGGTGCATCGAGCACATTCGGTAGACTAAAAAGTGGGCTCGTTTTTTGCTCAGTCGTCTTTGTCCAAACCGCCGGTTCTGATTGCCACCTCTCTCCCTCAGACGTCTTCGGCGGCAAACTCCTCCGACGCTCATCCCGCTCCCTCGAAGCTGTCGGGCAGCCCCAAGAAGAGCGGGTCGCCCGCTCCCAGGGACAAACCGGAAGGCCCGGACGTCGTCCTCAAGCGACTCCTTGAGCCGACGTCTCGCAATCTGTCTCCCTTTCGCCTTCTCTACAACTTGCAAGTAAGTCGAGGCATGGCGGTTGAAATTGTTGCGACGGCTGGAGCCGCTAATCTACGCCCGAGGACTCGTTCACACCTTTTGTATTTGAGCGCGCTCGACTGCATTGCAACCTTGTACACGACACACGAAAGCTGTGAGAGACTTGTGACGAGGACTAGCCAGTGCCACCTGTCAGGTAGCCTTAGAACCTTTCCCATCTGCTTATATATTTTGCGCATCATTTTTTTGTCGCGGGATCAAAACTATTCTGGCAGTACGACAAGCGATCGTTTCTCGTAGATAGTGCATAGATTTGATCTCTCGGACGCTGCAGAACGTTGGGCCTCCCGATAGCCAGATCGGAAAAGTTGCACGGCTGCCCAATTGATAGTGGAAGCGTGCCAGTCTGTTGCCTCGTCGTAAGCGGTTACGAGAGGCCGCGAGGTTGCCGACACTTGGTTGTTACCGAGTGTGCATAAAGGAGAGTTGGCGCCGTCGTTGTCGCAGGTGCTGAGTGCCAAGCTGATGCCGGCCAATCAGGATGCCTGTTCCAATGTGTTCTGCGAGAACTTCCTCAAGGTTGGCGGGCTTTCCCACGTGCTCCGGGTGCTGCACAGGGACGCCTTTCCCCCGGAGGTCGACAGCGGCGTGCGGCAGGGGTGCTACTTCACCGCCCTGCAGATCACCAGGTCGGTGATTGGTTGCCGGTGACGAGGTACTTGTTGGCAGGAACGTGCGATAGCTCTTTTCTGTTTCGGGGACATAGATCTTGGCTCGTATTGTGTGACGTTTCAAGGAGCGCTTGGTTGTAGATCTAGCAGTACCTACCATTCTGGGACACACCCCTCTTCCATGCGGGGCCACTAGCTTTGAAGTTGGACGTACGCTCCACAGAATTAGGCTCGTTTGATTTGCTTACAGCTCCCGCACCAGCTACAGTTGGTGCCTTGTTCTTTTCTGCTGGCGGGTTTGAATCCCGGCCGAGGTGCCCGCAATCTGACGGAGGCTTATTGCGGAGGAGGCGCCGTGTAATCGAGCTTTCGGTTGCACGTCAAAAGATCCCCAGGTGGTCGAAATTAATCCTCAGTCCTCCGCTGGGGCGTGCCAGATGCCCGTCGTTGGTTTGGCACGTAAAACCCCCAAATTTGACTGTTCTTTTCTGCATTGCGCTACACATGTATCTGCACCAGTGTAGGCTGGGTAAGTAAATCGGGGCCAATTGTTAGTGCAAACAAAACCTTGGCGCTTTTTTGGGGTTTACCTTGAAAAGGGGTTGAAAACTTTCCGACTCTGGTAACTGCCCCAAATGAGTGCCTCTCACCATACTAGTAGTTTTTGATGACAGCCTTTCGATTCTAAGAGAAAGCGAGGGAAAACTGGCAATTGCTTGTTCGCACTAACTGTATCTTTCTGCGTACAGTGTTGTGTATCGTTCTTGAGGTGGTAGACTGGGAAATGTTTGGTGTTGAAGTAACACTTGCATGCTTGTTCGCTTGTTTTCATTTGCTGTACCTTGCAGATTAGAAGAGTGGTAAGTTGTTCATATCTGGACATGCAAAAGTATGAAGTTAGTGCTATGAATGTGAATCTCGACTGTAGAAAGGGGCTCATATCAACTCTCTAGTGAAGGAAAAGAATAAGTCCAGAAGTCATCCTAGGTTTTACTATCTCTCATCGCATTCCTTTGTTCACTCTCGAACTTCTTGCTAACTAAGAATGCCACCAGATGGCTTTCTGCGATCGTGTTAGAACAAATTCTTTCTGAAGTGGTGTGTTAAAGCGGTAGCTTTATAGAGCCAATCAACGTCACAAGTCGCATAAGCACGAAATGTGAAGGTCAATCAGTCCGTAAGCACTAAACGATATCGAAAAAGAATGGCAACCGGTGCCAGCGATGGAATCCTAGTCACCAGCGTGGAAGCCGAGTGAACTGCTGACTGAGCTACAAACCCAGCATGCAGGAACGGGAGGTGTAGAGGCGGGAGTTGTAAGGAAGCTTGCAGAGCAGAGGGGGGGAAAGGGCAAGAAAGAGAGGATCAGAAACGGGTGGTGTAGAAAGAGCGTGTGGAATGAGAAGGAGTGGAAAGGCCAGGAGATGCTTCTCCTTTTGTGACCCAGAAAACTCAGTGCAAAAGCTTTGTATGTGGGTGGTGCTAAAGAGAAGCACACGCAGCGTCGCAAAGAGACAATGGTGTGACGTAATCTGTTTTCATACGAAACCCTGCACTAGGTGCCACCCGAACTAAGAGCACCACTCACCCTATAAAGCTACCCCATTTGAGTGCATTTGGCAGAAGTACCAAATATGCAGCCAAATTTATACTTTATACTCACTGTACTAAGTTGGTGAATTGGGCGGGTTGGTAAACGTAATACATGACGAAAACAGCTGAAACGACAATGACAAAGTGAAGAAACATGCGCAACAGCAGGACGGGACGCTTTCATCATGTATACTCACTGTTACACTTTTCTAAAACAACTGCATCCTTTCACACACGCTTTGTTTGAGCACTCAGCTGCATGGGGTCTGCTTCGAATAACATCTTTTTGTACCCTCTCATACCCGTCCCAGGTTCCTGATCTGCGGCCAGAATGTGCCGCACGCCCTGCAGAGCTCGTCCGCGTGCCAGGCACTGTCAATGAGCGCCACACCGTCGCCGGTGAAGCCCACCACCCCCAAGAAGCTGCAGGTGGATCTGGTGTTGGCTCCGGCCGTCTCCATGGCGACGCCCATCATCAAGGTGACGGCGGCCGCGAGTCACTGTTTTCTTTATGGTGGCAACGTTTGGTGCCTGGCGTAAATATTAGAAATGAGTGCAAAGGAAACCCCCCCAAAAAATCCTGTCCCTTTTTACCGTTACTGTGGCAAAGGCAGTAGTAATACAGAACGCAATGCAGCGTCGAGCTAGATGCAACAGCAGCGCTGCCATTTCTGGTTCCGCGGCAACTTTGGCACCGCCACTCTGGCGGCAAGACATAATAGAAAGGAGAAGATGAAAGACCCGCAATGCACCGCAGTTTTCTCGTAAATGGCCCTATCCAGAAAGCGCGCCGATGTGAAACAAAGTTAAAGGAAGAGAAAACAAAGAGTGCACATGCTCATTGGGAAGGCTGAAAGCCAGAGGAACTCTTTCGTCTAGCGCATGCTAGGAGTAGAGCGTGTTGCTGGTGTCTGGGTTTAATCGCACCATGTGACCCGCGGGAGTAACTCGCATCTATTCTGCAAGATGTGCATATGCCACTCATATTTCCTGGTTCCGTCACTTGAAAATGGTTAGGTGTCAACCTTACAGTGCATTCTGCCTTTAAAAAGGAAACGCAGACTAGGAGAATAACAACAGCACCATGTTTGGGTCCTTCTCCTTTGCTCCTGTTTGTTTTGTGCTGCTTTTCGATACTTCCCTGTAGTGTTTGTCACCTGGGAGAAGTGAGATTATTGCCATGTTCCTAGCGTGGAATCTCTGGTGGAAATGGGAGCTGCTAGCCTCTTCAAAACTTTCATGTTACACTCGCGCATGTAAAAGCCAATTTTGATAAGAAGTACATTTTGTCTGTGTCTGCATTTTGATTTTGTACCTTTATAGGTATTTTGATTATATCAGCATTACAAGCTCGCCATAGTGTCCCATAGATTAGGGGTTCCGAGACCTTTGATATTGCAGACAATGGAGCGGCCTGCCCTGGAGGAGGTGGTGGACTGCCTGGTGCGTGTGGCGTGGGCCTCTGCCGCCGGACAGCTCCGCCTCGCCAATTCGCCGCTGCCCGCCAAGGAGGGCACCCAGTTTGCCTCCGGCACTGGACGACGCAGCCGACAAAGCAGCACGGGTCAGTCCGGACGGGCGCCAATCTGCCCGGGGAGAGAAGGGGTTCGTCTAGAACGAAGGGCGTCAAACAAGACATCCCTCGGAGTTTCCTGTGCCAAAACAGCGGTGGAACATCCTACGGTTCCTAAGTTTAATTTTGCAAGGCTTCCAAGTTTCTAGATTTATGTTTGAATTTAAAAAAAGCTGGAATGAAAATTTTTTAAAGGGCATGTTACTCTTTTTTTTTTGTCCTAAATTTTTTCTTACTTTTTCTTTTTAATTTACGACGTGAGGCACAATTTGGGTGGAGTTTACCACCCGCTCTAGTCCCTGCCCATTACTACTGGATTGGCATCGCTGCTCAGCTGAACTCCTTTGCGAGTCTGTCTCTCTGCTGCGACGTCCGGTGCGTCTTAGTCTGCTGTCTGACACAGTCTGCTAGCCATGTGGGCAGATGCGCAGCAGTTTACGGTGTAGTCTGCTTTTAGAACACACTTTACGACTCTACTGCCACCCATGGAACGCTCAAAGCGTGGCTATCAAAGCGGCGCGTCCGTGTTGCCGTCGCTTACCTCTATCTGCTATTCCGCCCCCGTCCAAATTTGTATGCGGCGATCGCAAGACGTGACCATGAAATGGCGTTCTAGCATTGCATCATGCACAAGCCACGGTCTAATGCAAGCGTCTGTCAGCGTCTGATGAGGCTTAATAAAAAGTGACCGAAAGAACTAAAAAACAATTAACAAAATAAATATGCAGTCCTTTCACCTTTTCTGCTGTTGTTTTTTTGGACAGCGTCCACGAGCAAGGTGGGTCAGCGTCGTAACGAACAATTAATATGCGACCTAAAAACGTTCGCTATAGCAAGCCAGGCACACTGCTCAAAACTTGAGAGCTAAGGGCCTTCCGAAGCGAAATGACAGAAACGTACCTGGCAAACCTGATGCAAAGCGAGCACCCACCTGCTTCCGGCCAAATGGCTCGCTAATGCTTACCTGCGTAGGTTCCCCCTCGGTACTGAAACCACGGTTGCAATCCCGGCGGTTACGCAATTCCAGAGTAGCAGCGTTGCTTTACGGGAACAGACACATTTATTCAACGTCAAAACGTGCAAACAAACAAGTCAAGTTAGATCAAGCAAAAATGTCGACGGGGGACGCTACGTTTACACCAGTCCCACTACGAAAACAAACATCTGCACACCACTTCCAAAGGCACGTATTTGCGACAGTTGTTTGCTGCAAACTAGGTCGGTTCAAGAGATTTTTTGCTAAACACCTCGGTGAACGCGAAATGACTTACGCTCACAAAGAAATGTGAGCTCGGCAAGCTATGCGCTTGCCACAAATGCCGGCACCACCGTTTGAAGCCGAAGCGGAAAAGATGATGTTGTGATATCTTTGAAAACAATGATGACTTTATCTATATAGTTCGTTTTTCAAACATAAAAAGAAAATTGTTGTAGAAGACTACCACAGCACGGAGAAAGTTTTACAACAAACATTCCACACGTCAATCATCTTGCCTATTAATGGGAGTCGAAAAATAGAGTGTTGCTAGCTACATTCATGGCCACCTTTACATAAATTGCATCAGACAACCAAAAAATTTCATAAATTTATTTTTTCCGTGAAAAAAATAAAGAAAAATTTGTGTTCTAAAAAGCTTTATAAAATTATTTTCTTTCCTTTTAAGTGTTCTTTTAACATCAGTTCATAATAGCTATGCAAGTTGAACTTGCATCAAAGTTTGATGCTAAAACGGCATTTTTCCGGCACACAAATTTTGGACTTTAAATAAAATGGTGCGTCTTAAGGCAGAACTTTTAAACTTTTGGCAAATTTGCGGAAGATATCTCTCGGCGTCTAGGGTGGATAGAAGTATAATTGTTTTTGCGACATGTACATGTATTTTAGCACTGCATGTAATATTGGGAGCAGATTTTTGAATGCTGTAAGCCTAAGCAACTTCCAATCTTTCTATCGTTTCACTACTTGGTAGTCACACATGGAACCCTAAACTTCAATCTGTCGTAAAATCGCTAATAATGGTTCAGTCTAAAAAAGTACTTCCGGCATTGAATTTCTTGTACTTTGTACTAGCGTCTAGCAACACGTTGAAAGTAACTTTTATTGGGAACTTTTTTTCTCCGTCGTTCTTGCAAACGATGCCGGGCAATTCTAACTCGTCCGGAGAACTACTGCTTCTCCGATTGAAAAAAATGGTAAGACACTTGAGATTGCCACAAAACTTGAAAACAAGCCTGTACAGCTTCATAAAGTTTGCTTGGAACCTTACATGGAACTCGTAGTCTTGATGCAGGCCTTGTCTGTTTGTTGTGGGATGTGCAGGCAGCGCCACGAGCAGCGGCAGCGACGGCGAGAACTCGTCTGGGCTGCATGGTGGCATCTGCGTGGCGCAGAGCTCGGTGGACCGCCGCGACGTGCTGCTCTCCCAGGAGGCTCTTGGCGTCCTCTTCTGCTGCCTCGAGCTCAGGGAGGACGTTTCGGGTAGGGACCTCTTGCCGTCCTACGCAGAGAGGAGGCTGTAGACTGTTGCAGGTTAAGAAAAGTAGGCTCCTCCCACAAAGTTTTTATGCTTGCCACGATGGGTGGTTTCCTCCTTTCAACTCACGTATAGCGTTTGCTCAGCTAAAGTGGAAAGGGTCAAGGGCTTTCTTGTAGGAGGCTGTCCTGGTTCTCTTAACCTGCAGTGGATTATAGCTTTGGACAAGTCCTACGAATGTGCCCCACATTGCCCGCTTCTGTTCTTGTTACATTTAGAATTTTTTGGTGCTGTTGCGTCACTACCTTGGTAAATTTTTTTTTTATTACGTATTATGTTTTGTTCATATATAGCAAATGACTAAAAACACTACCCTCAAAGTTTTTTTTCTTTTTTGTGACATGTTTATTCCTCTGGCTTTTATAGGCACATTGTTGCCAGGGGAGTTCATATTTATGATTTTGCATAAAATTTTTTTTCCTTTTTTTTCTTTTTTTGTTGAATTGTAGGTGAGGGAGCACAATAGTTGTCAAGCTTCCCGCATTTGTCCCTTTTCCCCCTCCCCCCTCCCACTCTCACACACATAAACAGAAAGAATATCTCTGCAACATTGAAAGCAAAAAAGGGCCTTTTTCGGCCACGTTGTGTGAGGAAGTAAACACGATAGCTGTAGCACTTTTGCACAATGCGAGCAAAATGGTGTTGTAGGGGCAGTCTCTCGCTGGTCAGTGTGGGTACAACTGTGGTCACGAGCCACGGAAGCTAGCCATTCATTCCTCGCTCGCTTCTGGGACAGAGTACGGCCTTGGCGTGGCGGTGCTATTAGGAAAAGCAGTGACAACGTAGGCAAAGGCAGAGGTTTGCCTGGTGTTGTTGAGTGTTGAAGGGAGTGGGTAATGTTGACGATCAGCAAAGAGTGGGAGTGGAGTGGGGAGGCGGGGGTGGGGGGGGAATGCACGCAGGTAAACGGGGCAAAGCTCTGCGAGGAAGGCGGGTGCAAGGCAACAAGTTTTGGCCGATTTTATGTTTCGAGTTGGGTTTGAGAAGTAACGATGTGGTAGTGAAATTGAATGCAGTGGAAGTTTCTTGTACCCCCAACAGTACGCGTAGCAACTGGATACTGCCAAAGTGGGATTTCTTTTATTGAGAGTAATGTTTGAAAACTCCTGTTTTGAAGTTGTCGTTAGCAGACGACGAAGAAGATGCTCAGCCGACACTTCCTCGTCCGTGCCGTTACTGACGGGATGTCGGGGCTCTTCTCTCTTTCCTTTTTACATAATGCGACCAATGGGAACACCAGACTTCTCTCTCCTCGTGCCGTGAGAAAAGAGAGGGGTTTTTCCCCCTCCGCTGCGACGACGGACAACATCCGTAAAGCTATCACTTCAAAAACAAGAGTCATTGACCTTTTGCATTCTTATGAAAAAAAAACAAGTTAGTTTTAGAATATTTCGCTTCCTCAGACTTTCGGATTGGTTGGTGGTTACTTGCTTTTATCATAATGTTAACCCAACCAGACGGACTTCCATCGAATATGTTCTTGCGTCGATGTATCTCTTATCACGAGCTAAAGAAAACAAGGAACTTGAGGCAAGTTCACTTTTATTGCGGGTGTGGCTCTTGCGACCCTCATTGCTCTTGGCGCAGCCCGGTTCTGCGAGCTTCCCTGCGTCAAGGACTTCATCCTGGACGTGCTGCTGGGTTCGGGCAGCGGGGACGTGCGTGCCACGGCCCGGGACGGACTTCACCGGCTCAGCCGTACCGCCTCATCCATGCGGCCGTTTCTACTCGAGGTGCTTCTCAAGGCACACCTGCCACTCTGGGTGTCGTGCAGCTGCACCCGGGGAGTCAACCAGAGGTCTGTGGTTTTCTCGAGACCTGTTCACACCCTCGTGTATGCTTAGGACCGAGTTCTTGTGATGTCTCGCGAGGAGAGTTAATTACTGGACATCCCAACTTATTCAAGTACTGCCATTGTGTGATCGTGTTGCGGGCGCTCCTATTGGATGCCAGCAATGCATCGGCATTTTTGGCTCATGGCGCATTCAACATCTAGACACGCATGCTCCTATTGGTCTGCTGTGGTTGCCGGCAACACGCCGCCGGCGACGCGCACGCTCCTTTAGGTCCACTGTATAGATGCCGGTACCGTGCCGCCGCGACAAACTAGATTGGTAGCGTTGCTCCGCCATTTTTGGCTCAAGTGCGTCCCAGCAGGCTCCGGTGATGAAGCCACCGGAGAGGAAAAAAGTGAAGGAAAGGGAGGAGAGCCCCGAAGGAGCGAGAGAGAAAGAAGGGAGCAAGGAGGAGACGACCGCCATTTTGACGCAATGCTTTTTGCACAGGGCACTGTTGAGGCTGCACGTCGTCTGCTACGGGCTTATCTCTTTTTCGCGTGACTCAAAGTTTGCATTCAAATGTGGAGAAACTTCATTCGTTAGCTTTTTAAGCCATCGAGGAATAGCACTATATCATTTTCTTGCCTGAGCCTACTAAATAAAAGGAAAGGACCAAAATTTGGCTGTCGATTTCATGCATTCCGCCGAGCGAATGAATGAAAATGGCGGCCCTTCCCACTCAGCCGGGAGCAGCCGAGAGTTCACGCGCATCCGCTCACGCCTCTTGCTCTGCGCCATGGGCCGATGGACTCACTTTGGAGGGGGCCGCTGTCGAATGTAGTTACGGAACTTCCGGAAACTCTCTCTTCCTCTAAGTTTCTTCTTCCTGCCCGGTCCAGTTTCGGTTTCGAGCAGTTGCGTTTTTTACTTTATTAAAAATGTATGTGACGCTGTAGCAAAATATTAATTGGATAGTCTTCTAACACAATTATAAATCACCTAGCAAAAAAAAAAATTAGGGGGTGTTAGTGTTCCTTTACACTGGGTTCCCCTCAAGGGTTCTGCATTGCTCCAGTTTCATCGATCGTCGCTGCCCCAAGTGAATTCGTTTTTTTTTTCAGTTCAAGCAATATTTTGATGGACTTGGAGTCCTCATTGAGACATTACTATAGGCCAAACACTCACTAGTAGTGTGCATTATTGTTTGCGTTGTATGTAGGCTTCTGCGCAGCTTTATTCTGTCAAAGCCGAGATTGGAAGGTGTTTGTTGGGCCCTAAAAGTTTGAAACCCCTTGCCTTAGATAGTCTGAAATCTGTGCAGAGTCCACACTAGTTGTTTACTTTGTCTGTCTCACTCCTGTTCAAATTGGCAAGCCGTCATTTCCCTGACAAAAGGTACTCTATGCTGACTAATAGAACAATACAAAGGTAAATTCGTTATCTTCTCATAGCTCCTTTCGCTTTTAAAATTCACATAGTTTTAATGCAAACTAAGATAAGCGTGTGTGTTGACTGGACATTTTCTGCCCCAGTGGTCAGAAAAAAAAGGTTGCAAACGTCGGGGTAGTTCAGGCTGTGAATACAGTTACCTTCTTTCTGTAGACACCAGATGCCACCATGTTCTATGTTGTGGTTTTCCACCAAATGTTTTGTCTCGTTTATTTTCTATACATGGTTGAGAGGACACCAGTTTTTGTTTGTGGGCTACTATAGCTGTCTTGCCGTCTTGACAGAAAATAGAATTGAATGGTTTTGGAAAGTAGCTGTATCCTAGGAAAAGTTTGTGGAACTGATGGAACTGGGTTTTTCAATTCCTAGGTTGCTGGGACAGTGCGTTGAGTACTTCGAACTGGCGTGTCGGCTGCTCGCTGATTCCAAGGGTGAGCAGATTTAATTTCGTCTGCGTTATGGCTTTTGTTGGGAGTCAGATTCTTTTTATCACAGTTAGAAATCCTTTTTTTTTTTTTTTATCTTCAAAAAATGTAATTTTATAGTGTCCTAAATCTTCATAGGAATGCTCTAGCATTCCTACATGTAAGCAGTCTTAAGTGTCTTTAATTTTTAATTAGTACCAGTTTTTTCAATGAATGAAGGCTAGATACTTAAATGGAATGCAACCCCTAAATTCCCAGATCGCTAAATCAATATTGGACTTAAACGTGCTTGAATGGAATTGTAAGGTCTAAATTATCGAACCCTTATATGAGCACAGAATACCTTCGCTTGTAATAATTGAAAGTTAGACGTCCTTAAAGGACACATGCAAAGGAAAAAAACATTTCTTTTAAACAGCTTAGATGGAAAAAGGCTGTCATAAAACAATTTTACAACGAAGAAAAAAAAATTTTTAGAGCTATATTTACGGCGCTATACGAATTTGTAGTTGGCGCCGCGGGAGCTGCCGCTGGTCACGTGGTAGGCCCGCGCGCCGCCGCGCTGCGTCATTGCCACCGCAAAGTCGCGCCTCCGCCGCACGCTGAGCGTTGTGCGAACGCCGCTTCAACGCGTTTCTCCACGCCACCGTCGCCGCCGCCGCACAAGTTCGTCTGCTTCGGGGCGCCGCCGCCGTCGTCTGACCGGCGCACAGGTCTATCACGTCTGCTTTCGCTTTTTCAGGAGTTTCTTTTTGGCTCTAAAAGTTACCTCTTAATCTTAGTTTTTTTGTTATACTTCAAAAAAAGATGAATAAGTTACTTTTGGACGCCATACGAAGCTTCCGAAAGAACGCAAGCACCACGTGATAAATAAGGGCCACTTTTCCGCGGCGCCGGCAAGCGCCAACTACAAATTCGTATAGCGCTGTAAATATAGCTCTAAAAAATTTTTTGCTTCGTTGTAAAATCGTTTTATGACATCCTTTTTCCATCTAAGCTGTTAAAAAAAAAATGTTTTTTTCCTTTGCATGTGTCCTTCAAAGGAAAATGTAAGTGTAACCCCTAGATTCCCAAATTCTTAAACAAGTGTGGAATACTACCTTTTGCCTTTAAGGAGCAAAGGCTAGAAACGTTCAACGAGAAATTGTAACCCTCGCATTCCTGAATCCCTAAAATGAGCATTGAATACCTTTTGACGAATAAAGGTTAATACGCTCGAATAAATGTATATCCCCCATACCCGATTTCCTAAACGAGCATTGAATATCGCCGCAGATGGAAAAGGATCGACAAACGTAAAACTAAAAATAGAGGTTTAATCGGCGAACTTGCACCAAGAGCAGAGAAAATGAGTGTCGAAAAAGCAGAAGCAAGTGTTGCAGCGTCGTTGTGACATCTGGCTAGAGCGAGACTCTGACTGGGCAAGGCCATGCTCGGCTCCTCATCTACTACACGTGAAAAGTTTTGATTAGGGGACTTCCGTCTTAGTTTGCTCCTTCGTTGTGTCAGAAAGGCGTTCACCCTCGCGCTTTATGGAGAACACTGAGATCTAGAAATTAATAGCAAACTAAATAAGGAAGGATGCCCGATTCCTTGGGCGTGAACTTTCGGCCGACCGCGTCCTCCCGTCTCAGACGACACCAGGGGTCTTCCGGTGGACGTTTCCCAAATGCTGGAGGACGAGATTGCCTGGCTGCACAGCTTTTCGCCTTCGGAGAGCCAGCGAGACCAGAGCACAGACTGCACGCTCATGACTGGCCACTTCAACCTCATCCGCACCCTCATCGCCTGCAACGAAGACAAGAAGGCCGAAGTCGGTCAGTGGGCTTCACCGCAGTGCAACCTCTTCCTACTAGTAGCAAAGGGCTGCTCATTAAGCGTATGCATAAGTTGTAAGGTCTCCACGCACGAACTCGAGCTAATCTAAAAATGGGTTACGGACCTTTTTTTTTTTATTAAAAATACTCTCCATCGTTTTCGGCAATGTTTTCCCAGTGTCCTGGCAGCAAACGAATCTCTCGGTAGTAGAAAAATGCTGGCTTTGAGGCAAAAATGTTGTCAACCTGAGATTGTTTCTTTATATCTTAGATCATTGACGTGCAGATTGGACCTTGCCAACCTATGCTTAGACTTGATGCATGTCAGTGTTTTAACGATATCAAAAGTTCAAATGAATTTGTGTGAACTGTAGCACTACTTGTACCGCCTTTACAACGCAGGCTCGAGCCTGGTCGAAGGCCTTCTGGGCTCTTACCTGTTCCCAGCCTCGAACCTCATTGAGAAAGGGGCCAAGCATGAGACATTCGACAACCTCAAACCCAAGTAAGGATCGCAGTAGCCATTTTTGCGCTCTCGATGCTGCTGCAGTGGTTACCGTTGCACCGCGTCTTTGGCACATACGATGCGACTCGGTCGTCCTAAAATTATAGGCAGCTATGGTTTCGCCACGTCTTCTATGTGCGTGCCGCAACTAAGTTGTCCTAAGACTATAACGTTGACATGCCTGTGTTTGTGTCTCATATTGGCATGGCTAGCCTTCCTGCCCCTTTTCATTGGCCTTCTGTCGTACCCCATGACGGCGTTCAGTCCCAAGCACGAAGTAGCAGTGCACACTTAACCCACCTCGTCGGCTTCTTGCAGAGGTCACGATCGACGATGTCGACATCTCAAGCTTTGTTAGCACCATCGTTGCGGCCGACTACTCCGTCTTAATTTACACGTAGCTGCATGTCTCTCGAGTTACCTTGTGACATAGACATAGCGTGTTCGCGTGTGACAACGGCAGACTACATAGTCGCAAGCCGTAATGTGAGGCTGACGCGAAGCTCGTGCTCTGCCGGCCAGTTGAAGTACAATCTTTAAATACGTCTGTGATCTCGGTGCGAGATACTCTCTGGTCGTAGGAGCCCGTTACCGGCCATGTCATTTTCTTTTTGCGCCATGCAGAAGGGAACGGTATCCAGTGACTCTGGGTTTCGTGTGAGTAAAGGAGTTCCCCGCCACCGTTTTGCCAGGTGCTCCATGCCCGAGCCCCGTGCGGCTGCGTTCAGCATCCTCGTGGAGCTTGCAAAGTGTTGCCCGACCAACCTGGAGAGGATCGTCGGCTGGCTGACCGACAAGCACCACCGGCTGACCTCCGAGCTCGTCAAGGAGTTTGAGGTGGGCCGTGCGAGGTCGTCTTACAGTTCCCGGAGTGTGTCTCAGACCGGCGTGTTTACTGCGCGTCTAAAAGCGTTCCCTCGGTTCCTGCCCGATGTAGTAAAAGTGTCGTGCTTTTTGCCTGCTTGGATCCTGGCGGTGGTACGGCGGTGAAGGTGGATGGTATTGGACGCCTGTTCCGCTGTAAGTTGCTCGTCGGCCAGACAGTCGACGGAAACCAAAGCAGACGCGAGATGGGACGCCGCGACGACTGCCACACTCACGTCCCTTTGCCTTTTTTTGCTGGCGTTTCTACCACGAACTGTTGGGATCGCGGCATCTGACAGCGTGACACACCGGCTTTTGTGACATACTTCATTTGTTGCCACTTCAGGACTACTTTGGTTGCACGGGTGGAATGGGACGCTAAACACACCAGTCGGAAGACACGGTCCAGGCATTGTAGTCATCTTTTTGTGCAAACTGGCGCAGGTTTGTCCCTTCAATCAAAGATGGCACTTCTTTCTTTTCCCTTTTTACGGCGGTAGCTGTTAGTGCTCTACCTGGCGAAAAATGCTTGTGTACGAACGCAAAACCCTACTCTACAGCAGAGGTACTGTTCTCCCTCTCCCCGTTGTTTCTCACATGCGGCAAGACCCCCTCTCTCTCTATCTACCTATACTGCTCACTCACTTTCATCCCTTCCCCACTGTAGGTCTTCGGTGTTCCGAAAAATTCACGTGATCACGGGGAGAGTGCTCTCCTCTTCCTTGTCGTTCCTGCTGCATCCACGTACCCTCCCCCGATGCCCTCCCATCTTCCCCCTTCCCCACCCCTCCGGCTGCCGCCTTTGCGAAATACCAACAAGGTTGTGCTGGGCGGACACGCTCCTTCGCCTCCCCACTGCCGCCACGCAGGTTCCGTTCTCTTCTCTTTCCGCGCCTCTACGGGGCAGCTCGCATACCGTATTTATTCAAATATAAGGCGAGGTTTTTTTCCAAAATCCGTAGTCTCAAAGTCATACCCCGCCTTATATTCGAAGCTCAGTATAGCAATATGACGATTTTTTTTCTTGAATCCTTCAACTGCCCCCTCGCCTTATAATCGTGACTGCCTTATATTCGAATAAATACGGTACATACTTTTGCTTCTTCCACCGCAAGCACGGTCACTGGCGCTTCCGTTCTAAAAAAGCGTTTCAGCCCCCCAAAAAACGTGTCTCTGTGTCTCCAATGCATGTAACGTCTCGCACAGTCGTTCTATCTAGAGTCGCTGAATGTTCCCAGAGTACCGAATTCCATTCAGTTCGCTTACCGGAAGTCAGTCTTGCAGAATCCAGTCCCAATTGGCCAGTTTAGCCCACGGCGGAAGTTATAGTCGGCCATTTCGGAGATGGGCCCAAAGCAACAAAGAACATATATAAAACGTTTCCACATCACCACGGCTGCGGCAGGTATGCACAGGTGGGAGCTCTGGGCATCGATGAGTTAAAACCGAACACAAGGCGCGTCCATTTTTCTAGATTTTTTTTTTTTTTATATAAAATTGCCCATTGGTACACAAAGAATGTTTCCGGCTCGTTTGCTTGCTCTGGTTGCGCTAGTGCTGCGTTTCAAACTCTACGCCTCAGGCGCTAAGCCTAACAATCGACCTCAATGTTCTTCAAGGTTAGAAAAACAGACGAGACAGCGAAAAGCACGTTGTGCACCACTTGGTACGGAGGAAAAGAACTTCAATAAAAACAAACCGATGTTGCCACTGACCAGGAAAGGGAATTGAAGAGCTCGCCGAGAATGAATGGCCACACTGTACGCACCTCACTTTGACTGCACGGGGCAGTGGCATTTTGGAGCTGAGTTAAAGCACGATTGCTGTGCCGCGACTCGGGTCTAAGACAAATCTTGGAAATTTCGATACTGTGGAAAGATTCTAGTTCCAGCAAAGCATACATTGCCTCACACGTCTCTTCTACATCAATTCAACTGAGCAAACAACCGATTGCAGACATTGTACAGCACACTGGCTGAAGGCATATCTCCTTCAACATGCTTTTTTTTCTTGAATGTTACAAGTTTTTATATGTTACTTTTTCTGTTTCTGATTCTTCATTGGAATTGTGTAATGTTCTTTTTCCTTAATTTTCAATTGGGTTTATATCTTGGTTTTTATCATGTATGTACATACCACAATTTATACTTTTTGTAACTTTGTTCTCGTTTACTTACATTGTTGTTTCTTTGATTGAGGTTAAAGGGACACTGACAGGGTATTTATGCTCGCCGAGGTTTTTAGTTGTAGGTGACATATGAGAGTTCAACTACCCAGAACAGAATTTGCGGCTCGAAATTCGGTTTCTTTCCGCCCGAAAACCGCCGATCAAGAATTGGCCGGTTCGAGTCTCGGTCACTCTCTTTTTCGCGGTCAGGGCCGTTTTCTAAGGTATCGATGCGACCACCAAATTTAATCAAAGTCGTGGGTCACTGAAGGCACACATTCAATATTAAAAATAGAAAAAAATATGAAACCCATTTTTTGTGGCTTCTAAAAAGCTGTAAATATGTTGATTGAAAAACAAAGTTCCACAGACAACCGGAAGCATTCTGTGCGTTCGTCGTTTCGCGTATCGTGGGACTCGCGGGGACGGCAATGGCAGCGGACGACGGGCGTAGGACCTCTATTTCAGAACTGTCGTTCACGGTACCGGCGAATTCTGTCTACCGTTAAAAGAGAAATTTGGGACTGATCAAAAGAATTGGTATTCATCCCGTACAACACGCCCGGCCACCAAGCCGATTTGCACGAAGACGTCGCCGAGCCGTCGCTCCCTTCTCGTGGCTTAAGACAACGCTCGCGCAAACGTCAAGCACGACGTGTCTACTTCGAGTTGGATATGTACGCGTACGATTTCTTTACTAGGTGCGAATGTCCCCAAAGCGTGGTGCTTCCCGACTTCGACCCGGGAGTGCTTTTGCTAGAGAAAAATCTACAGCAAACTTTCCAGCTTACAGTTTACCGGCTGAATTATTACTAAGGAAAGAGATCCACCAGAAACGAGTTGCCCCAGTAGCTCAGTGGGAAAGACGTCCGTTTCACACGCGGTAGGGCCAGATTCGATCCCCTGTGAATTTTTTTTTTTTTTCCAAGCATTTTTTTATGTTTACATATCTTTTTCTTTTTTTTACAATCATCACTGAAGAAACGAACAAAAAAATAACAAACAAATGTTGTGGACGATACTTCGCTGAATTAAATGGTATGGGATTTCCGTTTTGACACCTGCGAACTCAATGTAATCACTTTCCACAAAATGTAAGGAGCATATAAATCAGGTAGCGTCCGCTTTCCGAGGTGCCCGTAAATGTTCTACAGGAATTGCAGCCAGCCATTGGTACCGATACCGTTGATCTTTCGGAAACTCTGTCGCACAATGCCACTTTTTTTCGGATGCAAGACATGTGAGCCAGCTCTTCACGCAACATCTTGGGTTTATTCTTTTCGGAGCCGATCATGGAAATTCACCACGGGCACTCACTACTCATCTCCAACTCCTCAATGTACAAAACAACTCATCTTGGAGTACAGAACAACGAGTGGAACAAACATAACTGCAAAAGAATCGCACGGCAAGCAGTTCCCGCACGCCGCATGTCGTGTCGTCTGCTACCGGAGAGGAGAAAAAAAAAACAAAAAAAAACGCACGGTCGGGTGTAGCCACGTGACTTCCGCCAGTCGCTCTCTTCTCTCCACTTCTCCGAGCTCTGTCGGGTTTCGGTTTCGAGCAGTTGCGTCTTTTGGCTTTATTAAACTACTCTACGCTACTCTGTTGCAAAATATTAATTGGGTAGTCCTCCGACACCATAATAAAGCACCTGGCAAAAAATAAAAAAAAATTTTGGGGGGTGTCAGTGTCCCTTTAACTGTTGAACTAGCTGTTGATTGCTAACGCTTTATTACTAAAGCGTCCCTTCAACAGCTTCCTTTGAAAACTCTGTGACCCTTGTCTGAATACCGTATTTACTCGCAGAATGAACGCATTTTTTTACGAAAAATCTATGCAAAGTTAGGGGGGGCGTTCATTACGCGAAGTAAAATTTTTGCGTGGGTTGTTTACTTGCATAATGAACGGTCCTTTTATCCTGAAAAATCGAAGTAACTTCTTATCTCTGCGCGCGGCGCCCGACCCCGTAACCAAACTAAGCTGTGCAAAAAAAAAAAAAAAATCCTTTTTTTTTTTATTCATTGTTTTTTTTTTGTTTTTTTTTTGTTTTTCTGCCTTTCGCAAGTTGTTTTGTTTGCTTAGGCGTTGCTTAGGCGAGGGCTCTCCGCTTATCTTTCTTATCTCCTTGCGCGCGACGCACGATCCTCCCCCCTCCCCCCCCCCCCCCCGTAACCAAACTGCGCTGTGCAAAAAAAAAAAAAAAAAGAAGAGAAGAAAAAGCTCTTTTTTCTTGTTTTTTTTTTTGTTCTCAGTTCGTGTTTTTTTGTTGTTTTTTTTCTTTTTCTGTCTGTTTTTTTTTCTTTCTTTCTTTCTTTCTTTCTTTTTGCCGCCTTTCGCAAATTGTTTCGTTTGCTTAGAGGGCTTCTCCGCTCCTCTTTGCCACCTCGTCGCGCGCGCGCGACCCCCGTAACCAAACTGTGCTGTGCAAAAAAAGCAAAAAAAAAAAAAGCTCCTTTTTGTTTTTGTTTTCTCTTAGTTTCGTGGGTTTCTTTTCTTTCTTTTTGCCGCCTTTCGCAAGCTGTTTTGTTCACTTAGAGCGCTTCTCCGCTTCTCTTTCTTACCTCCTCGCGTGGGGCGGCGCGAGAACCCAAAGTCCAAACTGCGCTGTGCAAAAAAAAAAAAAAAAAAAAAAAGCTCCTTTTTATGTTGTTTTTTTTTTTTTGCTTCCGTTGGATCTTTGCGAATTATTTTAAGGCCTTTTGCAAGTCGTTTTGTTCGCCCACGCTGCCCATGCATTCGCGACCTCGCTGCACCAGGATAGAAAAGTGCGTTCATTTCGCGTGCGTGAAGGGAGGGGGTAAAAATTTTGAGGTCCGAGTTGGGGGTATTTGGGGGTGCGTCTATTACGCGAGTGAAAAAAAAAGTCGAAATTTTGAGAGCCGACTTGGGGGGTGCGTTCATTACGCGAGTGCATTCATTGTGCGAGTAAATACGGTAAATACTTGCAAACTAACATCCTGCCTGAATATAAAAACCCATTTGGACTTGACTTCACTCGACTCGATTGGTGGGCCCTTACAAGCATTTGGGAACGACCTTATCTCTTCAGTACGAACCGCTGATAGCCGGCCGAGCGGAAAGCGGCTACGTGGGGCTGAAGAATGCAGGGGCCACCTGCTACATGAACTCGGTGCTGCAACAGCTCTTCATGCAACCGGGACTGCAGGAGGCCATGCTGTCCATAGACTCGGACAAGGTCGACGAGGAGAGGTGACTTTATGCCTTTCTTTTTTTGTTATTTATTGATGTGCCTAAAGGGATACTTCAACGAAATTTGAAATATTCCCGTCGTGTTCAAAAATAGGTTGAATATGATCCACAATATTCGTAAAAGACAATCAAACGTTTGTATTTTGAGCCTGGTGGCTGTATTTTTCGTTATAAACGGCCCACTCTGGCAAGCGCTCGGAGAAGGCCCAGCGGAGACCACGTGACATCCAACGCAATCGTGACATAGGTCGTCTCGAGACGAGCAAAGCTACGACGAGGCTGACGTCGAGAGGATGGCCCAGTCGTTCCAGCCACCGAAGCAGCTGCTTTTGTACGAATTTTGAGTGACGGGTTAATCTTCTATAATCTTGTAGGGGGACAATAGCGACTTCTGCGACACACTAAAGACATTCTCGGGAAGAGGGGAGTTCCTCCTTCCCCTCTTCTTTCGTCGTGGCCGAAGGCGAGACAACCTCCGTCACTAGCTGTCAAGGTTCCTAGACGAGCATTACAAACGAGGAGTGAGCAACATCCACCAGGTGCTCTTTGCTAATCATTTAATTCGTTTTAAAATTCCTTTTCAAGACTTTTTTAACAAGATATTGGTATGTTGGATGTGATACTGCTCCTTTGAACACATATAGACCAAAAATGAATGCCGAAATTTCGTTGTAGTGTCCCTTTAAGTAGCCCCTTGCCTGAGAGACAACCCTTTCCCAGCCTTTAACGGAAGAACAAGCTTGGCAGGCCCAAAGTTTGCCTTTATGCTGGGTGTTTCTGCGAAGCCTCTCAAACATTCCTTATAGAACACTTGAGAAAAAAAAAAAGAAAAACTCTTCGGGAGTGGTTGCCAGCCTTACCACTTACTAATTTACTAATTAACTTATAAATGAGTTAAGGTAGACATATGTTTCCAATTAGAAACTTGCTTTGCTTCATCGCAAGTGAGCACGCTGGCACCATCTACGGGGTTACCTTGGAACTGCATTTCATCGGAGCGAAGGTTTTGTGGTATTTGCGAGATCAGATGTATGTCCTATCGACGAAAAATGGTCGTCTATAGCATCGTCAAAAGGTTTTCGAGCCAATAAAGAAAGAATGATGTAGGAAAGAAATAAAATATACGAAATTGTCGAGTGTTTCCTGGCTCTCCGACAAATGGTGGCAGTCTGTTCTCTCGTCGTGAGAGGTCCCAAGAGGTTTCAAGGTACAGAGTTGTAAGCAGTCTCAAGCGTGTGAGCCAGCCTCAACGTGTTGACGCACGTCCTTCGTCGTACTGCGGGGCTGATGGCATGGCGGCCATCTTGGTGGCCCCACAGCCATCCAAACCATGTGCAGACATTGGTTTATTTGATGCAGAACACTTAACATGTTGGCGCACATTCCTTGCCGGAAAGCGAGGCTGACGGCTCGGCGACCTTGTCGGCGCAGTCTCCTGTACCAGACGCAGACTGTGTTTGGGCACCTGCTGGAGTCTCAGCTGGAGTACCACGTACCGGAGCGGTTCTGGCGCTGCTTCCGGCTATGGGGAGCCCCCGTAAACGTCCGGGAGCAGCAGGACGCCTTCGAGTTCTTCAACCACCTGCTGGACCAGGTGGACGAGTACCTGGTCAAGATTGGCTGTGACCCGCTCTTCAAGCCCTTTTACGAGGGCCTCTTCTCTGACCAAAAGATCTGCCAGGGCTGCCCGCACAGGTGGGCCACCCTTCGCGGTAGAGGCGTCGTGGAGTCGAAGCCTCGAGACAACAAGACAAGTTAGACGTTCGTGTTTTGGAGGCATAGAATCAATCTGCCTTTGAGGTATGGCAACACTTGTATATACTGTAGAGGAGATGAGAAAATCATCCAGTGCAGTACGACTGTACGCTGATGTGATGCTCGTCCAGTTTGAAACGGGCAGGGGTGGGGAATCCAGGATCAATTTAATTTGTTTATTATCAGTAAGGTGCATAAACGTTTTACTGAAAAAGCAGATGGACCCATTTTGTGTTCTGCAGCTGGAGCTTTTGCTACAAGAGCCTTGAGATCTAGGTCTTAAAAGGGCACTCTGTTCTCCCGTCGGGAGAATATTTGAATTTTTGAATAGTATTTTCGTACGATGCGCTATTTGATATTTACTTCGACATGGTTTGCGATTTTCATGCTCGAAATGTTCATCGGGGCTGGTTAGCCCCGTCGAGTGTGCTTCTCACCGAGCACCTGTGCGCTGTGGGGAAGCAATAGACGCAGTGCTTGCGGGCTGTGCGGGTATTGCTTCCCCGCAGTGCGCAGGTGCTCGGTAAGAAGTGCACTCAACATGGCTATCCCGCCTCGATTATGCAAGAGTATATATGTTAGGCAGCAATGTCTTGACAACCCGCGTTTATCATTCCGGTTTTTTGTTTTTGTTTTTTGTTTTTTTTTCTCTCGCAAATTTGAGTTTGACGAAAGTATATTTTCATATAGCAAGCAGATTTATAGATCCCTTCGATTAGGATAGTTACTACTAATTTATCCTTTATGTGCCACAGTTCATAAATTAATAAGTATAGCTACATTAAGATTAACTGAGCTTAGAAGTGAAAAGTATAAGGTTGGGAACGACCTTCACGAGTTCAGCCGGGTTTTCATTTAAGCACGATGCGGTAGTAAAAAGCTCAAAGAAACTATTCGAGATTCAATTAGAAAATATTCGGTGTTCAATTAGAAAATATTCAGCCAAAAGCTATTTGCTTTGAATCTGCTTTGAACTCAAAATGCGGTAGTAAAAAGCTCAAAGAAACTATTCGAGATTCAATTAGAAAATATTCGGTGTTCAATTAGAAAATATTCAGCCAAAAGCTATTCGCTTTGAATCTGCTTTGAACTCAAAATCCACTATTCACATACGCCCAGAGACGTTACTATGGCATCCGGAACGCGTCTCCGTCCAGTGCGTTTTGTGTCGTACACCACCCGTCATGGATGTCCTCGGAACTTTTTTCAAGAGGGTGGCAAACGCTGTTTTTCTTGGGTATGTGATTTGTTTTAGACGGGAGCAACCACGATTGGCCAAACGAGCAGCATAATGTTTTAATAGGATCGGAGTCCTTCGGTCGTATTATTCCGCTTTCCTCGACAGAACAAGAGCAACATTGGGCAGTCGACTTTGACGGCGTTGGTCTTACGAACGTGACGGCTTCAAGCTTTTGCCGCGCTCGTTGCACATGCCGCCGAGCTCGTCATTCACGTTTCACAATCCTAGTAGTCGTGCCGTCACAAGTGGGAACCTTAAAGCCGCAATCACACTGCTCGCATGTCATGCAAATAATGCAGTATTTGCTACAGACACAGCAGAAGTATCTGCAAACAGTTCTTGTGCGACCGACGGGGCAGGACCCTAGTACAAGCAGCAAGAAATGCACCCGAAGCAGTGTCTGCGAGCTGTCTTTTAAACGATGTACGTTAGCGGTGTGACCGCGACTTAAGAGTATGCCCTTGAAGAGTGCGGGGAAGTTTGTGTTGCAGTCCGGACGCGTTTCCTCGGGGCGCAGGTACGAGCAGGAGGAGACGTTCCTGGCCCTCAACCTCCCGGTGAAGAGCCAGAGCCTGAAGGAGTCGCTCGACCAGTTTGTGAAGGGAGAGCTCCTGGAGGGAGACAACGCCTACCTGTGCGAAAAGTGTGGGGAGAAGGTGGGTGGCTCCCTCTGTCTCTCCTTCTTCAATCTCACCTCTCTTCTTTCTTTTTCTTGTCTTTCTCCGTTCTCCTCCTCATTCTCTCGGCGACCTTCAAGGTGTTGTGACATCGTGACGTCGGCGTCGTGCGATGTCACGTAGCTCGACATCGCAATTTTTCTACTAAATTGAGCCGAGGAATTTTTACGTTAAACACGGCGGGCAAATTTCTTCGCTAAATTCAGCGGGAAAGTTTTGCAGGGAATTTCTCTACTACTAAATATACTAGCGGAAATTTAGTCTCACGTGATGTGACGGTGCCACGCGACATCACGGTGTTGCACGAACATCGTCCGCTAAATTTAGGCATAGCAGTGTAACTGCGCAGAAGTGCTCGGCATCTGGGCTGGCACCCTAGTTAATTTGCTGTAAGCAGGAATTTTTTTTCTAGTATCACCATAGCCACTGATAGAGTGAGAATGGCAGGGCGCGTCTTTTAAACACTCGCCTTCAGCATGCACTCTTGCAGCGTTTGGGTACTTGATGAAGCGCAAACTCTCTTCCTCTCGGCACGTGACTGTGCAGCGCAACACAGTGAAGCGGACCTGCATCAAGAGGCTGCCCCAGGTGCTCGTCATCCAGCTCAAGCGGTTCGGCTTCGACTGGGAGGCCAACAGGGCCGTCAAGTTCGACTACCACTTCAAGGTGGGCTGGCTGCCTGGGGGATTTCCTCGAACGTCCATTTCCTCGGACGACTCGCAAAACTTGGAGAAATGTATTCATGCCAAACGGGGAATACCTCTCCCAACAGCTTCGGGCTACTAAAGGGAAGCTAGGAACCTGGTAGAGAATTCCCGAATGGTGGAAGTTGAAGCTAATTTCGGGTTCTCTGTTGCGCTGCTCTCTAAGGAATATATTGAGAAAGTGTATGAAAAAGGAGAAGAAAAGAAATGAGTCCTTGCTCGCAATGCTTACTTGCGGGTCAGTACTTCGTCTTTTACATTTATTTTCTCGTTCTCTCCTTTTTCGTTTCCTTATTTGTTATATTCAATATATAATAGCAACTAGCCCAACTTTTTATGCTTTGCCTTACGAATTAGCTGTAAAATTCTTAAAACTTTCAAGTTGAACTTTTTTTAATCAAGTTCTTTCTAGAAGTATGGTGCTGTTGCTTTCCAGCTGTTGCTTCGGTCAATAAAACCGGGGAAACGGTTTGACATGATAGGCTCGACGCATTCAGTAGGGCACCATGAGTCTACACCGCAACTCGTCTCCGACTGGACTTGTGTGGTACTTATTACAAGTATTCAAATTACTTGTAATGAATTTCTTTTTGGATTAATTTTGTAATCATTCGAATACATTTATTAGAAAGTATAGTCATACGACAAATCCAAATATTTTTGGAAGTACTAAAATTAAATGTAACTGTTAGTATTTTTCTCTCGCATTCCTAATGGCACCCTTTGTACGAGTTTCCCAACCAAGAATCCTCAAACGAACCCTACGGTAGGACGGTGGTCTACCAAAATTGGCAGTATAAGAAGATGAGCATTTGGTGTTTTTAATCCAATAATGGACGATACGAAAGAGCCGTTTTCAAACCGGCAGGAAAATTTTTTGTTTTCAAAAATATGAAGCAATAGAAAAAGTCACGGTTACTTCTTGAAGTAACGTCCAATTACTACTTTTCTTTTCAAGCAATCGAGTAATCTGATTGAGTATTTCTTAACCGAGAGCATCGTAATATCCGTAGAGATGCCCCACCCCCGAAAGATGACCCATTCCTATTTTTGACATTATTTGCTATTCTTTCAAAAGCACCGAAAGACGGCCCACTTCTAGTAACTGCAGGGCCCTGGTCAATTGTGACCTTAGCAGAAACGGCGTTACTCAGCCGCGGCGGGAGACGCACAAACATTGCTGACTGGGAAGGACAGTCGTGATTGGTACGTCACCCCTCCCTGCTATCACAACTGTTGCAGGTCACTTTTTTTTTTTTTTTTAATCGCGTACGAAAAGTTAGTTTACTCTTTATTTTTGCCTGATTTTCTTTCGATTTAGGGTGGGCTGTCTCTCTGGATAGTATGGTAATTGTACATTCCACTCTCGTTAATTCAAACCCTTTTAATTCAAACTTGTGGATAATTCAAACTAACATGCAGGTCTCATCCTATGCGTCTCTATGGGAGGAAACCCCTGATAATTCAAACTCTGCATTATTCACAAAAATTCTTGGCCCTCCTTGAGTTTGAATTTGAAATTCGACTAATCGATTACTTTTCTCGAGCAACGCGTATGAGGCCGTCTTCGACGTGCGGCGGTCTGTTGGTTCCGGGCCCTTGGCGCCGCCACGGCATTTTTCGCTCGTTCGGACTTTGGGGCTGAGGATTGTTCCCGTCGGGGTTGTGCCCCAGTTCCCCTGGTCGCTGGACATGTCTCCATACACGTACCACGGGGTGATGGAGAAGGAGGCCCACGGCCCAGCGGGGGACTCTGCGGACGAGGTGTTCCGGAGGCCCGGCCCGGCCCTCTACGACCTCACGGGCGTGGTGGTGCACAACGGGCAAGCCAGCGCGGGACACTACTACTCCTACATACGGGAGCGAAGGTGAGGGGGAGAGGGCGCCCCTGGTCGGCTCCCCGTGTTGGCTGGGTTATGGGCACCGCGCGCGTCGCAGCTGCTGGATAAAGTCGTCTCCTCGCCTTAGTTGCAAGCGGCGCTACCGGATGGCTCCTTGATGTTTGGCTAATGGCAGCCTGTCGTGGAGCCCAGTTTTTCGTGCTTCTTTTTATGGTGGGCACGCTTTTTTTTTTTTTAAGGGGAGACACTGCTCTTTGAGGCAGAAATATGCTAAGAAAACACATTTTTGAAATTGTGTTTTTTGAAGATTGGCAGGCACTTATCATCTTGTCCTGAAGGATTTTCATTAAATAAGTCCCTCTTATCTTAAAATATTGTCTTGGAAGCAAAGTAAAATGAGTCTGTGGTTGTTTTTTATATTATTTCTGAGTGAACTATTTACACCCTTTACTACTTTATGGAAGCCATATGTCCGCTTGCACATGTCTAATCTTCATATTTTTCCTTTCTCTGGTAGGTTTATGTGTGACATGTGCAATAAAGGGTACAAATATATTAAATAGGGTATCAGGCTTTTTTTCAGGCCTTTTAGGCATCCTGCAATAAATCATTTTAAAACTGGAAAGTTCAAAAGTGTCATAAAAAGTTAATTAAGCATCCTAGGGCTTTCATTTATGCCTTATTGGATTCCATATACCTTTTAGTTCGCTGATATATGTTTATTCTTTTATTTCAATATTTCAATTTGTCTCCTTTTCATAATCTTTGCAAATGAAATTTTCAATATTAACAAAACTAATTAGGTTACATCAAAACCAAGTACATATTTGTAGTCAGATTGTAATGGGAAATAAGCTATATAAAAAAGCTCTAGAAGCAGTGCTGCCCCTTAAGTAGTTGCCTGGGTGCACCACGTCATATAGAACTTGGCACTTGCGCTACGCACTTTGCTTGGACGCTGTTTCGTAGTCGACCATAGTTTTGGCCTCAACGGCAGCAGTTACAGTTTTAGGATTGCGTTGAAGTGGAGAGATTTCTGTCTCGGTGTTCGGGCCAGCGTCCGTCAAGGTCGGAGCAGATGCTCTGAGCAGAAAGAGCGCTCGACCATGCACGAGACACTTTTTTTTTGTTGCTGTTGAGGCTACTTAGGTGCGCGCAAAGAGGACTTTATCTGGTCGATTGCGTCGCAGCATTCGCCGTGTTGCGTGTCCTCGCCTATATATATATAAATATATATATATATATCTTGCATCGTGGCTACGGCCGTGGCTTGTACAGAACAACTTACAAGGTGTCTACGAACCTGGAAAGCCTGGAACTATCGGTGAATTTTAAAGCACCTTGAAACGTCGGGTTTTTGTCAGTGAAGTCGTCAGGGAAAATGGTCAAGTCGGGGAAAACGAGCCCTGTGGGCGACGTAGTGACACGCAACGAAGCAAAAGGGAGGTATGGCGTGCATTGGCGTGGATAGCTCTTGTGCCGATTAACGGCTGCCCAAGGCGTCACTAGGACTGCAGCGTAAGCCACTGCCAGATTCACTGGATTACGAGGAAAGAGCCCCAACAGCTGCTGCAAGCCCATCCTGTTCAATTTCTTCTTTTGCGATGATCGAGGAATTCAATCTATATTATCGAACAAAAAATTAAGGCGCAAACAAGATGGTGAAGGTTTAACATTTTGGACAAAACCCCGAGACGGGGGAAAAAAGGACAACACAACACAAAGTCTCAACTTGAGACTGTGTTGTGTTGTCCTTTTTTCTCCCCAGTCTCGGGGTTTTGTCCAAAATGTCAATCTATATATTGAGGGGAAAAAACCCAGAAAAGTCAGGGAATTTCAGAGAGGTGATGTGGCCCATATTTTTGTGCTGGGCAGTGCAACCATATCAGCAAGAGACGACCTTGCTGCTGTGATCTAAATCGTAAAGCGACGCCGTAGCAATTTGCCAGCGGAGATGCTGGCGCGCTCTCGCCAGCGTCCCGGGGCGTCTCCTTGTGTGCTGATGGAGTTTGGGCTATCTAAAAACAAAAACACTATTTAAAATAAAAGATACGAAAAAGTAACGTAGCTTGTGCTCCCAACATCCTGTCGAACTGCTGAGAATGCTTTATCATGATGTTAAATTACCTGAGATAATCTGAAATATTCGAAAGTGGAAGGGACAGTTAAAGAAAATGGTCACGTCTTAAACTCAACTGCCGCATTTATTTAGTTACTCACCTTGTGTATCTTTCCTCTCAAGGGCATTGCCAAACTGTACGACGGATCAACAGCTTTCATACAAAGCTCATACTCTCAATTTAAGAAACCATCGAACCACAATGAACGAAGACATGAAACGAAAACGTCTGGGTAGCCATAAAAACGAGCGATGAGAGGGCTGTCGGTGCACCAGCTCTAGAGTGTCTCTAGAGAGCTAGGCAGTTCTACAGGTACTGTAATAGGACCTGCCCCACTAAACAAACAAATCAATCAATGCAAGTAGGAAGAACTTGAAAAAGAGCACGACTCTGACTGCTGCCATTTTGCCGTTAGCGCATGCGGATTGTTCGATAGTCAAGCCTTGCTAAGGCGTTTCCACGGTTGCCAGACTGGTGCCCCAAAAAAGCGCTTCCCACCCACAATGGCCAGACTGGCTCTTGAAGCGGCTGTTTGCAGACGTGCATTGACGGATTGCATGTGGCGTTTTGAATTCGGCAGGAGTGATCCACGGTACGCTTCGCGCAAGGGCGTCTGGTACAAGTTCAACGACACCACGGTGGAACAGTTCGAACTCAACGACGCCACCCTTGAGACGGAGTGTTTCGGCGGCACCTACAAGGCCAAGGTGTCCGACTCTGGTAAGCTCTCCCGCGACGCGTTTGCCATGGCGGTTCACTCTCCACGGTTTCCAGAGCAACGCCAGAGTACCTGGAATGCGTCTCCGGCTGGTTTGTTTACATCGTCTCATTTTGCCACGCATCAAAAGCGGTCCCAAAGCAGTGGCAGACGACGTCGCAAAAGTCGGTGCTTCGTGCTGTCCGACGTCGCGATCTCGGCAATCGGTCGTAGGAGTTTCGACAAAAAGCGCTAGAAAGTTGGAGTGTTAGTCGTCGCGGCGTCCCACCCCAGCTCGCACAAGCTTCCTTGGACCATCGAATCGGAGTGTGAACCGTTGCAGAACTGGCGTCTGCCGCACTGACCTCCGCCGTCGTGCCACCATAAGGATCTTGGCTGGCAACAGCGGGACACTTTTTTGATAAATCAAGAAACCACCTTTGGGGATGCGGTAGGCGCACGGGTCGAAGACACGTTCCAGGCATTGTAGTAATGTGCGGCACCGTAAGGCAATGGAGCGGAATCTCTGAAGCAAAGGGACGGGGGGGCTCTCTTTTGGCCTGCAGCGTCGTGCTACCCGGAGACGCGGCAGCGGCACTGGAACGCCTACCTCCTGTTCTACGAGAAGCAGGAGGACTCTCGGACTCCTCGGACGCCGCATAAGGGCACTGGGCGCTTCTCGTTCCGCAGGGAAGGCAAGGACGCCACGCCGGTTGCGAAGTGAGTGCCGGCGACTTGGAGCGGTCGTGTTTATCTGGATGTTGTGGTTAGCTGGTAGCTATGTTGTTATATCGACTCGGTTACGGAACATGCCCGTAGACGCTGCTTCCACGAACAACACCCCCCCCTCTTTTCCCAGGGTCTGCCTCCCATCGATCAACGCGGTATATTTATGATTTAGGGGCTACGGTAACTGCGGCATATTTAATGATTTTATGGAATACGTATGTTTCGAAGCACAGCATCGTGATGGAGCTTCACCATACTCTACGGAATACAGTTTTTAGGCACAACTAGATGGTGCTTCGAACGACGGGAGGCAGATTTGAGGGGAGGAAGGAAGTATCCTCCTCTGCAGAAGTTTCACAACTGAGCTAATCTAGTAACGTTGACTGCGAGCATAGGTTGGCCTCTATACTAGAGGACTGCCGGAGAATAATTAAAGAAATATTCTGGTATGGGTTGACCCGTATCTTTAAACGAGCGAGAAATAAATAATTTAGCTGAAGCGTTTATTTTATATTGTGAATTAGATAGCGCAACACGACAAGCAAATGTAGAAGAGGAGGACAAGAAAGTGCTCTGTCCTGTCTTCCTCTTTTACTTTTTGTTGTTGTGTTGCACTATCTAATTCATAATATGTTCTACCAGATAATCTTGATGTGTTTATTTCAGATTGTTTCTAGTAACCCTCGCTAAACTTTGCTCGTTGACCGCACCAGTTACGTCATTGTTTGAACTTTCCCAAAGTCAAGCATCTCTTTCCACGCATCGGACGCTTGCTCTTGCAGAAGCTGCTGAGGTGGTAAAATGTCTCAGTTAGCGCGACAAACTTGCAAATAATCATAGACTTACCACTGATGTGCCTGGAATCCTTCCCACCTCCCTCACTTGTGGAGAAAAATTCCTAGCTACATCACCGTTTGTTTGGCCAGTGCCATTTTGAGTCGCTCTGCCAGGCTTTTGACCTGCAAACATTGGAAAGACCCATTGAAAGCCCCTACTAAACATCCTTGTTTTTTTCGAAGCATGGTTCCTCAAACATTTTGAGGAACCCCATCTGCCTTAGATGGCGGCCAAGAAAACCCTGGTGACATTTTAATGTCGCATGACAACATGACGTTGTGGGATGCCACAATATTTTGGTGTGGTACAGTCGGGCAACATCATGGTGTTGCACAATGTCACGCACAAACACACACAGCATGTGGCCCGCTCATTCTTTGCGCATCCAAGTTCATCAGATAGGATCGAGACGCGCTAAAATGTTCTTTTCCAAACTCGCTGCACAGGTCGGCTGTGCGCCGGACGCCGAGCGCGGCGGCGGTGGCGGCGGCGGCCAGCAGCCGTCAGCGAGGGGACAGCCTGAGCCAGCTGACGCAGTTGGTGGACCACGGGGAGCGGCAGGGCTGGTTTCCTTCCTGCATGCCCGCCCACATTGGCCAGCTGGTGCGGGAGCAGAACCTGCTCTTCGTCCGCAACCGGGACCTCTATAACTCCCACTACTTCGACTTCGTGGCCGCCCTGGCTTCCGTCAATCTGGTGGGTGTGCACGCACATGGACACGTTGGGGGTCGTCAGGGGCCGTCAGGTGCTACCGGACTGCACCAAATTTTGTACGGCTCCTTCTGCAGAAGAAGCTTGTTTGTAACAACTCATACTGCAGCTTTCGATATGGCAAGCCTTTGATATAGTAAACTTCAGGTATAAGAAACATCTGGTATGAAAAACTTCTGATGAACATACTTTAAATATAATGAAATTCAAGTATATAACTAACTTTGGGATAGAACAAACTTTGTATATAAAAAACAAATTTTCAATAACATAAGGGTTTGTGATAGATGTTTGCTAGTTCTCAGCTTGTGTGAAGACCTATCTAGTCTCCAGGGACTAGGTATGGCTTCAGAATTATGTTTACTTGCCTACATTTCAATTTTATCCCTAATTTAACTGGGACACAACTTGGGTACACTAAGGCTACCGAACATTCCATGCTCATCACATCGACACAAATGGTGGTACAGGCCTACAGTGAGCTTTTTCTTTGTTTATCTTCCATTTATTGGCACAGTCTCGGCTTCAGAATGTTTTGTCTCCACCGATTTGTCTGCCTGTTCACCATTTTGGCACACGGACATGAGGCTCGGAGCACAAATGACTAGGTTTCGGTAACCAAACAAGCCGACGTATCTGGTGGTGCTTTTCAGGACAACCGGTTCCATCCCGAGTACGAACGGCTGATGGTGCAGAGTCTCAACTTGGCCGTCAACTTCTTCCTCAACACATACCTCAAGTACAAGAAGAAAGACAGGTGGGTGTTTCGGACACCCGCTCCCGATGGTCTTCCCTTCGAGGGGGAAAAATTGTGTCGCGCGTTTGTTTTGACAGCGGGACGTCAGTCAGCCCCAATGGGCGTCTGGTGTCTCGGCCGTAGACGAGAAATTCAGCCGGTGCACTACCACGGCTAGCCTGGGGTCTTTTAACGTACAGCACACACTAGTAGTACGCAAACTCACGCCGGTATGGTGCTCATCCAGACCAAATGGGCAGGGGCGGGGATCGAACCCAGGATTCCCGGGTTCTGCAGCGCGAGCTTGTGTAAAGCAAAGCACACGTGAGCAGTGAAACTGGCGCTTCAAATGACGTACCACCTGGCGATGCGCGGCAATATTTGTGGATCCAAAGCACGTGCACGCAAAAGCCCGTCGCGCAACGCTCATAGTTGCTGGGCCACCATTGTCACCGAACGTAAAGCTATTGGCAGTACATCATTTTAAAACACAATATTTATGCCCAGAACTTAAATTAAAATATTCAGATTAAAAATAATATAACTAAACCTGTCATGTATGTTCTTGTGCTACCATTATATTACTATTAAAGTAATAATGTGTAATAAAACATTCCGCAAAAGGCACGTTCACAACACTAGCAATGCCGCATTTGCTTTTTTTTTCTATGCAATCAAGCTAAAATAATAATTTTTTTTTTTGATAAGTGGAGGTGCACAACGTGTCAGTCTTTAAGAAAACATGCCACAGAACACATAAGGACCCCTGAAGGCCGCTACGAAGGTTTCCAAGGGTCTGAAGAAGCTCAGATTGAACAGAAAAGGCTTGCACAAATCGCTTGCATGAGATGCAACCAGTCTTCATAAGAGACTCGGCACTTTCGTTCATTTATTGACTTTATGCCAAGGAAGTCGCGCTGAATGCAATAATTATCAGGTGTTCTGACCATGACATTCAAATGAGCAGTGACAGAGCGTTATCCCCAAGCATCATAAAAGTGCTATGCATGAGAGTAAATACCTACCAACACTGTCCAAAATACTAAGCCAGCAGAGAAATTCCGGAACACACAACACGTTTCTTCCTCTTCCGGCGGCATCAAATGGCTGGCTTGACAAACCTGACGACGCCAAAGGTCTCTCTGGTACAAAGTGCATCGTCTCGGCATTCTTTCTACGCCCCTCATTTTAAATTCGTCATCGGCTGTGGCAGGGCCGTACCCAGAAAAAAATTTCAGGGGGGGGGGGGGGGGGCTTTTCGGGGACAACGGCGGCCATTTTGAAAGTGTCTATTGTCTTATTTCCGCCTATGAATCATGCGCATCAGTGGCATATAATGGAGAGTTGCAGCAAACCGGAGAACCGCTCCCGGTTTGGTGCGCAGAGGTGGAGATTAAAATCGGCTGGCTGCAAGTGCACCGACCAGGGCCGTACCCAGAAAAAAATTTTCGGGGGGGGGGGGGGGGGGGGGGGGGGTTCAGAACCCCCTAACCCCCCCCCCCCCTGGTTACGGCCCTGGGCTGTGGCAGTAACATTTCGGCAAATAGATTTCCCAGCTGGAACTCAAAGCACCAACACCAAACAATCTCGCTCGGAGTCATACGGCCGCTTTTCCGCATCATCATCGTTATTCGTGAAGACCCGCCTGTTGCTAGTTGAGATGTTGATTTCACAACACCTCCAGTGTCACCCTTGGGTGCAAATCACTTCGCAGACGACTAGATTGTTCTCGTGAGGGTGTTTGAGACACACATCACCAAACAGAAACCGAACCGATCAAGCAAACGGTGGTTGCCACGTTTGCTTTCCCGCCGCTCGCCGCTAGGTGCAACGGGCGCATTGCGCGCAAATATCTGGCCGACCAGATCGGAGCGGTGCCGCGCCGTAAGGCGCGTACGTCATAGGGACGCGTGCACCGGATGCTATGAATCTGTGTTTTCATCGCCCATGTGCCCCCTGCTTAATGAGCTCCTTACGCGAGTGTTTGTGACCCACCTGGCGTAGTTCCGCGTAGTGAACAGGGCTACCGAAAGACGAGATCTCCCCATGTCCCTCTCTGCAGCGCCGTCATTGTGGAGTGGGTGAACTGCATCGAGACCATCATCTCCCAGAGCGAGGAGGCTGCAGCCTGGCTGCTTAAATATCTAGCAGATGCAGGACCCAGCGTCATCAAGTGAGTCCCAATCTCGTTTGTTTATTTTCCGAGATAAACTCTCAATACTGGCATTCTATTAAAGGGAGATTACCTATTACGGCACATTCAGCTTAATACCAGGGTCGCCACGGGCTTTTTCAAAGCCACGTTTCAAACATTAAAGAAAGAAGCTTAAAAGTTTTTAATATTTTCTAACTTCCGAATGCGTTACGTCAAGAAATATGACGATTTTCATATTTTTGATTTTGTTAGGTTTAGAAGCTCGACAACTTTCGAAACTGTCATGCTCACTTTTAAAAGCCTCGAAAGCGTTAAACTTTGAAAGGTCTGACAGTAAAATTTTGAAGTTGCAAACTTTGCGTATATGAGCCTTAATTAAAAATTTAACGAACCTTTCAAAGTCGGACCTCGGGAAATTCGAGACATCTCCAGTATAGCCTGGACAACTTTCTTAAAAATAGTGAATACGAGTTGGAATAGCAATTGGAGTGGGAAAGGGGTTCCAGTCAGTCTGTGTTTGAAGCGACTACTATTGAGACATAGGTGCCAGAGTGTTGCCCTTTTTTCCGGCTTTGCGGAAAATACCGTTTTCCAGACAAGATGTTTCTCGCGTTTGTCTGCTTTTCTCAAGGCTCTACCTGTTGGAGTGTCCCAGCCGGGAGGTGAGGCACACCTTTGTGCAGATCCTGGACAAGGCCTTCCTCTTCTCCCACAGACTCGAGAGGGTGAGCAAGCAGGGAGCACCATCTTCTCTATGCCAAGTCAGGTTTCGTTTAGCTCGTGGTCATAGACCTTAGGGTGGGGTATATAGACCATCCTGGGGCCCTATGCTACTCGGCGGGACCAAGCGGGACCAAGGGACCGGGACAATGCTGTCTGCTGCGATTGGTCAGCGGCGTGGCACTGACCATTCGCAGCAGGCGACTTTGTCTCAGTCCCTTGGTCCAGCTTGGTCCCACCGCCTAGCATAGGGCCCCCGGGGAATTGATTTTGGTCCCCAGTGAGATTGGGAGCTTTTTCGGCTGCGGATTGGACGAGGCGTCGCAGCCTTCTGCTAGGCGAGTGATGCCGACCAACGAGAAATGTTTGACTCGTTGCAAGTCCACAAATGGGCGATACTTTGGCGAGGAATTCTCACCTGCAGACGGGTGACAAGAGAGGTCTTGCAACCTTGGATGTACTTGTCTTGAACACTTTTGTTTCCTTCACCAGTAGATGTCGGTTCACATGTGATAGCAGAACGACTCAACGTTTGCGAGGGAAGCACAGGTTGCCGGTTGCTTCCTTCTAGAAATAGCAGATGTTTGCAATTTAAACTTGCTTTCTGTCACTTTGCCGTGGGACTTCATTCATATCAGACGATGCACCTTCCTTCGGTTCCATTAGTCGACGACACATAGGCATCTTTTCATTTATTTTTGGCGGCGAACGACATCTCGTAGCAGACTTAGCGGACAACTAGGGCTTGCTCCGCGAGAGCCAGGCTTCGATCTCACTCTCATTCTTGCAGGCACTAAAATGGAACCACTGGGATTGCGTAGCATGTACCGCGCTTGTTTACAAAATGAAACGGGAATTTTTGGGATTCTTTTTCATTTTTATTTTCCCACGACAGAGCGAGTTGGACGTGAATCGGGTGCTGGGCCACTTGATCAACTTTCTGGACCAAGATGTGGCGGACAATTGCTGGCATTCCTCGCAGTACTTCTGCCTGCTCAGCGGCTACTCACGCCTGGTGAGAAGTCTCAATGTTGCAGGAAGGGATGGCGCTGACACGGCGTTGCATTTTGGGGCTCTAATTCACGCGGTGAAATTTTAATATAACATTGCTCTACCCCCTTCTAAAGATCTGCTCGCGCTTTTGGGTGGCAGGTGGGTTTTTATGGAGACTGAGGTTTCACTACGATAAAGTTGTGATGAAGGTAGATCCTTATTGTGAGGATTTTCGAGTGCTAGATTGGGGCGTTGGTTTTTTTTAATTCTTTTGGGATTGCTTTTTGCTGTACGTGCTTTGTGATATCAGTAGTCCACTCTGCTCAGTGCCTTCATGTCAGACCAGCCATCGACACCTAGTAGATCTATGGCCATGCACCAAATCTTATTCGACCGGATCCAAATTACTTCGGCTTGCCATAGTCGTTCGACAACACAAATAGAACAATGCTGGACTGCCTTAGTTTTTTAATGCCAAGCTACAAAACCTTTAATCTAAAGCGACTTCGAGTAAATTTCGGAACACAGTCTTTGACTTGAACAAAGGAAATGTCGCTAGTATTTTTAGTGTTTAATTAGTATATTGAGTTGACAATATTTGAATAAACTCATCAAGCTTTATTTATTGCTCACTGAAACTGGTTCGCTTCAGGTGAACCTGTTGTAGCGAGGTTGTGCTCGGCTAATTTGTACATTGAGAATGCCACGGCACAAGAGTTGCTGCTAAAGCATCGACCGACTCGCAGGGAGTGAGGGCTTGCGGCAACCTCTTCAAGCTGGACGCTTTCCAGAAGCTGCTGTCCTTCCTTCTGGGTCCCCTCAGCGCCAACATGGACTGCGAGGTGCGTCCTACCTCGTTTCTCGCAACATCGTTGTCGCCGCTTGCTGTCAGTGTTGGCCATTTTTACGTCGGTGGGTTTCTCGTGTACTTGTCAAGGGTCCGCTCGAATTCACAGAAACAAACGAAGAAAGGACAGAATGGGACAAGACAGCTTGCTAACAACTTTGCTTTAGTAAACATTTCCTTTGTATGTATGTTTATTCGTCTTCTTAGAGGCTGTCCGCGCATACGCAAGTTGGGTATTGTTTACAAGGAAGATTTATCAAGGAAATTGTTAAATTTGACGTCACCCTCTGCAGTTTGTGCTGTGACTGCTACGTCCACCACACTGTGTGTATACCGACTCTATCTGTAGGATCAAGATAAAGCAATCATTCTTTTTTCGTTTTGTCTTTTGGAACCAGTTGCCCTTGCTTCACAATCTCTTTTTCGTGCGTGGTTGGCACGTGCAGGACTCCTTTGGACGACGATGGAGCCATGCCCAGATCCACGAGTTTGGACACCTGCACAGCACCCTGGTCAGCCTGGTCCTCTTCTGCGACCTGACCTCTCTGTACACGTGTGGTGAGTCACGCAAACTGCAGCTTTTGTTGCGAGGCAGTATCGGGTCGCAAATTCAGGCTGAAGTTCGGGGGACAAATAATCTTTTCATTGCAAGTATCTGGCACAAGTAAATAGCCAAAGTCGGTGTGTCCGGAATAAAAATAATAACAATAATTACTGGGTCATTGCCCATACCCGAGTCATTGCCCACCAGACTTTCTGGGCAAACATTGATTTCCAAAAAAAGCAGAGTGATCGCCCACCTTAAGAAACACCCCGACGCAGGCACCGTGATCCGCGAACAGTCGTCCTACCCGAATGACGCGGCCGCGGACTTTGAAGCTGGAGCGTGCCTGTGACAAAGCAAAGTGAACGAAGGAGAGACACGTTACTTTGTTTACGCATTTCCTCCCTGACCTCTGTGACCCCAAAGTCAGAGTGCATGCGTGCGAAATGAAAACAATGGAGATAACAAAATTAAAATTTGTACGAAAAACAAAACAAAGTCGGAAAGATAACACAAGCAGGTACCCATTCAAAGATTGCGAGTTCAGGGAACGCCCCACATCCTGTAATTTAACTGCGGAGCGTAAGATCAAAGTCTGTCTCCATCGAAATTAGGTCACCGCGAATACCCGGTCACTCTTCCAGAACGTCGCGACCACAGTTGGTAAGGTTGTGCAGTGTTTGCGACAAAGCCAACGGGCAAATGAAGATTTGCTGGAACGCCGCACACGGACATTTGTAAAGCGGCCCATTTCGAGCTGCGCGTTGGCGGTTCCGTCCACGCCACGCAGCAACGTTGCCTTGACCAGCGTTGATGGCATGTCGCGCACAGACACACGCATGTATACACCAGACAAGAAAGTTGCGCAAGAGCCTTTTCCTTGTGATCGTAAAGGTGCCCGACTTGGCCCGACGCCAAAATATTTGCCAACGCGATCACAGGCTTTCTTGCTTCCCCAGCATCGCTCTTTGTCGCTTCTTTCGCCTATTCGCTCGCTCGCTTGCTCGTTGCTCCTGGTCGGCATTTCTGTTTTTTTGTCGACTTTTTTTTTTCTTTTCTAACAAAGAGAACATGACAGTTTTAGAAACGTGCTTTCACGGAACAGACGTTCCCGCTGCATGCAGTTTTCATCGCGCGTACGCAAGCAACAGACTTTGCGACAGTAAAACATTTGTTTCGTGACCATTTCTTGTACGAAAACGATGAAACTACCGTAGAATACCGCGGATATGCCCGTTGCACACTAGGCACCCATCCCCCGATTTGCAAGATCTGAGAAAATATGTGCGGTACATTTATATGTAAAATTGATGACTGGACTAAGTGCTCATCCCCCATTTTTCTGCGATTATCTCGAAACATTGAGTGGGCGCTTGCCCGGTATTTTACGATAATTCGAGTTTAGAGTTTAACGTCTCTCCTGTGCAGCCGTGCTAGATACATACAGAAAAATGTGCGTTTTTCCAGCTTTTCCCTAAAAAGTTTTGTGCTTACCCATCAACACATCCCCACTTTTTTGTTTTATGGATTTGATGTGGCAGGGGGGGGGTGATGACTCTGAATATTACGGAATATCTTTTTTTTTTGTCTAACAAAAATACACTGTTGCTGGAAGACATGGGGGGAAAAAGCTGTTTTCAGCCACCTGGGACTTTCCCGAGTGAAAGCATTTCAACGAGTTCTTACGATTCAAATAATGTGGCTTCCATGACATTTTACGCTGTCATATACCTGTGGTATGACTAGTATTTTTGTCTTTTTTTTTTCTAGTGAAAGTTTAAAATTTTGGCATTAGGAACCAGTGTTTTCTTTTTGCAAGGTATGATTGACCTGGTTTTAGATAAGACCTGTGTTGAATGCAGGTAATGAGCAACATTTTCTCCCTGAGATCAAAATGTCGTTACCATACAAAAAAAGCAATACAAGAATCCTAGACAGATGCGATTGATGAGCAATTTTTTCTGGTTGTCTCACCTCTAGATGTTTTTCAGCATGCATGGGTAGAGTGTGAAGGGTCGCTCGAAGCTATCGCGCCATATGCCATCTTGCAACACCCAGAGGCCCCGCCCCTGGTGACCCGCGAGGCCTTGGTGCGTCCGCCGGATCTGCTGGAGCTGCCCGACGACGTCCGTAAGGCCTTGTGCGGTCCAGGCGCCTGGAGGTACATCCGGGAGGTATGTTTTTCGTGGACGGGTTCTTGCAAGCTTTTGGAACCTTACGAGCGTATTTCGTATGGTGGTTGAACCTCACTTGTAGTGTCTGCTCAATAGACCCTTTTCGAGATACCGTCTGGCATTTTTGATAGCTATCGTCGTCTCTGTGTATGGCATTCGTGCCAAGCTATGGTGGCCTTCTTGAGGCTAATGAAGGAAAACAATCTGGAGATACTACCAAACGGAGGATCAATATGAGGTCTGGACGTTCAAGATGGAAGTACAACACGACGCAGGAATTGGATGCAAAGGCTGCATAAGCGTTTATTTTGGAGTGTGTTCCAACCAATCCCTTGGTACAAGTTTGGCTCCAAAGCCTTTTTATGGCGGAAGTTTAATCGAGGCGCTTATGAGTCGCCGGTCTGTATTGGTCAGTTCTTGCGTTCACGCTGTCGAAACTGCATCAAATTAAGAAAGACTTGCGAGGCGATCGGACAATTATATCTCCTTTGCCATTGACGTACAAAAGTACAAGCCCAATGAAATAGTTTCATGATTGCCACTAGCTCATCGAAAGAAAGCTGCTCTTTGGAGTCACCAGATGGCACCGAATTTCGAAAAGGGTCTGTTCTGCTCAAAATGCTTTTCCGCAGACATAGGTCTTTAAATCACAAGCGTGTTGCAATTTGAGCAGGCTCCAAAGCTGATATAAGAAAGACGGGTGAAGAAACATGCCCCGTCGTCAACACAACACCCAACTGCCATCATTGCTGAATTTTCCTTTCGTTAACCAACATAATTCTAACGGGCTTTGGCATGTTCGCTACCATGCCTATTCAGATCATTCTCACCAGTGATCAGTGATTTCAATCGTCAATTTCAATGCGCGAAAGCCTTTTCTCGGCTCCTAATGCCACCCAGTGGTTAGCCCAGGAAATGGGCTTCCACAATCAGTTTTGATTTCGTTGCTCTGGCAAACTTATACTTTTTGACAAACATTTTTGCGAACTGAAGTCTGTGCATTGTGGCGAAAAGAGGCGTCTCGGCCCAGTGCCACAGGGCAGTGCAAGGCAGTTTACAGCTGCCTAGAATTTTTTTCTTCTCTTCTTCACCACGGAGCCAATAGGGACCATCCATGAGAACACCAACAAATATGCGTGGATGCACACTCTGGAGTTCATCCAGCAGCTGCTTGGGCTCGACGATGAAGACGTTCTTTTAGTTGACCCTGTACCAAAACAACTGCAGCACCACCCCCCCAGAAAATGCCGAAAAAGCGAAACTGCAAAATCTGCCGTGATGACCGCAAGGTCGAGCGAAAAACAAACGTGTGCCAAAAGTGCAAGGTGTACCTCTGCCTGACAAAAAACAGGAACTGCCTCGGCGCATGGCAGAAGCACCATGACTACTAAGTTGGTTGTTTTTTTTTGTTTTTTTTTTGTCTCTAAAAAACAGTTGTATGCAGTTTTTAATGCAGAAGCATTAACCGTCCCGTGGAGCGAAGCCGGCGTTGTCGGTAGCAGCAAAACAAGCCTTAAATTCCCATTGGCTGCGACGCATCAAATCAGATGCTCCGTCACAGAAGTCGGCGGGGCACTCGAGGTCAAAGCGGACTCTCCTTAGAAAAAAAAGAACACAAAGAAAAGCACAGCAACGCGGATGCATCGTCACGGAAGCCGTAGAGCCGGCGGCGGGTGCCGCGTTCGCATAGTGGGGGAGCGTGAGGTCACCGCCAGAGTGCCGAATGAAAAAGGAAGCCTTGGCGTTCTGCTTGTAGGAATGCGCTGCATATAGGAAAGTGCTGCATGTAGGAATGCTTTTGCATTCCTACATGTAAGCAGTCTTAACAGTCTTTCCGAGCTTTATTTTATTTATTTTTAGAAAGTGTTTTTGGTTTACTGTAGACGACTTAATTTTTGCAAATCGGGCCAAAGCTGAAAGTTTAGAAATATTCGCGGGTTCTAACATTCGCGAATCGAGTGAAGCTTCCTTAGCGTTCACATGTAGCCCGAATTGTTTGCGGGACATATTTTTCGCAAATTGTAGGCGATTAGCGAAAATTAGGTCCTCTCGAAAATTTAGTCGTTTACAGTATTTATCTTCAAAATGTATATTCTGAATTCCATTTTATGTGAATCTCTCTGTGAATACCACGCTTATTTCTTTTTAACTGGCCACAAAAATTTTTTTTTTTTTTAAATTTTGGTATATTATTTAATAAAGGTTTTTGCTTTGAAACTTACATTTTTGGAAACAACATTCATAGTTGTCTACAGTTTTTTGTGTTGCAATATGTGCTGGAGCATTATTTGTGATAGGAAATTTTTTTTTCTGAGAGCTTTAAAAGACTGGTATTTTCCCCGTGGTAACGAAAAAGTTATCTTAATTTTTTTAGCTTTTAGTATAATCTTTGGTGGTGGTTTGGTCCTGAAATTGTGATTATTTCATTATACACCTTATTCTCATTTTATCAGATTATTCTGTGATTTTGATTTTGTGATTTTCCCGACGGATTTGCGGAACATTTGTGATTGCTAACGTTTTTTTACCCGTGCCGGGTTTACTCTGGCGACAGGCTGGCTCACTCAGCAAACAGTTAAAGGCCGACGACCAGACTCGAGATTCTGCAGGGCAGAATATCCTCCTCTCCTTGGGGGGGGGAAGAGACAGGCAATGGTGGACAGGGTAGAAAGGGGAGAGGAGGAAGCGATAGAAAAGTGGAAAGCACGTACTGATCGTTGGCCTTTAACGCTGTATTGATAGCCCCGCATCCACCTCACTTCGATCGAGAAAGGGGCCTAATTTCCGAAACTTGGAGAGTCTGAAGGGAAGTGCACGTCGGGACGTGAATCTCAACTGTGCCGCATTTCTGCTTTGTCCCAGGTTGTCTCTGCCTGCAGAGAAACATCAGGTCCCATCGACATGCTGGTCCACATGCTGGTCCAGTGCAGCTTCTGCAACCAGCCCTTCAGCGAACTGGTCATAAGGCTCGTCATGGTGTGTCTCGCTTTGCCCCATTTCATTTGGTTCAGTAGCATTATTGCCCCATTTTGCTATTGAAGAGTTTTCAGGTAGAAAGAAATAATAGTGACACAGTAGACCCTAATTAAAATTCAATGCCCCAACGGTGTCCCCAATGGTGGTGATGAAGACATGTTTCGTCGAATATCATTACCCGAGTCTGTAATTAATGTTGACACCGCGTTCATATATCTAATTCGTACGTCTGATTGTGCTGATGTCAGCCACCAGAAGGCCACCATTAGTGTGGCTTAAACTCTCGGATGGTGATAGTTACCAGAGTGGTCAGATTGAATTTTGGGAAAGATTCTTCTTTTGCTGGGACCCACCATGGCATACTTTTCTATATGTTTAAGAAATGCTCTTGTTCAGTCATATTTTCTTCTTTCTATCCTAGAGATTGACAAGGAAACAGTGCACCTTCAAAACAAGCACTGTTTCCTTGTCAGTCATGAACAACAAACTCGCTCGAACCTCCGTTCTGACAGGTTCTCGTCTTGTTGTGCAGACGCGATATTTCTAGTTTTTGGAAATCGTAGCGACAGATGCTTGTTTGGCCGAAGCGGGTCCTTGCAACGAGGGACTGCAAAAAAATTTTTTATAATATGGCTATATGATAGGCTTAGAAAAAGCCTATCATATAGCAATTACAGAAGGCCTTCTGATCTTTTTTTTTTTTTTTTTTCGCATTGGATTTTTTATATAAAAAAATGGTAGTACTTCCACTCTTCACTCGGCGCAGAAAAGACGTCTATCACAAAAACGTCATAAAGTGGCGCACGCGTTTTTTTAAATTTATTTTGTCGTTTTCTTTTTTAGACTCAGTACTCCTCGGTTCCCTCGAACGAACTCAAGAACCTGTCTCACCTGCTTCTCGAGATGTTGGTGAGTTTCGGAGACCGCCCCAGAGCTCGAGACCTCCGTCTCATCCGTTTCTTTTTATTCCCTTCTCGAGACTTCCGTCTCACCCGCCTTTTTTATATTTTCCTCGACGCCTAGAAGTTGGACGACTCGCTGCAGTACGCGCGGATCAAGCTCGTCATTGACGGTTCCCGGGAAATCAGGGTGGAGTTCGACGGACTCCTGGGTGAGTCTCATTGATGGGCGGAATTGTCTAAGTCCGACTCCAGCTTTGTGGACGCACCTTAGCATCTGTGTCAGAGGTGTGTCCGAGCGCATTGCAACTGCTTGTCGCCGTTTGCAAAGAGCGAGCACGCCGGGGCCACTTATCGGTTAGCCCTGGAACATTTCCGATTTGCGTGTAACTGGAATGAAGGTTTGGTGGCATCTGCAGGATCAAATTTACGCTACATTTATGAGAAATAATCACTTATGATGTTGTCGGAATTATTGATATGATATGTAAAAGAATCGGGAAATGTGTGCAGGTCAGAAATGTTCCAGTCATTGGTGTCAGTAGTGGGGCGGGAGGGTGCGGGCCAGGGTGGGGGGACTGCCTTGGGTGCAACACTCGGGAGGGGGGTGCAGTTAGGCAGTGAAAGGGGGACGGGGTGTTGTGGCGGGCGACGAGCGGGAGTGGGGGGGGGGTCATAAGCAGTCACGAGCAATAGACCCTTTCCGAAATAGTGAAATGATTCATAGATTATGCGCAGCTGCCATTAGTTGGTCTCATTGCTTCCGGCGTGAATCCCGCAATCGGTTTCGAGTTCGTGCCGAGCACCGACTCAACACTCGTGTGGAATGTGTTTCGATCCGTGTATACGCTCCGAGTGCTGACGAAGTGCTCGTGTCCAATGCATACTCGGAGCATGACCAACTAATGGCGGCCGCACATAAACTATGCGTCATTTCTAAATGGGTCTATTGCAACGCAATCGATCGTGCTCAGATGAAAATGCACGAACCAGCCTTAAGACCGTGAGTCCAGACCCTCAGTTCTGCTAGCAAGCGTGGTCTCGCAGCGCACTCACGATACAAATGACGGTTGAGTCGCACGGTAGGTGGAGAAGCTACGCCGTATGCTTTCTTGGCCACGAACCGTGGTGCCGTAGCAGCATTGCATCCAAGATACTGAGCCTTCTTTGCGACTTGCTCTCGGTTCCAGAAATCATCAAGGCAAACCACACCAACGACAGCAGACGTTCGTACCAAGGAGTCAAGTTCCTGGTCACAATGGCTCACAGGCAAGTCTGTCGACTACGCCGTGTTTAGTTCCCCACCTTGACAAAGTATCTTGGGTCACATTTTATGACTGGGATATAATGCTACGAACCGTTCCCGCGATGTTTGGAGCATCCCTGGTGGCTACTGCTACGATCCTCTGAACCGCGCCGGCCTACGAACCTTTGTGTGACTAATCCGGATACCTAAAGAAATGTCCAAGCCCGCTACCCGAAGCTCTTTAGGTATTTTAAGACTCGGTAAAAGTTTCTGAAGCTTGCTCCATGCTCCATATGCTTCAAAAGACGAGCACGGCGACGTAGTGTTTTTCGGCTCGTTGCATCAACTGGCAAGGTGAAACGAAGTCAATTTTTTTACGACAGTCTTAGGGAAGTCATTTAGGCATGCCAAAGACGGGTTTACGGGATCGCAGGTACCCTCACGCCAAGGACTACCTCCTCCAAGCGCCCCCGACTTGGCAGTGGTCCGTGAACTGGCTCAAGCAGACCATGTCTGAGTTCAACACCCAGTGGAGCAACACGGCCACTTCCAACGAGGACTCGAACACCAAGACCTTCCAGCGGACCATTAGTGCTCAGGTGAGGACTCTCACTCTGCACCAGCCGTGTGGCATTACTACGAGGTTTCATACGGAAATTACGATTGAGTTGTTCCTCGACGTGCAATTGAAATGCAAGGGTACATCTAGAAACGGCATTTGGTTAGAATGTTGGTGACTATACATTGTGGTTGCAATGAACTTGGGCAACTCGAGCGCATTATATAAGCCCGACAGCTCATACTTGCCACAACTGGAAAAGGTTAACACCACTCGACTTTTTCTGGCATTTTCCGTGCAACAGTGAGCACGAGAAGCTGAAAAAGGATTTCACGTATATATTAGAGACATCAGGTATCACATCTAAACAGTATGTAGAGAAACTGAGAAAAATGTTTGGCTGTTTTTTTTAGAAGAGTTCGAAGTGCCGTCAGCTTTGCAGACATCCCGCAAAAGTAGTTAGCAGACCGTGCATGCCCCATAGCACATGTTGTTACCCGACTCAAGATGCAAAATTACATTGTACGACTTCAGAAAGACCTCTTTGTTTTTATTTCTTCTAGGACACCCTGGCTGAAGCCACAGCCCTGCTGACGGAGCTGTCCTCTCCGGAAGCGGCGGAGCTCGGGATGGAACTAGACCAGGACGACGGGGAAGACGAAGACGCTCGCCTGAAGCGGACGCGCGGCCTCGACGACGGACTGCACTACATCGAGATCGAACGGGAATGACGGGAAAGTTCGAGGCAGTCAGTGGGGACGACGCAGATCAAGAAAAACGCCGGAAGGAAACGTTCTCCCACCGACTACGGCAAAAACGCTGCGCTTCTTCCGACGTTACCGCGAGCTTAGCATAGACCGATCGGTCTCGGAAGGAAGGCTCTACGAGCGTCTCAGGGTGCTTCCGTGTCAACCGACGCGACAAGAACCACGTTTGCAAATATGCGGAGCGAAGTGGAGAAGCCAAAAAAGCCGAGGTGCTCCTTCCAATCCAGTCTTTGCACGGACAACGCCGCAGCCGCGCTCGTCGCAGCGAGGCCAACCAAAAGTTCCTGCAGAGTTTTTTATACGGACGCCTCGTGTGGGGTGCGAGAAAGTGTGTACGGTTGCCTGTGTGTGTGCGAAGGTATCTCCAAGACGTGCAAATGCTTTGTTTCCTCGTTGTTTCGTACCTGAACTTTTTTAAAGGTTTTTACGTGACATCTATATGGCGATCGGCGTGTGCCGGTCGCACGGAACAAGTCAGCGTCGTGGCAGTATGCAAGGTCGGTAGAATGTCGGAGACCTAGTGCAGTAGCGGTCGCTCAAGTCAACATGCCGAGAACGTGCAGAGTCGCGAACAAATGGATGGATGCAGAGGGAACCCGTACCAGTAGCAGGGTCTATAGCAACTTTCTGAACAGTCTGCCTTTTGTTTCTTAGCTTAGTGCGATTTTAAATGCCGACAGTGCCTTGCATCGGAACGACTGCGCAGTTTGCGTTGCCATTTAGTGACTCTTTAATTTCGGAAACATGACATGCGAAGCACTACAAAGAATGTTGCTTCTGTGATTTGGAAATATTTCATACGAGCAATTCTAATACCATTTAGTGTCCATTATAAACAAAAATGCCGAGGAGTGTATTAAGAAAAAAAGAAGTGGCGGTGTATGCAAAGGCTAGAAGGTTGAGCAATTGAGCATATGCTTTTTTTTCATTCTCAGGAAAGGTTTTGTTGTAAAAGGAGTGGTCTAATCAGTATTGTGTGCCTGCCAAAACGTGAGCTCAGGCATTTAAAAGAACAAATGCCGACAAAGCTTTAACTCTCAATAAAACTGTATATAAGTACCGGAGGATGTCCTTGTGGCAGTTTATTTGACTACACTGACGACTGAATGTGCTGCAAAACACAAAACTATCACTTTCACTGCCGGCAAACCGTGCTTTTCGCTACTGCCACAATGACCAACACTTCTCATGACTTGCGTATGCATGTTTCAAAATTGGTGGACATATACATTTTTCTAGGTGCTTCAATTCTATCTCGGAGCTACAACAGCACTTGGAAGTCGAGTAACCACGTGCCACAGACACGCGCATTTATTGACACGTCTCCGCACAGGAAGAAGCCTGTGCAGACCGCAGGCTTCAACCAGAAACACTGAGCGAGGTAGCCACTCGATCCAAGTTCAGAGCACTTTGTAGCGTCCTCTGTTGATGGGCTGGTACGAGTGCTGCATCTTGACCATCTCCTCCTTGATGAGCCGTATGATCTCGGCCCTCGCCTTGCTGACCGCCAGTTCGTTGGTGCTCTCGATGGCAAGGTAGAGCTTCCGTTCCCCTCCCTTGGCCTCCTTACCCGGAGGGTAGTAGGTGCCGCGCACCGTGATGCCAGCCTCCGAGTACTCGCTGATCTGCGCCATGGCCTCCTTAGACGTGACCTTCCACCGGGCCTGCTGCGGAAAGTCGTTGATCTCGAGTTCCTCCTCGAACTTCTGGAACCTCTCCTTCTGCGGAGGCAGCTCTACCTCCTCCTCCTCTATAATCTTCGGCTGGTAGTTGAGCCGGGTGTTCAGCTTCTCCGCCCGCTGCTCCGCGATGGTCCTCGCCGAGACCACCGGCGTCGGCAGTTCCGGGATAAACTGTCCTCGCATCATGGCCTCCGCCGCGGACTGCGGAGTCTGGGGGATGTCTGGTGCCGGCTGGGACGGGGCGCTGAACGTGCGTGTCATGTTAATCCGGCACGCCAGCATGCGTGCCATCTCGAGTTTTTCAGACACTCCGCCAGCCGGCGCGGGCGCGGTCGACCCAAGCGCAATCATTGGGAGTGGAACTCCCCTCCCGAAGCCCGGACCCAGTATTCCCTGGTTGACCGTAGGTGCGGCCGGACTGGGCAGTTCCTTGATGACGCGTTTCTTCGGTGCCAGCATCGACTCAATCTCGCGATCGATGTCGGCCTCGGCGTCTTCGTCGTCCGAGTCTTGCATGCCGAGCGCGGCCCTCTGGAACTTCTTCTTCTCCGACTTCAGGTGTGACTCTGCCTCGTCAAACTTGAAGCCCTTGCCGGAGAACCCGCTGCCTCCGCGGACTTTCTTTCCTTCCGCCTCTTGCTTGGCCTTGTAGTTGTTGAAGAGCCGCTGGAGGTCCTCCGGTACCGGATTTCCGCTGAGCTCGAGCGCCTTGGAGAGGTCGGCAGCGTAACGTCCTTGGTCGTCCGTGATGAACGTATAAGCGTATCCCTTGTTGCCCGCGCGACCCGTGCGTCCACAGCGGTGCACGTAGTCTTCGTAGTGATTGGGGCAGTCGTAGTTGACGACCAGAATCAGATGTTTCACGTCCAGGCCACGGGCGGCTACGGAAGTGGCGATCAAGACTCCGACCTTGCCAGCCTTGAAGTCCACGATGGTGGAATCGCGGTCAAACTGGTCAATGCCACCGTGGAGTGCCATCGCATTATGGGACGCCTTCATCAGGTCCTTGAGCAGGACATCTGCATGTTCCTGCTTATCCACAAACACGATGGCACTGCCCTTGTCTTGATAAAGTCCAAGGAGCTCCAGGAGCTTGAAAAACTTGTCCTCGTCATTGATGATCACGATGTGCTGCTCCACTTCTTTGCAGACGACGCTCCTTCCTCCCACCAAGATTTCGATGGGCTTCATGAGGATACGCCTTGCAAGTGCCTCCATCTGTCTTGGAAACGTGGCAGAGAACATAACAGTCTGCCGGTCTGGCCGAACAGAGTCGACGATCCGCATCACCTGGGGCTCGAAGCCCATGTCAAACATGCGGTCCGCTTCGTCTAACACCACATAAGTGGTTCGACGGAAGTTTGTTACTCGTCCGTTGTTGGCAGCAAGCATATCAATCATGCGGCCAGGCGTGCAGACGATGATTTCTGCTCCTCGCTTGAGGTCTGCGATCTGCTCGGAGATACCAGTGCCTCCGTAGACGCAGACGACGCGCAGTGATAACGACTTTGTAAACTTTTTGCAATCTTTGGTGATTTGCATAGCGAGCTCCCTTGTCGGCGTCATGATGACCGCGATGGGGCCGTCGTCGTCTTCCAGCGGCGGTTGGTCCAGAATGTGCCGGAACATGGGTAGAAGGAACGCGAGCGTCTTCCCCGATCCAGTCTTGGCGATGCCGATGAGGTCCCTGCCGGACATGACTGCAGGGATGGCCTGTGCTTGGATCGGGGTCGGCTTTTCGAACCCGTGTTTCTTCAACACTTCCATGACTTTCTTGCTTACTCCGCACTGGGCCCAGTTCCGGATTGGCTTGGGGCAACCCTTGCCCCGCACCTTTATCCCTTCCATCTCCGCCCGCCACAGCTCCACCTCCCCAGGCGTCATCTTGGCCAGTTCCGGAACCTCGATGTAGAAGTTCTTGCGGAAGGGGGCATAGGAGATGTCCTCAATAGAGACTGTAGCTGGCTTCTTAGCCTTGTTGTTCTGGAGTCCCTGCATGGCCGACTGCAGGTCTTCTCCCTCCTCTTCTGAAGAGTACTCGAGGGCATCGACGTTCTGCTCCATGAGCTCCCCTTTCTTCTTGTCTTCCTTCTTCTTTGCCACACCGACAATGACCGTAACCTTGTTGGCCTTTTGCTCGGATTTCGAGTTGCCTTTGAAGGCCTTGTCCTTGAGCTGCTTAACCTCCTTGTGGATGTCAATCATGTAAGCATCCAGTGGATCCACGTCATCCTCTTCCTCTTGCTTTACCTCTGTTGCTGCTGGCACCTCCTCTTTAGTTACCTCCATGGCCTCTTCTTTGACCTCCGGCTTGACTTCCTCTTGCTTGACCTCCTCTTTGATGACCTTCTCAGGGACCAACTTGGCCTTCGACTTGGCACTAAGCTTGGCTTCCAGCTTGTCCTCTTCCTTATCCTCACTTTTGAGCGGTCTTTTAAGTCCGAACTCGGAGTCATCGATGGGCTCCTCCTTGATAGGTGGTCCACTTTCATCTTCGTCGTCATCCTCCAAGCTCCACTTTTTCCCGGGCGTAGGGAGCACAATCATGGCGGCCTCTTCGGTCTTCTTCCGTGCCTCGCGCCATTTCTCTATACGCTCACGCCTTCGCTGCATCTCCAAGTCAAGCTGCTGTTGTCTGGTGTCTTTGTCCATGCTGTTGTCGTTTTCAAGCGCGCCGCATGCAAGTTCGGCAGCTGCCTTCGCGGCCGCTACTTGCTCTTCGATTCTTTTGTCTTCGGCGCTCTTCTCGGGCTTGCGGTCCCGGTCCTTGCTGCGCGAGCGTCGCTCACGACTCCTGGATCTCCGATCGCGGGACCGCGACCGTGAATGCGACCGACGACCGCCACGAGAGCGGGATCGGCGGTGGCGGTCTCGAGAGCGGCTCCGCCGACGATCACGCGAACGCGAGCGTCGGTGTCTCTCGATACTGCGGCGTCGTCGGTCACGACTTCGAGAACGGTTGTTGCGTCGTCGACGGCTGCTTCGCTCCGGCGAACTCGAAGAGCTCCGAGAGTGCGATCTTCGTTTTTTGCGGTCCCTGGCCATCTTTTGGTGTGGTTGGGGTGGTCAGCGCACGACAACACCTCGGCGCTTTTCAGTGTTCCGAAGTAGGATAAAGAGGGCTTACGTAGCAATCCGTGAAAATCAGGTGAAAGTCATTGTCACTTTACAATGTTCGCGGAACGGCCCTGAAGATGCAGTTTTCGAGTAAACACAAATGATGCACGACAGCAAAAAGCTCACGAAGGCGCCATTTTGTACTTTGAAGATGGGTAGAAAGTATTAAAAAAAGGAACTTGTGTTTGACTTAGCAGTTGGGCAAAAGCTTACGCCACCTATGTACTACGTTTTAAAGTATATTTTTCGAGCGTAAATAAAATTTATATTATCTAAGTATATGCAAATTTTGATTATATAAAGTTAAAATTTACAAAATTTAAACATTTTTTTGTTGGTTAGCGTTGGTTGCTTGAGGGATTTTGTTTTGTTTTATATTTATTACTCTCGAGTTTGCATTTTGTTGTTCGTTTTCGCTCGTTCTCCGGTTCTCCGTACCACAATGCTTCGTACTGTTCGTACCGCGAGCTTTGCGCAAATGTGAAGCGAGCGGTCGAAACCCAAAATTCCCGTTTAATGTTGCATCGAAATGACAGAAAATCTGTTTAGTGGCCGTGTGGCGAGTCTTGGACGACCCTTTCACATCACCGAAGAGGCGGACTTGCAGAGGTGAGGTGGTGGTGAGGCGCCGAGATACTCCCGCTCCTTCGAGGCGGCTAAGCGGTCAGCTCACGACCCTCACAACGACGGCTGCATTTTTTTAAAAAGAACAACGAAAGCTTCAAAGCTTGCAACTTCAGTGCGTAGATGAGCTGGTAGGGGTATAACACGAGGAAATATTCGGGTTACATTACACAAACGCAAATGTCTCAAACAGCACATCTTATGGCTGTGTTTGAGACGAAGTGTTTATGTTACACCGTATGTAACCTCAGCCTCGGGTACTTTTCACCGTGTTCGAAGTGTCTAACCTAGCTTCTAGGTCCTGTGGTCGATCCTCCCATTTAGCATAGGTACTTTGAGTAGTACGACTTTATAAAGATGAGGCGATGGACCATGACAGGTTCATTTTCACTTTCGATTCTCATCGTCGTCTTTTGTCTTTTCAGAGTTTTTGCTCAACTCAAATGTATGTAGAAGATGAATTCAACCTAGTCACGCTCTTCAACTGCTTTCCACGTGCCCAGTATAAGAAAATTCCAGTGACTGAAAATATTGCAACGTAAATGGTCTGCTAGTATTGAAGGTGAGCTGTTTGTTTTGTAATCTTGATTTACCGTGTTTTTTTTTTTTTTTGTGTATTTTGAGAAGGGGAATGGGACCAGTGATGTTGCAGCCTCTCGTGCTGTCGTTTGCTATCGTTAATCGAACGCCATTTCATATTGTTTTTGAGAACAGGCACATCTGATCAAAGCTTGGCTTAGAGAAAGTGGAGCCATAGTTTAGAGAAATGCCATTTATCAAAAAGGGGACGCTGTTTAAAAAAAGGCTACCCTGCTTCACGCGTGTATCACTGGGGCACGTGTTAACCCCCTAAATATTAACCCACCTGGCCCATACCCATGCACATCGCTTCGTGGCGGCTGAATTCGCTAAAAGGAGACATTGCCATTTGCTCTAAACTTGTTTCCCTATAAAGGGGTCACGCCACAATTACCTATAGGAAAACGAAACTCTCGGCATTGTTGTGGTCTTTCGAGCGAGAAAACTAATGATACCAGGGGGTTTGGCGTTTCTTTAAGAGAGTGTTTGATCGCAGAAAAGGAAGAGTACTCCCTCCACAATGATGTCCGAAGTGGCAGACGGGTCCTGCACCGAGCTGCTGTGCAGCGACTCTGGCATGGACGTGCCACCAGAGGGCAACGGCACCCTGCTCAGCATAGACACCTTTCCTAAAGAAGCCCTTGAGGTAAGCCCTACAGTTTCGACACAGTGCACAGAACACGCCCTCGACCCGTCCCGTTCTGCCCGCGCAACAAAAGTGGTCCCGAAGTAACAACAAACGACGTCACAAAAGTCGGATGTTGTAGTCCTGGCAGGCGAGCGTAGAAGTGCTGCCAAAAGTCACGAGCGGGCGCTGTTGCGGCGTTCCAACACCTGGCCGTGAAAGCTTCCACAGTCGGACCGGGCATCTATTGAGTCTACTGCCAGGATTGCAGCCGGCGACGTTACGACGTCCTTGGACGGAAATCGAGGGACCACTTTTCAAGACGCATTAAGCATACCGATCGGAGAGGTGTTCTGGGCACCATATTTAGGTTAACTGATACTGAAGGATCCAGAGCCCATATTCCTCGCTGCCTTGACGACTCTGACCAAACGTGCGCAGGTGATGGACCTGATGCGTCGGCAGCGCGTGCTCTGCGACGTGGAGATCCGCGTGGGCTCGGAGTCGTTCCCCGCCCACCGCCTAGTGCTGCTGTCCATGTCCCCGTACTTCCGGGCCATGTTTGCGGGCGGCCTGAGGGAGGTGGCCCTGCCCGTCGTCCAGATCCAGGGAGTGTGTCCCAGCACGATGGCCGCCGTGGTGCGCTTCGCCTACACGGGACGCGTGCGCATCGACCAGCACAACGTCTGCCAGCTTCTCCCTGCCGCAACCATGTTCCAGGTACGACGAGTTTGATGCGGAATGCATGTGCACTGCCAAAGCCTGGTTGTATTGAATACGATAAGTATTTTTGTAAACTCTGACTTCCGGCTGGCTTTGGCAGGGTTTTCTTTAAAAGGCGTTACGCACTACGACAATTGTGCCATCGAGGCACAAAACATGTACCGAGTTCATCTGTGCAGCATCACTGAAGAAATGCACAATGCATTTTATGTTACCACTGCCTTTGCCACAGTAATGTTCATGTCATTGTGAAGTCTTTGTTCCATGGTGATTTAAGCTCCATCTAATGTTGCCACGGAAGTAGGCGTCGGTGTGTGTCGCAGTTTTGAAATTGGGCCGTGTCACTCGGACGGTTTGTTCTCCGAAGCTGCCATACCACGTCCGTCTTGCGCAAGCTAGCATCTGCGGCTGTTTGGTGTCGCCGCAGGTGAGCCACATCATCGAAGCCTGCTGCGGCTTCCTCGAGAAGCAGCTCGAACCGTCCAACTGTATCGGCATCGGTGACTTTGCCCTGCAACACGGCTGCAGTCAGCTCTACCTAAAGGTCAACGAGTTCATCGACCAGAACTTCCCCGCGGTGAGTGGCGGATCTTCTCTGGTACTACTGCTGCAGTGCCTGGAATGCGTCATCAATCGTGATCTTTTGATTTTCACCCGACGACGTCAAGACGCCTTCCAGGCAGAGACACGTTCCAGAAGCCACACCGAAACCCCGCGCTCGTTCCCCAGGTGTCCGAGGGAGAGGAGTTCTTGAGCCTGACGGCGGGGCAGCTGGTGGCACTGGTGAAGCGGGACGAGCTGAACGTGCGCTGCGAGTCGGAGGTGTTCAACGCGGTGCTGCGGTGGGTGAAGCACGACGAGGGGCGGCGGCGCTCCAAGATGGCCGACGTGCTGTACGCGGTGCGCTGCCACTTCCTGACGCCCCGCTTCCTCAAGCAGCAGCTCCAGACTTGTGACCTGGTCCGGAGCATGCCCCAGTGTTGCGACTATCTCTCGCGCATCATCCAGGTCAGTCTGTCCCTGCATTGCCCTTTTGATGCAGCATGGTATACTAACTAGGCCTGCGTGGTTTCGGTAAATGCTCTTAACACCCGACCCTATTTTATCTAAAGTGAGTAAAGCCGAAAAGCGCCGAATTAGAGCTGTCCTAGATAAAGCAAAAATCGAGCTTCACGGGAACAAACTCTTTGTCTACGGCTTTCTTTTATGTCGACCCGAAATGCGGCCTTCAACAAACTGCTTGCGAAGCTTCTTTTCACTTCGGAACCATAAATGTCTTCTCATTTCTTCTAATTGGTATGGGGATGCCGTTCAAGTATTTGTGTCACGTGCATGTTCCCTGGACTTTGTGTAATCCAGTGTCCGTGTCCCATCTTCTACGACACAAGCCCCAATAAACCCCAATTTTTGTCCGACAACAGAAACTTGTATTGAAAAACACTCGGTCTGGGGGAAAAAAATGACCCCCCACAAAAAAAACATCCCTGAATTCGAAAAAAAAAAAAGTAATCCTCAAGAACCCAAAAACTTGGGTATAAGGCTGGATTTTTTGAGAAAAATGTCACATTAGGCTGGACGGACATGCAGGTCAAGGTCAAGCGAATAAAGTGGAAGAGGCGAAAGAGCGTTTCCTGTTTCGAAAGAGCGTTTTAGCCACAAAAAAAAAGCACGTCTCTGAGTCCTCCTTTAGCAAGTGCAACATCTCGCACAATCATTCTACCGAAGCACACATCTCCTCACATGCGTCCCCTACATCAGTTCCGCTGAAAGCAAAGAACCCATCGCAAACATTGCACAGCACACTAACTGAAGGAAAATCGCCTTCAACATGCCTTTTTACAACTCAGCAGCTACCACTCTCAATCGCAGCACACTTTGTGTGCTTCAATTAACAGAGTCTGATCATTGTTTTGTAAATTTCTTTGTGTATTGTATTCTATAGACGCTTTACACATGCGCCAAATTAGAGCCGCCATTGCTGACCATCTCTTGTCTTACCGAGATGCCGAGCAACTGTAACGGTAGTTGACGATCCTCTACAAAGGCCGATGCTTTAGAAAAGGACACAGTTGAATCTAATGTGGCAATAGCCTGGCCTGCTCTGGTAAAGATGAAGTGAAATAAACGAAATAAGAGGAAACAAAAACTGAAGGTTAGTTATGGCGGCGTCCATGCACAGCGGCTGCGAAGCGTCTATGAAATTTCAACGGTACTCGACGGGATTGATCGACCCGAAAATTCATCGATTTCCGAAATCCGCCCCAACGCTTGTGGTGGCCCCACAGGATCTGACGGTGCGTCGCCAGTACACGGTAGCCCAGCGGCGGCCCCAGGTGGCGCAGGTGGTGTACTGCGTGGGCGGGTACCAGCAGAACTCGCTGGGGGCGCTCGAGTGCCTGTGCCCACCGCACCAGTGGTTCCGCCTGGCCGACCTGGCCTGTCCCCGGTCGGGGCTGGGCGCCGCCTTTCTTGGCGGAAAGCTCTACGCTGTCGGGGGTCGGAACAACTCCAGGGACAAGGTAAAGATGCGGCCGCGAGTTGTGGTGCCGGGAACCGGTCTCCGACTGGTTTGTTTACCGCATCCGAAAAAAAGTGGTTCGATCGATTTCTGCTTGATGACGTCATAGATGTGTCACATTGTCGCCGGCCGGCCGCAATCCTGTGTGTTTTTTGTTTTTTTTTCTGACATTCTATGTCTGACCGCCAGGATCATAACATCCGAAAGCGTTGCACTCCAAATTCGGTGATGACATTTGTTGCCACTTTGGGACCGCTTTCAACGCATGGATAGATAAATGCACCAGTCTGAGATGCGTTCCATGTACTGTAGCAGCGAATCTGATGATGATTGGCCTGGCATGCCGATAAGATGGACACTTTGATAAGGGGTTTTGTCACATTGTTTTATAAGTTGGCATTTCTGCACGATAACCAGTTAGCAGGTCCGATTGCCCTGTTGTTAGGTGATGCGTTTCATTGTGTCCTGTTGCGTTGCATCTGTGCCCTGGCGCGTTGCGTCTCGGGAGCATTTATTTTGGGAAGCGTCCCTTTGTGTCCCTCTTGTAGGATCGAATTACCCCGTGCTAATTTCTCAGGATGCCGACGTGCACATACTCATTGTGGTAGTCTGCAGTAAAAGGGCATTCTCGTAAGCGGGTCTCGCAAGTTGCGAACAGGCACTTCTGTTGCACGAGGTCCGGAAGTTTTGATAAATGGTGCTTTGTACTAAAGAGCTTAAAATTGCCACGGATATTAGCAGCTGAGAGTAAAAACACTGGCTAGGTGGTGTAAGTTGCCGCCCAATTCAAAGTGTTTAGCTGTATACATCTGTCCATCCACGCTGACGCTAGAACTCGCCCTTACAAGCTGTGTGCAACATTATCAGAAACGTGGTCTGCAAAAACGTAGCTCCTTATAAAGCTTGAGTGTTTTCTCCTATAAAGTATAGGTTTCTTTTTTTTGTTTTTGTCTTTGGTCTTTTGAATTCAGAGCTACGACTGCGCATCCGTCGACTGCTACGACCCCGTAACCAATGCCTGGAGCGCGTGCGCGGACATGTCGACACCGCGCAACAGGGTTGGGGCGACTGTCTTGGATGGCCACCTGTACGCCGTAGGAGGCTCCAACGGTGCCCTGCACCACCGCTCCGTGGAGAGGTGAGCCCGTGTGCTTCTGAGGTCTCGTTCGTGAACTCGCGTGTTACGCCTGTGGCTGAAGTCGTGTGGCGATCTATAGTGACCGAGAAAGTGAGAACGGCACCGCTCGAGGTGCACGAGACAGCGAAGCATCGTCGAAGGTAGGGCGCTTCCTAGACGGGAGCTTCACTGAAGCTCCCCCTGCCGTTTTCACCTTGTCACGGATTGTGAAATTACGGTAGAACCTCGCTTGAGCATACTATAGTCTCTTGGCATTTGCTCTACTAAAGTGGGAAGGGTGGAGGGCTTTGTGAAAGGAACTTGTCTCGATTTTCTTGACCTGCAGCAGACTCTAGTCGGATTTTCAAGAGAAACCTTAACTGTATCAATATTTTCGCTATGTTAGAACATTAAATGCTTGTACAAGTATATTATGAGCACACTTTTGACTTATCTGTCTTTACTATGAAGAGGTTATTCTGTAATGGCACTTACTTAATGCTTCTTTCCACTGCAGTAGCAGTTTTGATGACATCCTTTCAATTTTATGAGAGAAACAAAATACCGACAATCGCTCGTTCACGCTATTGTGTACATAGTTGCACCCCGTGCAGAAAGTGTAGCAAATGAAAAGTGAGACGTGAAAAGCCAAAACTTGCTTGATAATTCCTTTACTGTTTGTGGACAAACGTGGCTTGATGTACCGTAAGATCCCGTAAGGGCACCCTTCCCCGAGAGACCGCCCATCCCAGTTCTCTTGCTAAATATCCGTAACACAAAAATTCCAAAACATTCCCCATCCCCCGATTCTCATCAGACATTGTGTGATGTTTGACCGGAATCGCATCAATCGCGCGATCTGCAGTACCTTTACGTTTGACAAGCGGGTTTGCAGCGGGTTCCCACGTTTCTGTTTGCAATCCGCACGCGCAATATCGGTTCCCGTGACACGCGAGTTTGTAGCGAGTTCCCGCGTTTTTTGTCTGCGATCTGCGCACGCGATATCGGTTCCCGTGGCACGCAAGTTTAGCCGATTTTTGCGTGTCTATCGCAACAATGATTGCCATCTCTTGTATAGACTGCCAGTGTCGTACGAAGTGTGGTTGGCAAACCTTTGCCAGGTACGATCCAGCAGAGGACCGTTGGGCCCCCGTCACGCCGATGAGCACGCCCCGGATAGGAGTGGGCGTGGCCGTGGTGAGGAGGCTGCTGTACGCCGTGGGCGGCTACGACGGCCAGTGCCGCCTCTGCACCGTCGAGTGCTACGATCCCGACCGCAACATCTGGTTTCCCGTGGCCTCCATGAACTCGAACCGCAGCGGAGCAGGTCAGTGTTTCTACCTGTGGAGCAATGCATTGCAGAACCAGACACTTTTTTTTTTTTTCTTTTTAATGATTGGTTTACACTTTTGCTACTACCCACAAACGTGTGCTGTACACCTCTTAAAATCTCTTTCGACGAGGTAACAAGCTGGCTCTCTCCATTGGCCATCCTGTAGAACACATCCAGTTTTCGTATATTTTCTTTTCTTTTTACGCATTCTTCTTTCTTTATCGACTCAAAAAGCTTTTGACAGTGTTACAAACGATAATTTCCCTTAAACAGTACATACACTTGACCTAGCAAATACTGTAAAACCTTCGCTCAATGAGATGTAGTTCCAGGGTCACCTCGCAGGTGGTTCCAGCGTACCAGTGTCGTATTTTCTCGTCGTAAGAGGAACCTCCCCCTCTGGATTATTACATTAACTCTATAGAAATTAATCTTCGAAGTTCACTTCTTCATCACGGTGAGCATGGGATTGCTGGGAGTTGCCTGTAGACATCTTTTTTTTGTCAAACAGGGGTGCTGGCTGTTGATGGCTTTGTGTACGCAATCGGCGGCTACGACGGCGTCAGCCAACTTAAGTCCGTGGAACGCTACGACACCGAAAAGGACGAGTGGGAGCCGGTGGCCCCCATGCGTTCGCCACGGAGCGCGCTCGCCGTAGCTCTGTTGGGAGGAAAGATCTACGCTCTTGGTGAGTGCTCGGTTCTCTGCTGCGACCACTCGTTAAAGGGGAGCTCCGGTGTCATATTGAACGTTTTCAGCTAAACACATTCTCTGAAAGAGCTAAAAAGACTGAGCCAAGAGCAGCAAATAAAGTTCCATTAAACTTTTAAAATAATTTTTTAATCATCGAGATACAAAGTAAATGAAATTACCTGCAACTTTGCCGATCCGCTATCTTGTTGCGATGTCAGATGTTGTATGAACATCGGCACGTGGGCAGCTTGAGCCTGTTTACACCCAGCGTCAGAAGCAGTAGGAAGGCCGTCGCTATCGTTGGAGGGAAATAACGGACTACGATTCACCGAGTTTGTCTTTGTTGAGCAATGACCAGCAAATGTTTTAGGATTTTCGGCGCCGAGTTTGGGACGATTCGCCGCTTGCGTTCGATCCGCCGGCATCGCGTACCAGGGGACCTCCCGGGGGGCTGCATTCGTGACCCGCCGACACGTGGACCCGGATGTTGCTTCGAAGCAGAGCGGCACGGAAGATTTTGTTTGCTAGCAAGTTGTGAACCGCTTTCTGGCGCGACGCAAACGCTAGAAGCCGGCGTTCACATTGGACTGCCCAAACCAACTTCTGTCGCAGAGACTTCTTGGTCGGAAACCAATAAGACGTCACTCTGCCGCATTCCTTCGTGGTGTCATTGCACCCCAGAGCCAGTCACTAATTCCTCCGACCCCCCATCGCATGCTGCAAACAGCCTAAGCCAGATGCATTCTGCAGACGCAATCCTCTTGCACGTTTCTGTGCTGTTGTATCTTATTATGTTTAATAACTACCAACTAGCCCAACTCTCAACCTTATCACTACAGTGCACAATGCCGTGGAGTTGGAGTGTTGTCTGCTCTCGGACACGACCTCTGACGTCATGAGTGCCCCCGCTTGCTGTTGCCAGTAGAGCAGCAGCAAGTGATTCGGAGGTGCGCGCGTAACTGTCAAAATTCATCTTCTAGAAACAAAGCAAATATTTTGGTTAAATATTTTATAGTCGCACTCACCGGATGGATTTTGGTGGTGAAAATTTTATAAAAACCAATGACCATCAGTATTTTGCTGGAGCTCCTCTTTAAGACTGCAGCTTTCTTGGGGTTTGCAATTTGACTGGTTTAGGGCATTGCTGCCCTTCTCTTCTTAGGGTCATGCTGTATACTGTTTAGACACAGGAAACACTTTGCGTGAAGTCACGTTTGCTTGTTGAGGAGCTGGCTTGCTGGGATTAATGGATTTACATCTTGATAGCTCTTCAGTTAAAAAAACAGGCTTGTAATAGTTCAGTGTGGATTTTTTTTCTTTTGCATGTGTGACTTTTTTTTTGGGGGGGGGGGGGGGGGGGGGCGGGGAGGGGAGGGGGAGGGGGAGGGGGAGGGTGTCGAAAAGTGGTGTATTATATGGCTAGGTGATTTCAAATACGATTGAACAGAGGGTGTCTGGTCGACATCTTTCATTCACTCTATATTTTTATATATTATTGTCTAATCTATAGTATTAATGAACGCACTTGACTGGCTCCACCGGAGCCAGTTAAGTGCATTTTGAGCATCACGTGACATTTAGAAAGGCAATGCAACACACGGGGCGTGTAATCAACGTCATACGTCTACATCGCTGGATTGATTGGATTTGATTGTAGTGTTCACTGCAATCCGCCATAAGATGAAACGGAGGATAGTGAGAGAGAAAGTATAGGTAAGCCGTAGTTAACCATACCACAGTGATACTGCGAGAGACGCTCACTCTTAACAGACCCAAACAACTTCCCAGGATCCTTAGGGCATTCGTTTAGTCTCCACTGCAATCCAAAACCGTTGTTCGCGTCTTGTCCCAGGTGGCTACGACGGAAGCTCCTTTTTGTCAACGGTCGAGCTGTTCGACCTGGAAACGGAGCAGTGGGTCGACGGAGCAACCATGCAGGCGGGCAAAAGCGGTCACGCCGCCGCCGTCTGGCGGGCGCCGTGCCTCATGCACGCCATCTTATGAGCCGACCAAGCACCACTCCTTCGAACGACGACGCGCCCGTGCGGTCACTTTGTAAATTGCACTTCATCGTCACCGGCCGGACGTCGACTCGGTTGAAGCATTGTCGGTCTCTGTTCTCCGAGTTGGACACTTGGCGAGAAAGAGAAAGTCGTCGAGGTGGCCGGCCGCCACAATTTTGCCAGCGCCGTGCCGCAATTGGCCAACGCCGAGATCGAGTGCGGCGCTGGCCAATCGCGGCGGTCGGCGATCTCGACGACTTTCTTGCCGAGCGTCCGACTTAGAGCCTCTGGTTCGGGTCTGGATTTCTAATTATAACTCGTCTCACTTTACAATGTACAACGGCTCGTGGTGAAAGACCCTGTGGGCCGTCGAAGTCATTCCAATGCCGTGTGATTGTCGCGTGACGTTCGGAAGGGGCACATTGTCACGTGATGCTTTCACAGTGCTCGATTGGTCGGGATGGCTTGTAGCGTCCTCTGCCGTCCGTCGTAAGGCAAAACGGAGTATGTTCTGAACTGTGGTTAGATGCCATAACTCAATGGGGACCAAGGTGTCCAATTCAACCTGGATGGCACCCTCAGCTTTAGACCGACTGACTATTAGAACTTGGATTCATTCCTGCACGAGTGTATAAACTGCAGTCTGTCCATTATTTGGCTGTGGTTCAAGTTACAGACTGAAGTGTGTTTGGGGCCAGACTGTGGTCTTCATATTGGTTCGGCATTGTAACACTTCCTAGGTACGGCCTGCGATTTAACTGCAGTTTATTTTGCAGTTTGGGTGATGGCTTACGCGTCGTGCCCAAAGCTCCTACCTGCCATATTTTAGGCGATGACAACCAAAGCTGCCGGAAAGCGTTCTTCTCGTTTGTTTGGGAGCAGAACTGGTAGAAAGTGTTACTTTGTGCAAATGCCAGTTGGTGCGATTGTTCGGACTAGTTGACTAGTTTCACACTGCCGCATTCGTTGATTTGGCTCGCTGGTTGTGGTGAGTCGACGGGAGAGCCGTCGATCGCGTCCGTTGATGAGAATTTCTTTTGAAACTTGGGAACAACTCGATTGAAGGTGTCTTTATGCCTGCGCGAACACCGAGCTTTCGGTAGGGCGGCACCGCTACTACTGAAGTCCAAAAATGCATTTTTGAGGCTGGCTGGCCAGCTGTGGCACGTGAGTGGCATTTGGTGGATTTACAAAATTTTTTGTATATATCTTGTGTACATATATAGTCATTACATAGATGTACATGTGTTTGTATGTCTGTGTTTTGTGTTTCACATACATTGAGAAGACGTCTGCCTGCCTCCTCTCCAGGAGAGAACTATTTATTTCGGGGGGAAATGAAGGTTTGCGGCACACACGGTGCACTTGAAATCGGAAAGGAAGCATTGTCTTGTGGTGTTTTTGTATCTCTACCCTTTTTTAAACACTCGCCTTTATGTTCACATGAAAGGTAGATAAGTAAAATAATTAAATGATAAAGTGCCATCCACTCAACCAAATATTGAATGTTAATTTAAATCTGTAAAGTCAGGTTTGAAAGATTGAACTGATTAGTTCTAAAACTTGGTGACACCCGTTTGTTAGTTGCACCAAGTGCATGCATTTGGTATGTGTGCTTTGGCATATAAATTTCTTGGCCCATCCCAGTACTACACGTTACAAAGTAACTATCGGTATTCAGAATGTCTCGAGGTCGTGCTGAAAGCACGCCTGTTGTTCTTAGCTGGAAGTTCATTGCAACAAAAATGAGACAATTTGTGACATTATCTAGTCTTTTGTTTGTACAGAAATGTCTCCCACTTTTGCTCACCGATTCCAAACTCATAAACGATGGGTTTTAGTTCTGGGCAGAAGTGTCTAGCCCAGAGGCTAAACTCGATTCCGGTGGTTGACGTCTTACATGGGAGGAATCCTTTTTGAAACCTTCCATTTTGTGGTGTGTGTCCATGTTATACAAGTAGACCACCATTGGTTTGTCTCTACACTTCGAATCTCACCTTTCATTGTCGTGTAGCCCTGTTCTACGCTCCCACGGTGTACATGATTGTGAATATACATTCTTGTTCAAATGGACACCAGTGCAACGATGCGGATATTTGTGACAATTGAGGTCACATAATAAATGACCGCATTACAATTGAAAGCTCTTATTTATTCGAATGACTGAATTACTTTTCAAAAGTTTGTCTATGTCGTCACTTTGTCAAATGGCTGATCCTCACTGTAATAATCTCGCCATTTGGTTTTGCACCACCAAACCCAAAAGTCTGTGGTAACGGACGTTTCATCCTGCAATCCTGCTACATGTAGCGCCAAATCGTCATTTTACTGAAGAATTGCGCCATGCCTACGCCAAGCTGAGATGTAGCAAAAAAAAAAAAAAAAAAAAATTGAAGTCGTATCAGAGCGCGTGGCGGTACCGCGGTATTTTCCGCGCCGCAACTGTTACGCAAACCGAAACTGCGAGGGCGCATTATCATCATCATCATCATTGAAAGAAACAACGTTAGCAACATCTGAGACCAAAGCCGCAGAGGCTAAGCGAAGAACCATCCCACTAAGCAGCCTATTAAAAAAAAAAAAAAAAAAAAGGCCAAGCTTGTGGATTTTTTTAATTAGTGCCACTGCTGATTTAGTCGATTTAGTGGCTCTATTTTCAATGTTGCCCGCCCTGTTCGCGTGCGCTAGCTACCAGCCCTACCAGCGAAGTCAAAGCTAGCGCGAGTCCAATGCTCTGTGCATTCCTGACTCGCGCGTGGGCTCGTGCAGTGTGGGCACCGTTACGGGCTCCATGCGCGCGCTTGTAGCTTCGGCTGCGCTCGCACTGAAGCTGAAACGCAAACTCTGGATGTATACTTCGTCTCACCCTAGCATGGACTAACCGCGAAGGCTGTGCTCGCGCGAGCGGCCAACCTTCACAGCCTTGACTAGAGCACCTGCTGCACGAGCGCTCGTGCAGCCGCCTCGGCTTCATTCAAAGCGACTAGCTCGCGCTTTTAGCACGCGCGGTTAACAATAGTCCATACTAAGGTGAGACGAAGTACAGTGCTGGTAAAGCCTCACCGACGTCACCGTCCCTCAGCGACGTCCCTGGCCCCGTATCCTAGGCCTGCGTGCCGGGGACGAGGACTAGGTGTCTCCACATCTGGTGGAACATTAAAGTTGTTATCTATCTATCAGAGCCCAAAGCACTGCGCAACTCGCGCGTCTCGCGCGACTGCGGTGTGTGCTCTGCGGGTGTCGCTTCTCTGCAGCGCGTCGGTGCATGCCAAGGAGCGCACTCAACGGGTTAACTCGCCGTGATCCGATCGTGACTTCACCAGCACATCGAAAATGAATCGGAATTTTTGAAGCGAATATCAGATACCGCAAGATTTGAAGCCGCTGCCCGAAAGACAACTCTAAATCTGAACTAAAACATTCCACAAAACAGTGAGGGTCGTTAGATGCTGCTGCAGATACCTCAAGAGAAGTGCAGGCTGATAAAACTAAATATCCTGTACCATCAGAACTCAGTGTGACATATTTAATTGTATTTTTTTATCTGACGAGCAGATAAACTTTATTTTTTAAAAAAAATGTCTTTTTTTTGTGTGTTTACTTTGTTGAATTTTATATATCCTGTCTTAAAAAGGCGTCAGGCGCTGTGTTCCAATAATAGAGATGGGCTTTATATAGCAATGCACCATTATTTCATTTTCAAGTAATATGCCAACATATGCCGGACCCTGCTCCAAAAGGGCCACTACCTGCTCCAAAACAACATTTTGCCTGCTACAAGGTCTGCTCCAAAAGGTCAAATGGCACTTCCATCACTGTGAACGTCAAGTATATTCATTCTGACGAAATGTTTGGAGGTGGGCTAGTCGGTGGTGCATAATAAACATATAATGAAAACCGGAAAAAAAAAAAAAAAAAAAAAAAAAAAAAACACGAGGACAAGGAACGGGAGGAAGGGTGTAGTAGCGGTAGGAAGTCAACACCACCTCAGTGTTGCAACAGAAGGTACAAGCGGGCTAGGAGGATAAGTTCGTCTCCGAGAGATGTTCGATCGGTAAGACTGCTTGCGGCACTTCAAGTCCAACGACAAAGAAGAACTTGTCCATCGTCGAGTGTTTGTTGGGGGTTGTTGGTCGTTACAGTGGGACAGCATCAGCGACACGGAACTTTGTGGTGTCGCCGGACAAAAATCGGTGTTTGTCGCTCTAGTGGGACCAGCAGAGACGCGAAGCGTGAGTTTTATCAAGGAGTTTCGCAAAAAGTTAGGGAAGGTCAGTACTCATGGTCATCGCGAGCCTGACAAAGTTACATCAAATATTTTACTAGAGTACCACAGGACACTCTTCATTTTCATTAGACAGAACGACGGCCGCGCCAAATCCTCCCCTGGTGGAGTGGTTTATTTGGTGACGCCTCTTCCCCACCCCCTCCTCTCACCGCCAGAGCACGTGTGCACCAGGCGACGCCTCGGAATGCGGTGCGGTTGACGGGGTCGTGGATGCGAAGACCGCCGCTGCCGTGATTTCGTTTTTCTTCGTTGTCGTCTTTTTGCGCGATGTATTCTCGGGGAGTGTCACGCGGGCTAGCCCGCGCTCCTGGCTTTGAGACGTACATTTCTAGCGCGAATGCGATCGTACCGCGGATGAACGCTTAAAAGCAGGGACCTCAAGCTCTCGTGCTTGTGGCATTGGTCACATGTACGCACACGCTGCACGTGCTTGCACATGCGCATAATCATGGCTGTATATCATCATCATCACCACCGCCTAATGAACAAAGAAACCGGTGCAGGACACGATGCGCCGCCAGGATCCGGGAAACGATTACTACACGCCAGACATTTCCCTCAAGTCCAGGGGCGACTTCTACGGCAACGTTCATGACGACGACGACGACGATGATGTCGCACACGGAGCTCGGAAACACACCAAGTCTTGGGCGACCGATAAATACGACGCCTTTTCTCCCGTCTGGCGGAGCTCAAAGTACCGGCAGAGCACCACGTTCGAAAGTCATGCACCTTCTTATAGAGCACATCGCGCGAAGGAACAGTGGATGCCGCCGTACCTCGTCTACAGGGGCAAAGTAGAGGAGTCTTTGACGCCACAAACAGCCAAGAACGTTTCCGGTTCCCTTAATAAGAATAAGGCTAACGCTAAAGCTGTGGACGACGCCGTCGAACGAGCTGTGTTGTCCGAGAGTTCGTACTATGGCGACACGTCACTAGAAGCTCTCAGCGTTCTGCGGAAGGAAGATGCCTCCAATGTCAGGCAGGCTGCGTCTGAAAGACGAAGGCGCAGCAATGATGCCGGCAAAAATCCGGTGGAGTCTGAGACCCTTGCTGCATCAAGCGCAATCCAGACGGGCGCCAACAAGGTTCACGAGCGGAGCGCCTCCCAGAAGTTGGACTACCCGAGATTCGACGGCCAGTCGTGTAAGAAAGACGCCTTGGAAATCGAGGGTTTGATGCCTGGTGACGTCGACATGGACGTGCTCGAGAAAGTGGCTGGGCCTCGGTACAGAGGACCAAACATACCTCACCAGACGGAAGGCGACATAGTCCAGGCTCATCGTGACTACAGAATGCTCGGCGCTGTAGCTCCGCCGTCCACTAGTGGGTTGGACGCCGAAAGCGAGGATGGTATCCACGTGCTCAAGGCTCTGGAGAGACTGAACCAGCAGTTGCTGGATGACAAGCCGAGGACCTCGAGCTTGTCGAGTGAGCAGGTTGTTGTGGAGCAGCGTGCTTCTGAGCAGCGGAGCTCTAGGCCAAACGGAAAGCGAGTTCCGGTGTCCCAGGAGCCGTTAATAGTGCCTGCTAGCGCCGCGACTGCGAAAGCGATAAAGCCGATGCGCCGAACGCTTTCAGACCAAAACGTGACTCCGACTCAAGGAATGGTGACGGGCGTGAAGTACCCGTACGGGCGGACCAGTTACGAAGAAAGTAAGCAGAGAGAAAGGAGAAGAAATGGACAAGGTCGTCGACCAGAGACTTATGATTCTACCGTTGAAGTCCACGAAGGATTTGTAGTAACAGACGACGAGATAAAGCTCCTGCTTGCGGAAAGTAACGGCAAACATAAGGGGAAGATCTCGGATCCGAAGGTACCGCCCAGGCAGAGTACAACGATATCCAGTAAGCTTCACCGTCATGGCGCCGGACGAGGACATCGCGAGATCGAACACGATTCGTGCCAAGATGAATACAGAAATGACTCGCAGTTTCGCGCGAGGAACCGCGAATACAACGTACAGCCCGAGATACAATCTGACGCCACGCCGAGATCTGAAGGCCGACAGTTCGACAGGAACGGTTCTGTCCCGAGAGATTCGAGACACGGTCGACTTAAATCCGAAGCTAATGCTCCGAACCGGTGGCGTCATTGTCACCATTTACGAGAGTCCGTTACATGCGTCGAACGAAGAAGAGGACAGAGCACTGATAGCCGTCAGGAACGAAATTGGGAAGTGGTTATTGATGGCAATGATGATGACGATGATAACAAGAGTCGTCAGGTCTCAAGAAAGAAAAGGCTGGAGTTTCCTCCAGAGGACCACAGCGAGCACTTGAAAGGGGGTCGTCTTCTGAGGGAGGCCACCAAGACAACGCGCATTCTTCAATCGTCCGAGGAACTGGACTACTCCGTTGACTCCGATGAGGACGACGACGAGAGCACGATGAATGGAGACGCGGGGAACTGGTCGTTTGTCTCTAGCCGGAGCTCCAAGGATGGCGTTTTCGGGAGAGGCCAAATTCGCATCGAGAAGGTAAGCGCAGTACCGGCAGTACCACGGTGACGGGTCAGAGATCATTTCAGATTCAATTGTTATCTCAGTCCGTTTAGTGCTTATTGATTAGAACGAAACGGTTTATTCTGATTAATCTGAACAATACGAAGTTAGATCTCAAAAAGCATGCCTTCTTATTATCTCCACAGAGTGACAAAACACAAAATCTCAAAGTCTTCTTTTTTTTCAATGGTTTGGGTTAGGGGGGGGGGGGGGTATAAAAAACTCAATAATGGCATTAATCTTATAATTTTTGGTGCTTTATGTAACAATATAATACTTTGTCTTCGTTTCAAACTGTCTTCTTAACGAAACTAACACCCCTGTCAGATGGCACCTAAATTTGTGCCATGTTTTCGCC